TGGGGCGGGAAAATAAAGGTCTTACGAGACAATTTCTTTGTCACAAGCCGCTAGGCATATTCTTACAAGATTGTTTTCCATTATTTACTCAAATGGCGAGATTGTTTAAGTAAATCGGACTCGTAGACAGGAAGGTTATTATGTCCAGGACGATGCATGCGTGTAGGGGTAAGGGGGAGTGCAAAAAATAATCTCTAACACTATTGCATCAGCATTCAAAATATCGAATTAAGTATTTTTAAGAAGTAACGATTTCTTTGTTTTTATACTTATTCATATGTAACACACAACGACGTGGTATTTCTGGAATATTGCAAAAAGATGCGTGAAACGATACCCACGAGAATGGGGAAGTTAGGGACACCGAAATTAAATACTAGTATGTAAACGTATGTACAATGTATTTATAAGCGCAGTGCTATAGGCAGAGATGTTAAAAAGTTGCAGGTAAAAATGTAGTTGGTTAAATATTTTCCCACAAATTATGCATAGCTGACATTTATTTGTTTTAAAGAATGCCGAAAAGGTAGAAAGTATTATATAAAAGAAATGCGTTCAGTGATGATTCTCGTATTATACTATTTCATTCAACTCGATGTGCAAGAAAGAAATCGCTTAGAAAAATTCATGTTCCGTTTCATAGGCCGCGATTCCACAATTTCGTACAACTCAACTTTACCCTTTTCGGGCGAGTCCATCGTTCGGACGAAAGCAAAATTATGCGCGTGGTTCTGCACCAGTGGTTTATCAAAACACGGAGACAATGTCCTCCACAGGAACTTGCTGCAAAACATCAAACTGAAACCCTAAAAAAGTGAAATCGACTGAAACCAGATACATTGACGACGAGAATGAGGACTTTTGTTTCGCTAACCGACAATATGGGAAAATACTTGTTTTTAAGACTGCTTTTTACATTTCATTGTTTATAATCATTAGAAAATAAAGTCATTTTCTCTTGCACAACCTACTAATGTAAGCACATGTGTATCTAATGGTAGGCTGTAGATGTTGTGTTGCAACTAGCGTAATACAGATATTTGTTATTTCGAAATAACTTCTTTCAGAATTACTTCAGAAAATGAAAATGAAACTCGAACGGAATTCCTGTTTTGGAGCAAAACTACAAGCTCTACACCAGGGTGTGATAGATATCGGCTATCGATATCACAATGAGGAGCTCATTGCGCAATCAACTGCACTGACAGAGCCGGTCTCCGTCATACCCCAAGGGCAACGCTCCATTGACATTTACTGCGAGACACGATTCCTGTGGATAAAGTATTGCCCCGTGTGGTTCAATGGTGAACACACCCGTAACGTCACTGATTTTTAAACGAAAAATGTTTTGTTCACGAGGGGACTGTTTGTTGCCAACTATTCATGCCTACATATTAACCCCCTATTTCAATTAACTAACATTAGGAATTTTCGGACCTATTTTCGCTATTAACACTCAAGTGACTGATTTAGTGATTTCAAATTGTGTTGGATACATGTGAACCAGCATCGTATGACCGGAGGGCGCGTAATAGTCGATGTCGGCTACGGGAACCAAAGTAACAAGAAAGTGTAAAAATAACTTTGAAATATTCTGAAATATTTTCTCGCAATAATGTGTATAAAGTTGTGTTACATATAAATGTTAAACTAATTAATTGACTGCACATGTATCCATGTTAAACTAATTAATTATTCCCATGATGAGAAAAACTTAAAACTGGAGAAACGTTTAGGACCCCACTAAACTGTTAAGGGACAAGTACATACACTGTAAAGTTCAACCAACCGAGGGATCGGTGATCCCTATTTACGAACCGACGTTTTATTCGTATGTTCTCGTTGTCCTGATTATAAGAACAGCTACTTTGTCCTTTATGTTATAAATATCAAGACGCCGCCATGTTCTTGTGTTATCGTAACATACAATTCCGGACATGTTATCAGAAACACCTGAAAATAATTTCGTCGCTGCTTCATCGACTATAAGACTTAGAGTGAGAATGGTTTTACGCCGCTTTTAGTATTATTCCAGCAAAAACGGCGGGGAAAACCAGAAATGGACTTCACACATTGTACCCCTGAAGGGAATCGAACCCGGGTCTTCGGCGTGACGAGCGAAAGCTTCAACCACTTGGGTTCCCCACCGCCCCTATAAGGTTAATAGAGCTACAAGTTAATTCAATATGTACGAAGCACCGTATTGAGGTGTTCATGACCTGAATGACGAAATTGATTATGATCAAACTGTACATTGTAAACTGTGTATTCACGGGCATTGTATCACAAACTTCCATTGTAAATACTCAAATAATGTAGATAATGTATTTGCTTATGTATGTCTTCGGATTCAACCCTGAGCGAAATAAAGAAATTCATTCAGGAAACCACCATGTTAGTGTCATTGTAATATATACTCACCGCCAAAAGAAACGCGAACCATAGAAACATAAAGAGGAGTATCTACGTTAAGAGATGTTTCCAATGTGTACCCACTCATGACAAAACTAACAATCAGTCAAGTGTTTACACATAGTGTCTTTATTCTTATCACGATATGCTGCACCTGAATTCCAAACTTTACACGCTTATCCTGCACGAGACAAATGGTGCATCTCGAGTCATGGACCTTTGACGTCACATATGATGCGTCCATGAGCATCGGTTCACACAACATACCAGTATGTTCGTTTGTGCATCGAACCAATCTAATATCTCTTGAATATGTGTAAGTCTTCATATATTAACCAACATGTATGGTATTCGCGTTTCTTTTGGCGGCGAGTATATATTTCTGGACATATCATCAGAGACACCTGCAAATACTTTCGTAGCCGGTTCTAAGATTAAAAGAGGTACGAGCTAATTCAATATACATAAGGCTGAGGAAGCACCCTATTGAGATAAACATCCAACATGTAAGCATCTTCACGCAGCCTCACTAGCGGGTACAAATTATGAGACTTCTCATTATCGCTTGCAGTTTGTGTCTTCTTTCATCATCAATGTCTTGTCAAGGTCAGTTTGTACTTTTGATGTCCTCATTATCTACTTATGACGTCATTACGTCACAGTTTCGCGCCAAAATGAGCCCGTGCATAACATTCTGTAAGTTTTTGTTTGGTAAACTGACAATACCACGTGTTAATCGGTTTAGGTTCCCCGTCCGTTAATGATACAGTGAGTCGCAAGCGTGGTGATAACGTATTACATGGAATGATTGGTAGGTGTCGTCGTAATTAGGGTAGAAGTTGGAAACTGTATCTGTGTTGTTGACGTGGCTCAAGCCTATACGTTACAGACAATGTGAAAACACAGGCAATGTGTAAAATGTGATTCACTAGCAATTTACAAAATGCCTAAATATTTATGTCATTTTACAAACTGACTGAAATATCTGTCCATTATTTTACAGATTGAATAAAATTATATAGAGGATCAAAGGGATTTAAAGCTTCACAAAAGACTAATTATGCTAAAATTAGGAGCCGAAAATAGGGAAAAAAGTACACTGACTTTCGTTTTCTTTTAATCCTATCTTTTTCAGTCGAAGGGTGATGTAACTAAGCATACACAAGTTTGGAATTCATTATCATAATAAAATAAATGGAAACATATTTGTAAAATGACTGAAATATTCAGTCGTTTGATAAATTGTCTAAGTGAAAATTTCACACATTGACTGTACTATATAACCTAAACAAGTAAAACAGCGCCAAGCTTGCTACGCAAACCAACAGTGGAACCAGTTTATCCGTGCTGAATGGAAATAGCCCTTTACAGTTTCGTGGGGTCCTAAACGTTTCTCCTGTTCTCTCATCAAAAGGCTAGTTAATTCAACATGGACGCCGTTATGTCTGAGCTTGTGTACAACTATTTTGAAATAATTTTAGTCTCGTAGGTGACCCATGTATCCGACACAATTTGAAATATTCACTTCCGTGTCAACTCTTTCTGTAATGTTTACCATGAAAATAATATGCATATGGTACCAATAAAAATTGGTTTAAATACATTTTTTTACCATCACTCTCTCTTTGATTTGACAAAATAAAATTATACAACTAATACACATCTATAATTCACTTAACATTTCAACAATGACTGATCCAATCCATTATAAAGTTTCTCGCTACTACGCGTATCTCATACAAAAATAAGACCTTTTTCACACAAGTAAGTACGTGGATATTGGTTTTGTAAAAAAATATTAAATAAACGCAATTACGTACTGCACTTTTCACAGAATTTGCATGTCTTAGTTTTCTACAAAACCGACCAAAACAAACATCTTTATGTCAAATAAGATAAGAAACAGTGAGCTACTCACATTAAGTTTTCATTTCAGCCTAGTCATTCAGACTGATCAGCATATTATTCCTTAAAGTAAACAATAATACCAAAACATACGGGTTCTAACGCGAACCAGAAATGCTTATAATGCACGTGTATGTTCAAAATTGCCTGAATTACTTTCTTCGTTGAAGATAATATGTTCCAGGAAAAAGATAATGTTCTTGTTTTAATAAAATAGATAGATTCAAGTTAACAGAGCTTATGAACATACGGACGCATGAGTACCGTTCCATCAGTTGAATAGAATATCTTTCTTAACAAATGCGATTAAGGTCATTACATTAATTCCAATAGCTACGGTTTTGATTTTACCCTCGCTTCTCGAGCACCTCGTTTGAATTATCTCCCTTGTCGTGTTCGTTTAACGATTGTAATGGATCCGAAATTGTCTCATGGTTAATATGTTATCGATTTAAACTAGTTCCACTGCAATTACGCGTAGACAGACTATGCGCCACATATATCCAATAGACAGTAGCCCAGTCACATTAGGCATCGTTTGAAAGAAACGTAAATAATTATAATTATCACTGACAATATATATATTTTTTAATTTAAACAAAGATTCCACGAGTAGTTGTCTAGAAAATAACAGGATTGCTGTTCGGTTTCGGGAAATCTCGCGTGAGTTCGTGCTTGTCAACCTGTAAACAATATGGCTGCTGAAACGCTTGACTAAGATGTATGAAAAGGACATTTACCAATTATCATAGTAACTACTGGTTTACTTCCACTGACAATTTTGTAAATTTAATATTTTGTCCATATGGATCACCGTACTCGTGCTATGTGTTGAAATGTGTTTCGCATCACGTGTAAAATCACCCCGTACCGAATGGGAAAATCTCGAACTTGTTGCTAGTTAACATGCACAGGTTTTCCTTATCACATTAGATTCAACTCTATGCTCACCGCAAGAAACCAATGCTTTAAGAACTGTCGTGAAATGTATATGCTAGTACACATGCTTGTTTTAACACCAATCACAAACCGAAAATGTGAGTTCATAGCTAGCTAATGGTTCGTAAAGTAACTGTTTAGCTCGTAATTTGTTTTTTATTTAATGTCCAACCAACACAATTTTACAAAGACCCTTACGCTAGTTTAATGTTGTCGTGATAAAGTAGAAATTATCATGATTCATTAACATGATGTAATTATACAATTAATCATCAACTTAAGACGACATAAGAAATATTGGAAATTTTCAAATAAAATACTCGATATTATTATGAATTATGGTTGAAGGTAATTCAAGCTTTTATTGATCTCAGTGATCCTTTAATACAAATACTATTCCATGTTAGATTATTGATGCCATTTCAGCCTATTTGACTCTTTTAACAATTAGAAACTGAGAAGTAACATGGTAAAGACATAAAACTGGAAAGTCTGAAACTACAATCTCTTTTCTTTCTTCAGTGGAATTTTATTCAATGACGTCATTGGTAATTTCACACAAAATGTTATTTATGTCTTGTACCCATGGAAAGTATTTTTCAAATAAATGTCTGTCATGCAAAACATTTGTTTTTTTCTGAAAATGGTATTTGAATGAGAATATTGCAAAATCAAAAGAAGGATCAGTGGGCACTTTACTGAATACCTAAAATTTAAGAACATGCTGTGAATTAGTTTAAATCTGCCCAAGACCAGCAGTTGTCATTTGTCACAGCAAAATAGAACAACAGACTTCCAACCATGACACCTGTGTAACTGTAAAACCTGTTTTCATTATATATTTTTTCAGATATTCACCTGGACCATCTGTGTGAGCTATGGCTGGAAGAGACCTCTACCCAACCCTGCCTGATGGGCGGGGCTCATTTCGAGTTGGTGCAAACAGGCGTGTTGAACTCACATTGCAAAAGGAATTGGATGATGTTGCCTTCAGGTCATTAGCAGAAATCTCCAGCAGAAAGGAGGCTGTTAGGCTTGCACCTCTCACTGATGATCAGATAACTGCAAAGTAGGTTTAAGAAAAGACTTCATTTTTGCCCAAGCAAATTAATTATTTACTTTACAAATACATGCAGAAGAAAAATTATGATAAATGATTTAGGACATAAGAAGCCATGACTAATTGTAAAACTGCATTGAGCTTAATACCATATTTTCTTGTGTATATTGCAAACCAATTTTTGGGGTTACTGGTTTTTTTTAAAATGGCTATTCTTCCATTAAGGTTATGTTTTGGTTGAAGCAAGCAGAAGAGAACAAACACAGCGGTAGAAATTGGCAAACTGCCCAATAGTTAAGGTATTATGAGGACTAGTAGAAATTTGCCATTTTTAAGGGTTTTGCTATATGTTATCATTATAAAATACTACTGGACTAAAACTGTTAGTTTCTACTGCTGCAAACATAGTCAAAATGACAATTTAACTGTACATTTTTTTAAGGAAAGATAATCAGACATGATTACTATTGATGCTGAAGGTATCATATGGATAGGTTAAATATGTCTTATACAAGTGACTGCCTTTGTGGTCTAGTGAATAGAGCGTCTGCCTGGAGAGTGGAAGGTTGATGTTTTGAGCTCTGGTCGCATCATATTTAAAGACGTTAAAATATGGTACTTGTTGTTACCCTGCCTGGTATTCAGTTGGATAGCAGGATAAAACTGGCATTAGTTAAGACTAGTACAAGCAGCCACAGACATGTCGCTATATAAGTGCAATGATCTTGGACATGACGTTAAACCCCATTTCACCTCACCCTTTTGACATTAGGATGACAAGAACACTTTGATTTTATCCCTTTTCAATGTTTACTGTACCGCCTCCGTGGTCTAGAGGTAGAGCATCCGCCTGGAGAGCGGATGGTCCAGGGTTTGATCCCCGGCCGCGTCATACCAAAAGACGTTAAAAGATGGTACTTGTTGTTACCCTGACTGGCGCTCGGCATTAAAGGGCTGAAACAAGGACTGGTCGGCTCAGAGTCAGTATACTGTGTCTGAGTGGGGTATTCGTGTTAAACTGCGGCATGGTATCTCAGTGAGCTAGCACTATAAATCAGCATCAGTCCGGACTAGTACAAGCAGTCACACACAAACACACGTACATGCACGTCGCTATATAAGTGCAATAATCTTGGACGCGACGTTAAACCCTCACCTCAGTGTTTACTACTACAACACATTCTTATTAATCTCTTAGTTTTACAATGAAGATGAATATAAACAATCCCGTATGATTTTAATAACAATAAGATCAAGAGATTAATATCATTCATTATGTTTAAGCTTACTCATTCTATGTGGTTTACAGTAATATATGTATTGTGTATTGTGATCTGTATGCCAACTAACTGGTCATTTATTTAAATCAGTAAATAATATCCACATGATCTGATGGAGTTGATCTTCATTGCAGGAAACTTCAACCTGAATTCAAGCCACAGAAAGTTCGCGACAAGAAGAAAACTGTTCCAGTGTTTCATGATGATCTTCAGCCAACTTCATATACTAAGGTATATCCACATTATTATATCAACACAACTTTAGACATTAGTTCTATCGATTCCGGGGTAGAATAGGTCTTCAGCAACCCATGCTTGCCGTAAAACGCAACTATGCTTGTCGTAAAAGGTGACTAACGGGATCGGGTGGTCAGGCTCGCTGACTTGGTTAATTTACGTCATCAATCCCAATTGCGTGGTGATGCTCATGATATTAATCACTGGATTGTCTGGCCCAGACTCGATTATTTACAGACTGCCGTCATATAGCTGGAATATTGCTGAGTGCGGCGTTAAACAACAAACCAGAACCAGAACCATTAGTTCTAACTTTGAAAATATCATGTGGATATTATTTACTGATTTAAATAAAAGACCAGTTAGTTGGCATATGCTGCATGTGCAGGGTCATATATTGGAGTGAGTTGATCCACTGTCAGCTGTCCAGTGTATCTCCATTCCATTAGGCTACAGTAAATTAATTATTTTTAAACATATATGCATTCCTCCCTCGATTCTTGTGTAGCAACATCCTAAAACAGTTTCCATCTTCTAAAAACCTTTCACCCGAACACCCCCCGCATCACCATAGTCACCGCCCAAACAAATGGGTCCCACGCTAGAATCCTGTGTGCTGTGGCCTAAGCAGTTTGATCACCTGACACCCCATGCCACATCATTCTGTTTCTAGAGCTGACAGGCTAGTGTAAGTGCGATGTGGGGATGGTCAGGTGGGCATATAGCGTGTGATGGATAAGTATGCACATGCAGAATTCATCATCAACAATCAAGTCTGGGCCAGATGATCCAGTGATTGATATTGTGAGCAACAATCTATGCTGTTGACATTGACCATGTTGACACACCCTCACCGAGTCCAACCACCCAATCCATTAAGTCGTCTCTTACGACCAGCGCAGGTTGCTAGGGACTAATTATCATGCATCATAGGTTTTCATCCATAGAACTCTGAAGATCCGGGTTAGAATGGATCTTCAGCAACCCATGCTTGCTCGTAAGAGGCGACTATGCTTGTCGTAAGTGGCGATTAATGGGATCAGGTGGCCAGGCTCGCTGACTTTGTTGATGCATTCCGTCATATCCCAATTGCATAGATCGATGCTCATGATGTCAAACACTAGGTTGTCTGATCCAGACTTGATCATTTACAGAGCGCCTTCATATAGCTGGAATATTGCTGAGTGCGGTGTTAAACCCCAAACAAACTACATCCACACTCTTAATTATTGGTAAGCATGGCTAATAGCTGCTTTTTGGAATATGCAGAATAAGGACTTGCAGAATTACTCCGGATTTCGGCTAGCCATGACCCTTCACCATGTCTTCCGACTCGACTACAATATGTGTTTGTCTGTTATCTCAGGACCACTTCCAGCTGATTCCCAACATCCCCCCCTACAACCCCCTGGATAAGCATCGACGCCCTGACGTCCCCGACAAGATGCGAAAATTTCCCTATGCCAGGGAGCACACTGTCACTACAGCAGGTGAGGCAACGAGGACGATTATTTGATTGTTCAGGATTTGTGCCTTTAGTTTCCTTATTGGCCCGGGTTCGATTTCCCACATGGGTACAATGTCTGAAGACTATTTCTGGTGCCCCTTGCTGTGATATTGCTGGAATATTGCTTAATGGGGCGTAAACCCATACTCACTCACTCACCCCCACTGGTGTGTAAGTAATTGCTGGCCCAGATTGCTTTCCTTTATACTTGACTGCATTTATCGGTGTGACAGTACTTACTACAGTGTAAAATCTATTAAGCCACTCATTCACTGATGAAACCCGTGAAGATCCAGGGTTAGAATTCGTCTTCAGCAACCCATGCTTGTCACCCCCTGTTAGATCCAGGGTTAGAATTTGTCTAACAGCAACCCATGCTTGTTTCCCCCTGTGAAGTTCCAGGTTAGAAGTCATCTTCAGCAACCCATGCTTGTCTCCCCCTGTGAGATCTGGGTTAGAATTTGTCTTGAACAACCCATGCTTGTCTCCCCTCGTGAAGTTCCATGTTAGAATTCATCTTCAGCAACCCATGTTTGTCATAAGAGGCGACTAACGGGATCGAGTGGTCAGATTCGCTGACTTAGTTGAACAAACAAAAAAACATTCACTGATGAATGTGATTTTTCAATGCATGTCATGATTTTCTTCAGATTTGAAAAAGGCCCATGTGTCGTCAGTGGGAGTCGTACCAACAAGAGCAAGGTATTTGGAATTAAGACACAGACATAATAAGCATTGCAGGATATTTCGATTCAAATGAATGTTTCATTTTTAATAATACATTTGGTCACAGTTGATGTTTCAGATGTAAATTATTTTTGAACCTTTTTTTTTAGACTTTTGTTCCTTCTTCATAGTAAGGCAAATCATTATGTAATGTAATCCTCTTGTCACACAAGTATATCATACAGATTAACTTCCTATTGTAAAAGGGGCATTTTTGGCTTAGACATCTAAAGTGCCGTCCTATGATTGTGAGTTCGAATTCCGGTTCGACCTTATTATGTCTCTAGGTTTGTCAGCTCTATACCTGTGCACATGGGTTTCACCAGAGTGGTAAACATCTGAGACCTGAATCACTGCGGGCTTTCCTCCCTCTTTAAGGACTGTCTCTGTGGTCTAATGGTAGAGCATCTGCTCAGAGAGTGGAAGGTCGGGGGTCCAATCCCTAGCCGTGTCATACCAAAAGACGTTAAAGATGGTACTTGTTGTTACCCTGACTGGCACTCTGCATTAGGGGCTGAAACAAGGAGTGGTCGGCTCAGAGTCAGTATACTGTGTCTGCGTGTGGTATTCATGTTAAACTGCTGCATGGTATCTCAGTGGGCTAGCACTATAAATTCAGAATTAGTCCGGACTTGTACAAGCAGCCACACAAACACACACACAAGTCACTATATAAATGCAATAATCTTGAATGTGACATTAGTCCCCATCTCACCTCCCTCTTTAAGCTGACACTAAGCAGCATTAAACCTAACTCACTGACACACTCCTAGTGTAATAATGCCTTCTTAGGATATCATCCTTCACATCATTGGCAACAGAACATGAACATGAACATGAACAACAGAGCAGTGTGAGACTTTAGCCACAAGTCTGAGTCTAAGAACATTCTGTTTTCAGTCTAGGAAACTCGGCTAATTATTGTCCATATAATAACACTAAAATATACTGAAACTGAAGCTAAGAGACAGCTTTGGGTTGTGTGACTCAAAAGACTTTGCTACAGTCTGCAACAGTCTCTGATTATTTTGTGCCTGACTGAATGGTTTGGAATTTTATATGCCTGAAAAAGAAATATTATTTTCTAAATATTTGTATATCAATTGTCTTTCACAGTGCCAACTTGGCTGATCTGAAAGTACTGTTGAAAGGAGCCCCAGCTGTTGCTAGTGTCTTGCAAGGGGAGATAACTCTGTTAGAAATGGAGCAAGTAAGTTCATTCAATCCTAATGCTAACTAAACTTTAAAATATACTGTGTGAACACATAGGAGGAGTTCCGTGTGCAATGGAAGAATCCATTCTCATTGAACAGGGGGCTACAGTGGAGTGTAATCTCCCCCCAGGGGTCTACGATGGCATGTCATTCAGAGCACATGGAGGTCATGCTGTATGTGTATTCATCAATGCACCATGCTGACTTTATACATGCACTGAAGGCCACAAGCAACTTTCCACCCCTACAATGTTGTTATAGACTGCACAACGTATGCAAATCCATGCATTCAGGATGTGATTTGAATAGTTTGTTCAGCAGTAGATTACATCTCACTTTGTATAACTTTCAACTTAGATATGTCACAGGGATAAATCGTGCCTACAGCCCAAGTCATTTTGTCTAAAATGTAAGTTACATGGTCTAGTAGAAGAACGTCTGCCTGGAGTGTGGAAGGTTCGTTGTTGGGTCCCTGTCCGTGTAAAAAGCAAAAGACGCTTAAAGATTGTACCTGTTGTTACCCTGTCTGGCGCTCGGCATTAAGGGGCTAAAACAAGGACTGGTTGGCTCTGAGTCAGTATACTGTGTCTGAGTGGGGTATTCATGTTAAATGGTGGCATGGTATCTCAGTGGGCTAGCATTATGCAATCGGCATTAGTACTATTACAAGCATACACAGACACACACACAGACACACAATGTTGATAAATTTCTTAAACATTTTCCTCTCCAGGCAAACCAAGCTACCCCTTCCACGCCCCCTCCACCCTCGACGGACATCCCTCGCATCGTCCTCAATGACAAGATGTACCGCCTAGAGGAGGACGCCAAGGCGGATGCGGAGACGAAGAAGAAGCCTGCCATCTTGTCTCAGACTGGCACCATACAAAATGTCATGTTCAGTGAGAGGCAGAAGCCGCCACCTCGACCATCCTACCTGAACAAACGCAAGAGGTGTTCTCGTAGGAATGTCATCAGCCCAGGTACAGATGGATATTGCTAGAGACATTATTAAGATTAATATTTTGAGAACCGTCTCATTTCATTCAGAACAAATTCAAAGTAGATCTCATGTATATAAAATGTAGGAACCCTTCAGTTGTCATTCCTCCAAAGTATTTTTCCTTTTCGTCCAACCAGGAGTTTGTTTTAGAAATTGCTTATAAACATTATTGTACCACCAACCCTATGATTTTGGAAAAAATAGTTCTTAAACAATGTGATTGAAAAAAGGGGCCGTAGGACATTTTGGGTAAATATCAGTCAATATCCAAAATATGAACCAATCTGAAACCGAGTACTGAGAAGCCCACAAGGATTTCAAAGTGTAATCCTACTTAACATGCTTAGTTCACTCACTCCCACCGTGATGAATGGTTGATGTATTGGTATGAATGTGTATCTGTGAGGTGGTTTACTTTAAAGTGGTCTACACTGGCTGAAGCTGATGGCCTGGCTGATGTGGGGTCGAGACATTTCCCTCCAAATGTTCTGTGGGGAAATGTCTATGTGGGGTATTGTCCTGTGGGGAAATATCTATGTGGGGTATTGTCCATGTGGGGAATTGTCTATATTGGGTATTGTCCTGTAGGGAATTGTCTGTGTGAGTTATTGTCCATGTGGGGAAATGTCTGTGTGGGTATTGTCCTGTGGGGAAATATCTATGTGGGGTATTGTCCTGTGGGGAAATGTCTATTTTGGGTATTGTTCTGTTGGGAAATGTTTATGTGGAGTATTGTCCTGTGGGGAAATGTCTGTGTGAGGTATTGTCCTGTGGGGAAATGTCTATGTGGAGTATTGTCCTGTGGGGAAATGTCTGTGTGGGGTATTGTCCTGTGGGGAAATGTCTGTGTGAGGTATTGTCCTGTGGGGAAATGTCTATGTGGGGTATTGTTCTGTGGGGAAATATCTATGTGGGGTATTGTTCTGTGGGGAAATGTCTATGTGGGGTATTGTTCTGTGGGGAATTGTCTGTATGGGGTATTGTCCATGTGGGGAAATATCTATGTGGGGTATTGTTCTGTTGGAAAATGTCTGTGTGGGGTATTGTCCTGTGGGGAAATATCTATGTGGGGTATTGTCCTGTGGGGAAATATCTATGTGGGGTATTGTTCTGTGGGGAAATGTCTATGTGGGATATTGTCCTGTGGGGAAATATCTATGTGGGGTATTGTTCTGTGGGGAAATATCTATGTGGGGTATTGTTCTGTGGGGAAATGTCTATGTGGGGTATTGTTCTGTGGGGAAATGTCTATGTGGGGTATTGTCCTGTGGGGAAATATCTATGTGGGGTATTATTCTGTTGGGAAATGTCTATGTGGGGTATTGTACTGTGGGGAAATGTCTATGTGGGGTATTGTCCTGTGGGGAAATATCTATGTGGGGTATTATTCTGTTGGGAAATGTCTGTGTGGGGTATTGTACTGTGGGGAAATGTCTATGTGGGGTATTGTCCTGTGGGGAAATGTCTATATTGGGTATTGTCCTGTGGGGAAATGTCTATTTTGGGTATTGTCCTGTGGGGAAATGTCTATGTGGGGTATTGTCCTGTGGGGAAATATCTTTGTGGGGTATTGTCGTGTTGACAAATGTCTGGACCCCGAATGGGAAATTATCCATTTGGGGAAATACCCTACACTCAACTGATGTGATATGGAAATCTGATTTTAGTTTTATAACAAATGAGAAAGCCATGCTCTTGCATGGATATATTTTAACATTAATATTTGAAAATCGTACTTCTCTCTTTAGATTTAGCCCTTTTTTCAAAAAGAATTTCAAGTTGCAAAGTTTAGATTTTATGTTTGCTTCACTGGCAAAGTGGTCTTGTGATGTGCCAGCTTGATGTGGATGGAAAGCCCGAAGTGATGCAGGTGTTAGACATTTACCACCTTGGTGATACCCACGAGCACGGGCAAGATGCTGACAAACCTAGAAACCTAATCAGGGCAAATGTGGAATTAGAATCCATGATCTTAGACGACTGGGATATTTATGTTCATTTCCACTTTTGAAGTTCCACTAATTTGATGAATGTAATACTTCCGCATGATTATCATAGTGTTGTACGTGTGATGTGTTCCCACATGCTAGTTGGAGAGGATACTGAACCAAGTCGACAGAAGAGTGCTCGCAGCATCCCGTCCTCCCTGCGCAGTGCCCCCATCAGCCTGCCTGATGACACGGTTTACAGCAAGTACGACAAGGCCATCGAGGACATGGACACGGACATGGAGAATGTGGAGACGGCCGTCGGTGTATCGGAGGCTGAACTCAAGAGTAGGGCTTCTAGTGTAGGTTGTCTACCATATATTTATATAACATATGGACTTAACAGATCACTGCTCAGAGTTTTTATCTTTTTCTGAATCTAGATGTTTAATTTAACTTTGAAGATGGGGATCATCCTTGTTATCCTTGCAACTATTGGTGATCCCAGTTTCAAACATGTAGGGATTCACTTGTACTTCTCCTTCAGAAATCACCAGTTCATCTTCTGAGAAACATTCATCTTCCATGACAACTCGTAAACTAGTGTCACGGTTAGAGTTGGACATATCAGCAGGTTATTATTGATTTGAGCTCACGCTACCACCAAAAGGAACAAGGTGCTTCATCCTTTTATACATAGATCGGCAAACTTTTTAAACAAAGAAAAGTCTCAAAACAAAACAAGCGAGATGAGTACTGAAACACAAACAATAAACGCAACTGAAGAAATAGCATGTTTCACACATCTATATCACACCAAATAGTGAACTCAGTTTGTGATATAAGTGTCAATTGCTTGTCATGAGCAACAACAAATTATTGGCTTGTGTGATCAGGTTCACTGACTTGTTGATTGCATGGTGTGGGGCATTGCTCATGATATCAACCACTGGTTAGTCCTAGACTCGATTATTCACAGGTTGCTGTGATATAGCTGGAATATTGCTGACTGTGGCCTAATAAAACAGACAAACAATAGCAATGAAAAATCAGACAGAATGACTCACTCGCTCACCTACCCACTTGCTCACTGTTATCAATCCTATTGGCAATGATTGGGGTATCGTGCTGGAAGCTGAGGCATCGAAAGTCCCCATGATCCCCAGCGAGGTAGCATAGCTTTGGTTACTGGTGGCCTATGGCCACGTTTAAACTGTATTAATAATAATGTTATATATGTTTCACAAATTTGTTTTTAAATATAACTTTGTATTCATGACTCACTTGTGTATATATCAACTTGTTCTCGTCACTATATGGCTGAAATATTCATGTTGTGACGTTAAATTTTGACTCACTCACTCTTACCAACATTGTCTCCTGATGTAAGTGTGACTATTCCTGCAATATTTCACCAGAGGTAATGTATTAACCTTTGTCACAACAACCGCCTCCGTGGTCTAGTGTTAGAGCGTCGGCCCGGAGAGTGGAAGGTCCAGGGTTCGATCCCCGGGCCGCGTCATACCAAAAGACGTTCAAAGATGGTACTTGTTGTTACCCTGTCTGGCGCTCGGCATTATGCGGCTAAAACAAGGACTGGTCGGCTCAGAGTCCGTATACTGTGTCTGAGTGGGGTATTCATGTTAAACTGCGGCATGGTATCTCAGTGGGCTAGCACAATAAATCGGCATCAGTCTGGACTAGTACAAGCAGCCACACAAACACACACATGTACATGCACGTCACTATATAAGTGCAATAATCTTGGACGCGACATTAAACCCCATTTCACCTCACCTCACCACCTTTGTCACAACAAGTTAACACTTTAAGTAATCATTTGCCCACCTCAAGGTAATGCGGTATCTGTACTGATGTCATCCTTGCAGGTGAAGTCTGTCCAAGCGCTCCTGGATGAGGCCAAGAAGATCAGCAGCCCAGACTCAGACCCCCTGTACAAGCAGCATCTGAAGTCAGCAGACAGGAGGAAGCAAGGAACCCCCACTCCGCGGAGATTACGCAGCGGCAGCATCAAGAAGGAGACACGCAAGAGTGCAGGGAAAGGTCAGCTTCTTGCTTGTAGTGTCTTCCTGGTGATCAGGTGTGAATAGGCATCTTTGTTTTGTTTTACCAGGAATTGTAAGATGAGGGTCGACACTGAGATGTGATGCTGAGTTGTGACACTCAGGTGTGACGATGAGGTGTGACACAGGTTCGAAGATGTGATGTGACACTGTGGTGTGATGATGAGGTGTGACCCTGAGATGTGAAGATAAGATGTGATACTGAGGTGTGACACAGGTGTGACGATGAGGTGTGACACAGGTTCGAAGATGTGATGTGACACTGTGGTGGGATGATGAGGTGTGACACTGAGATGTGAAGAAAAGATGTGATACCGAGGCGTGACACAGGTGTGACACTGAGGAGTGACACTGAGATGTGACGAGATGTGACACTGAGGTGTGACACAGGTGTGACACTGAGATGTGAAGATGTGATGTGACACTGTGGTGTGATGATGAGATGTGATGCTGAGATGTCACAATGAGATGTGATGCCGAGGTGTGAAGATGAGATGTTTTGCTGAGATGTGACACTGAGATGTGTTGCTGAGATGTGTTGCTGAGGTGTGACGATGAGTTGTGACACTGAGATGTTTTGCTGAGATGTGACACTGAGATGTGTTGCTGAGATGTGATGCTGAGGTGTGAAGATGAGATGTGACACTGAGATGTTTTGCTGAGATGTGACACTGAGATGTGTTGCTGAGATGTGATGCTGAGGTGTGACGATGAGTTGTGACACTGAGATGTTTTGCTGAGATGTGACACTGAGATGTGTTGCTGAGATGTGATGCTGAGGTGTGACGATGAGATGTGACACTGAGATGTGACACTGAAATGTGATGATGGATGTGACAATGAGATGTGACAGTGAGATGTGATGATGAGATTGAAGATGAGATGTGACACTGAAATGTGATGATGGATGTGACAGTGAGATGTGACAATGAGATGTGAAGATGAGGTGTGACACTGAGATGTGAAGATGAGGTGTGAAGATGAGGTGTGACACTGAGATGTGAAGATGAGGTGTGACACTGAGATATGACAGTGAGATGTGACAATGAGATGTGATGATGGATGTGACAGTGAGATGTGACAATGAGATGTGAAGATGAGGTGTGACACTGAGATGTGATGATGGATGTGACACTGAGATGTGATGATGGATGTGACAGTGAGATAAGACTGTGGCTGTGTTACAGGTGAGAAGGTCAAAGGGAAGCTGTCAGCTAGAGATCCAGAGGAGGAGAGTGGGGGAACGTCCAGGCCACGGTCCGAGCGGTCAGTCGATGAGATCATCTCCTCCCTCAGAGACCAGTCCAGGACGGGGATGTGAGTTGGACGCAGGACTTGTCTCTCTGTAGTGTGAATCAGGCTTGTGCAGAATGCTATATGCCTGTTATCTGAGTGATAGTCAACTACATCATCAAAACCATTTTAGGGGAATCTCACATACCATATATACAGTAAACAGCACCCCAGAAAATTGACAAAGAGGGGTGCCCTTTAACATCTTACACAATGAGTTAAATTTTGTTTTCAGACATCGAGCAGTAGTAAACGAAACTTATTTCAAACATCGATCAAACTGAAAAATTTCTAGCCACTTGGCAGATATATATCCCTTTTGCTCTGCTGTTTTCTGTAAAAAAAAGGTTTTATATATGACGTGTCATGTAAATTTTTGGTCACATATTGGGGTGCTTAAAAGGATTGGTTTAGAATTTGCTTATGGGTCGCTTATAAGGGCAGGGCATTTAATATGTTGAATACGGTATGTACTGAATGGAGGGCAGGTGTTCAAAGGTGTATAACTTTGCTGTGCAGAGTTTGGTTCTTTGACAGGATCAGATGGGCAGGGTTTGAGTCCAGATTAAGATCCTTTTCCTGATGGCACCAAACCCATGCTTTTCGATTCAATTAAATTCAGATCTGTAACTCCCATACGATACCTCTTTGCGTGAACGTCTGGCCACCCCTCCATAGAAGGTCACGTCCGGTGAACACTGAGGGAACTTAAACTGCCTAATCTAAATGAAGGATGTGTGAATTCCTGAGCTGATCAGATCCACTGTCTAATTTCTTTAGCTTTATTTCCTTATCATCTTGAATCAGAAATTTCAGTTTTAACAATAGCAAACCAGCACAGAACACAAATATTCCTACGATGGTACTCTCCTTTTTGGGTGTAGATGCAATGGCTCTCAGAAATGACATTTGGAACTGGATGGTTTCTTCTTTTCGGAGATACAGAAATCAAATTTACTGGTTTGAATGCTTCCCTCACTTGTACCAAGTATTTAGGGGCGGTCGGGTAGCCTAGTGGTTTAAGCGTTCGCTTGTCACGCCGAAGACCCGGGTTTGATTCCCGACATGTGTGAAGCCCATTTAAGGTGTCCCCCTGCCGTGATATCGCTGGAATATTGCTAAAAGCGGCGTTAAACCATACTCACTCACTCACTCACTCACTCACTGTACCAAGTATTTAGAATCCTCTACTCTGATTGGCCGAATAGAAAGGTCACCTGATGCGATCCGCTGAGGAGGGGTAGAGAGGACAGTGAAGTATCGCCCTGGAATAAAGGTTTGATTTGAATGTCATGCTTGTAGGTTTCAACAAAGTGATAAACCTCTCTAGTTTAAGTGGCCGTGATATAACTGACTACTGTTCAAGCAGTGTTAAGCCCAGCTCCCTCTCTGGCTTGTGGGAGAATGTTCATCGAGAGATGTTAATCCTACTTGTACTTTTTCTGCTGTAATTTCAGCGTGTCGGATGCTGACCGGAGGATCCAGGAGATCATGGACAGGGTCATGTCCCGGGCCAGTGCTGTACTAAGTGATATAGGTACCTACTGACCAGGGCCCTGATTTAGGCAATCTTAGTGCTAAGATGATCGCAACTCCCATACTTAGTGCTAACACCACAGATAGCAGTGCTAAGATCAATTTGTGGAAGTGGAACCTTGGACCTGTTTCACAAAGGGATCTTAGCGCCCGGACTGTCTGTGGTAAACTATGGGAGTTAAAGTCACATTGCTAAGATGGCTTTGTAAATCAGGTATTCAATAGAGCTGTAGCATGTTTATGGGAGAGAGAACATTTTTAGTCTTGTGGTTTTAGGCTAGAGAGAATGACTGGTTTTAGAAATGATTTCACTGGGTCATGTTCATTTCATCCATTGATTGATATTGGTTATATTGATAATAAATCTACATTCCAAAGTGACATCATTTGGGAGTGGGGTGCCAGTAGCTCAGTGGCCCAAGGTGCCACAAAACGCTGTGCAGAGTTGCATCCCTTAGGTATGCCAGGATCTTCTAATCAGGGACGATTCCAAGATAATGCCCTGAATTTCATCCTTGGTTTATCAGAACCATACCATGCTGATCGGGTTTTCAAAGTGGTTAATGTCAAAGACCTCCATCATTTGAGTCGTAATGTAGGTCATTCATGGTCTGTTATATTTAACTGGTCTTATAACTCTAACTATTTATTGCAGCTGTGAATGAAGCAAGTGACAGCCCGGATGGTCATCGAGGTCAGTTGAAACTTACGTTTTGTTCAGTCTTTCTTGCTGGATCTGAAATGTCTGCCTTGTCTATAAATTTGAGAACATTTTTCTATCTGCACTTCCATGTCATTCACTGTTGTGGAATACGATCTGTTTCTATTTCAATATTTGTCATTTACGTGGGTTTTTTTTTTCACAGAAGCACATTTGAGTGAGTCAGTATCGTGAATGAGTCTAGAAATAGTCTTTGTGGTATTGCCAGATGGTACCATTGTAGACCCAATAAGTCTGACATTAGGTGATAGTCATTTATACTGGGCTGGGTGGGCTGGAGAGATTCCGAGGAGCGTCATCCGAAAACACAATCAGCTCACGAGAGGTGTCGAGTTTTGTACAATTTGTGTGAATTTCGAATTAAAGGTTGTTACAATGTCCAAATCTTCAAAGAAACAGAGTTGGATTTATTAAAAGTGAAAAAGAACTTGATCAGAAATCTCCAGACCTAGTTGCCTACCCCAATGAAAAACATCTAGTCCCACTTGCACAAAGCAATCTTAGTGCTAATACCACTGTAAGCCTATAAAGTATAGGAGTTACCATGATCTAATATAGATATATAGATATATAGATAGGAACTCACTGTATCAGTGTAGAATAAATAGATTAATTATCATTTCCTGATAGTCCCTCATAGAGTTCTAGGTAGCACAGGTTCCCAGAGTTCCCTGTTTGAACTGACTAAAATGGACAGTGGCTAGTACCGATACTTGGATAACTGACCCCAGGAGGGATCAGCTGTCAGTGAGGCTAGATTAGACCGCCACCGGTCTAGTGGTAAAGCTTCCACCCGGAGAGCGGAATGTCGGCGGTTCAATCCCCGGCCGCGTCATACCAAAACATGTTAGAGGATGGTACTTGTTGTTACCCTGTCTGGCGTTCGGCATTAAGGGGCTAAAACAAGGTCTGGTCGCCCCAGAGTCAGTATACTGTGTCAGAGTGGGGTATTCAAGTTAAACTGCGACATGGTATCTCAGTGGGCTAGCACCATAAAATCGGCATCAGTCCGGACAAGTACAAGCAGCCACACACGCTATATAAGTGCAATAATCTTGGAACGCGATGTTAAACCCAATTTACCTCACCCCATGACCAGACGAGGTGATTTTACAGGTCAACATTGTGATATTGTTAGCTATTGCATGAAACAATATTTTGTAAAATCATTCATTTTCTGATAGAAACATATAATACCATAGATAGCTTTCCAGAATAGGACTTGCATAATCCAGCTTGTCATACCCGTTTGAGTTTAGTTTAATTTTTTTTATTTGATTATAGAAATATTTCACTTTTAATTGATGTAGTTATTAGTAGGTTGTTTATTTCACCTCTTTCCTATAGCTAGATGTTCCTCAGTTGCTTGTCTCTGTGTGTTTGATTGTGCTGCGTAACCCTAGATGAAGATGCTGATAACACAAGGGAGGTAACTCCTCAAACTGGCGACGAGACTTCACCCTCTGTTCCGACTCCTGACATTGATGTCATTCTAGACGCAGATGACCCTGGTATACTTCATATCTTTCTCTATCACATGTGATACATTCCCGATTATCCAGTGTATCATATCTCCATTCTATACCCAGGAGTCTAGGCCCATTTGCCACCATTTTGAGTCTAGATTGAAAAACAAAGCTAAAAAAAAAATAGACCCCGAATATTATTACATGATTAAAACAAGAGATATATCACGAGTGTTCAACTTGACTTTTGAGCGCTGTGTCTTATGCAACCTGAACATTTTTTAGTATAATAAACCCCCTGTGTTAATACTAAGGTTGGTTGGTTTGTTGTTTAACGCCGCACTCAGCAATATTACAGCTATATGACGGCGGTCTGTAAATAATCAGGTCTGTTTTTAGTCCAATCAAAATTGCGCAACAAAATCGAAATCCGGTTGGTAAACTGTCATGCTGATTTCGATCGATTGCAGGATTTGCAAAGCATGTGCACCGCCAACTCGTTGTTAACAGATATTTTCCAAATCTTTTCATGATTTTAAGCAAGGTGCTCACGTGATTTGATACACTTTGCGATGTAAGACCCATTATAGATCTTGATTATCGATCAGATCGTCTTGACTGGGCGCCGCCATTTAGTTTGAATCGAATGCAAGTGATACGAGAGGTGGAATCTGATTGGTCAATGGGAGAGGCTTAAAAGGGACATAACTCGTAATAGCTACTGATGGTGCTACGATCGAGCCCAGGAATTCAAGCCTAGTTCGGCAAGGATGGAAACTGGACTTTTTAAGTCAGTTAACTCTCTTGCCTCGGGAAGATGGTCCAGAAGAGGCAGTTTGATTGGTTGTTGAGTTCTTGCTTTTGAGGAAGCGAAATTCTATGCTATGTTACAAGAGCAAGGGAGCTAATGACGTGACGTCTGAACCTCAGCTATAGTGTTAAGGGTCCATTGTATTTATCATAATAGAATGGAGATTTCACACACTGGATAAACGAGTATGCGTGTCATATGTCTGTTTCATCAGAGACCATATAATAGTCTATTATATGGTCTCTGGTTTCATTTAATGTAAAATTGAATATAATATCTGTTGTGTTTTGATGCATGTGTTGATTTATTACTTACAGGATAATACTATTTCTTATTGCTTCTTGACTCAAATAGCCATTGCAGTTCTGAAAACAAACATATATCAGTAACACATATATACATCAATATATCGTCAAATAATTTACTCATTATCACGATTATAGGTCTAATTCAAAAGATCCCTCAGTTGAGTTTTATTTGTGAGTCTTTTATCATATATTTTATTTTCAATTGGATAAAGATTTTTTACTGGTATAAGGAAATATTTTTACAAATATATTTCAATTTCTAGTTCCTACTACTCAGTAACAATTTACGTTTTATTCTAACTGTTTTCTGGATTTTGACTAAAAAATCTATCCTCTGTGAATTTGCAACAATTTACTTTGCTGCCCTATATCTAGAAATAAATCCAGACAGGATTCCCTTGTAGGGATTCTGGGGCAAGTACCCTATGCTTATTGTGTGAGAAGGGGGCACAGGTGGCCCAGTCGTCTAAAGCGCTGCGATTCGCTGTGCAGAGTTGCGTCCCTTGGGCACGCCAGAAACCTATGATTGTGGGTTCAAATCCCGGTTCGCCCCGATTATGTTTCTAGGTTTGTCAGCACCATACCCGTGCTCGTGGGTTTCATCGAAGTGGTAAACGTCTGAGACCTGCATCACTTCGGGCTTTCCTCCCACATTAAGCTTACACGCCACGATATAACTGGAATACTGTTAAAAGCGGCGTTAAACCCAACTCACTCACTATTGTGTGAGATGACTTGATAATAGGAACTGACTGGTCACAATGTTATCAGAGTATGTATAGTGATAGGTTGGTTTTAACAAGGGGGGGGCAGATCTGTGATCTGTCTGATACCAGGAGTTGTAGCAAGATCGAGAGGTACATGGGGATTTATGCGTCCTCCGGCTCATGGTATAAAACCTAACGATATGACATTGTAAAAGAATTATAACTATTCAAAATTGATAGAAAACAGTTGTTTGATTGAGCTGAGGTTAACTTGTGCTGTGTCACGTGACTTCATTGACTCAGCATTTTGCTTCAAAGTCGGCTACACAGGATTTATTTTCCCGATCAGAAATCCATGTGCAACTTTTTATTATTCTTGGTGGGGTATAAGGGATTTATTCATCCGCTGAAGAATTTATTTCCATCCAAGGCGGGATACATGGTATTTTATCAAGGTCACATGAACCAATCAGATCTCATCATTCTGACATGGAGGTGTGATAAAGTGTACTTTTCTACCCATGTGGCATACATGCTCACATTATCAACCCTTTTTTGGAGCAAGTACTTTGAAGATGCTAGAGTATACCTGTAGATTGTTGACTTGAATGTTAAACATCATGAACTAACAAACAATATTTTTATAATTAAATTCTAATATTTAACCAAAAGTCTCTAATGAACAGTAACACTGACATATTCTCTCAAGCTCCTCACAGCCATAGTCTGTTCCCGGTGCTCTCTATACTATCGCTGCCACCAGTCAAAACTCCCCACTGTGATAGGTGGCCCCAACCATGCTTGGAGTTGAACTCGCACCCAAATGACCGTTATGTTTACAAACAAGTGACGACTGTTGTGACGCCGAATACACTTACCGCTGATAAATTACTGTCTTTGTTTGTCAATTTGAATTTCTATTTCATTAAAAGTATCATCTTTAATTGATATAGTAAGAATGTAAGGGAGAAGTTGGTTGATTTTCCGTTTGTTTGCAATCTCAAACCAATATGATTATTAAAGCAACAAAGTAAATTCATCTGGAAAACATGGTCAGTCGTAAACCTTTTCAAAATGAAATATGATGGCATTTCCAAAGACATAAACAAAAGTATAAACGTTACTACATATGGGGTTAGAGGGCAAATTTCAAGATTCCTGTAATGGCCGCGCCCACACTGGTGGCAGCGATGTTACCGAGAGTGTAACGAAGGTGTCACTCGCTGGGAAGGAGCTTGATATTCCCTGTTCAATGTGGACGGAGTTGTGTCCCTTGGCTACCAGGATCTGCTGGTTGTGGTTTCAATCCTATTTGCCCAAGTTGTTATCATGGGTTTGAATCCCAGACTCACACTGTTTATGGTCTGTCAGCACCATTGTCATGCTCATACATTTCACCAAAGTGGTCTACGACCTGCCTAAGTTTGGGTTTCATCCCACATTAAGCAGACAGTCTGTGATATAGCTGAAGTACTGTGGAAATCATCACTAGACATCCCGGGGGGCACGGGTGGCCCAGTCGTCTAAGGTGCCGTGATTCACTGTGCAGAGTTGCGTCCCTTGGGCACACCAGAAACCTATGATTGTGGGTTCGAATCCCGGTTCGCCCCGATTATGTTTCTAGGTTTGTCAGCACCCTACCCGTGCTCCTGGGTTTCACCGAAGTGGTAAACGTCTGAGACCTGCATCACTTCAGGTTTTCCTCCCACATTAAGCTGACACGCCGCGATATAACTGGAAAACTGTTAAAAGCAGCGTTAAACCCAACTCACTCACTCACACACTAGACATCCCTCAGATACTCCCCAACGGACACTGATGTACAGTTAACATCCAGTCACTTCCATTTCTTTTGATTTTGTTCTACTTTCACACACTAATTCTGAGATTTCAGTAGAATTTTAACATTAACAATAATCTGATTGTTTCATCAAATGAATATTTATGCCTATTATATAACAAATGAATTCATAATCAACATCTACAAATGAATATCAACATATATAAGGTAGGGCCGAAAGAATTTACGTGTTTCATCCCTTGACATAAATGTAAGATACCCATATCTATCTATATCTATTTATTAAGTGATTAAATATTTATATGAAGAACAAAATAAGTCCTTGAGTGAAATATGAATAATATGCTTTTCATTTAACTGCTTTTCCACAGTCAGATAAGATGATGTGTCATGTGTATCAGCCAGTCTGTATCTCTCTGTTAAGACCGAGTGAGGGGAGATCTGAGTGTGCCGGACCGTATCCCAGAAGAGGAGGAGGACGTGCTTGAAGGTGGGGAGGATGCAGGGATGCTTGGACCAGGCTTATGTCTCTATCTGTAATCCATGGACAAGCCAACCATCTTTGTGGAGTCATGACAATAGTTTACACAAAATTGCATCCATACATTCGAGTGAAATATATTATGGATTTTGTACCAAAAATATCACCAGGAACAGTTTCTGACTAATGACTCTAACCATTATTCCTAGGCCTGAGTGTTGTAAATCCCTGATAATTCTGATTTATCTATTGTTGTGTTGTAGATACATTCCGTGCTGAGGTCCTCCCCACTGAGCAGGTCAGTGTTGTTGTGCTGAGCTATGTTTATTTCTATGTTATTAATTTATTTTAGTATTGTTTACACTAACCTGTTAGTGACATTTTTCATACTTATAAAAAGTTTTTTGTTTGGGAATTGAAACCAAAATTATTTTGCAGTTGTGTGGTCAGTCTTTATAGTTTTCACTTTTTGTAAATGCCAGGTTTGTTTGTAATGGGCATACTGTATTCGACATAATAAGCGCCCCTCTCTAATAAGCGCCCACAGGGATATTTGCTAATATATTGGCTAATGAACAATCCCAATTAGCACTCCTTCCAACTGATCTATGTACACAAGACTTATGTTTTAGTCTGTTTTCAGTCGTACAAATGGGTATCTCTCATACCCTCACGTCTAGTCGCACGTTTAAGAGGAAGCCAGAAGCTGGAATGTAAACATTAAACTTGTTTCCGTCCGGTTGCGCACGCACCTCCCTATGACATGTCACAAATCTCTCAGCGCGCCTCTGCGCTGGTCGCTCGAGAAAGTCTTTCGCGGTAGCCTGCTAGTTTGTATTCTACTAGTACTTATCGCTTATCTACAGTTGTTCTAATAAAGTAATAATATGTCTTACCTGTAGACTCCTGGAATGTAATCCTTGGTAATCCATTGTTTGTGTTCAACGCGTGTTTCGCTGTTTGACAGTGATTCTACACGTGGCAATATGTCGGGCATTTGTGCCTCGTGTCAACGAAAACTGTCTAAAGTAGACCCTCACAAGTATTGTCCTTCCTGCATCATTAAGAACGGGTTTTCAACGTGTTCGTGGAATAAACGTTGTAAAGGATGTGAGAACTTGTCTTCAATAAACTTTAACTTGTATCTTCGTGCGTTGGCGAAGCGGGCCGCTGACCAGCGCTACAAGCAGAGAAGGTCATCGGTTGGATCCTTGGACTCTGCACCCTCCGCATCAGGCCCTGGGGGTGGCGAGTCGACCACACCTCAGAAATCAGTTGATAAAGACCCGCCTCAGTCAACTTCAGTTTTCGACAAGACATGTGACCGTTCGCCTGCTGATGATACTACCCGCACGACTGGTCTTCGTCATTCGGTTGATCGAGAGCGTCACTCAGCCTCCCCCGTTACGACGGGACCGGGTGGTGACGAGGACCATGAGGGGACTACGGTCCCCAGTCGGTCCGTATCTCGTTCTACCAACGACGATAGGGACGTCGTGCGGGACGACAGTGGACACAGAAGTCGTTCCCGTTCAAGTCGGGACGACAGGACGAGTGCCTCGTCGAGAGACAGTACACGACACGAGGGCGTTCATCGTCATCGTGGTTGTCGAATGTATGATTCGGACGATAACTACGATGGGGATCGTAGTACTTCTACAGTTAGAGATCGTAGCCCTCGTCCCCACGGGGACGTGCGACGTTCTCGAAGGGAGTTTCGGGGAGTTCAGCGTCGTAGTGAAGATAGTGACAGAACGACGACCTCATCTCCCTTTCATATCGACCCGGCTTTGATAGCCCAGATCACGGCGGCGGTCCTCGCCTCGACGGCGTCGACCAAGAAGGATACGACTACGTCGGGGGTCCATGGCCCGTCAACTAGTACAGCAGCTCCTTCATCTACGCCTCCACACTCGACGTCGACGATGGATTGTGACGACAGCCCTCCTAGGCCTCCCAAAGAACGATGACAACCCGACGCGTGCGGGCTTTAAGGTCGGAGATACACCGCAGTCTCTTCAGTTTTCTCCTCGCGATGTCTTCAGAGCCATGGCTCACGACATGGACCAGAACTTTGGCTCTGCTCTGCCTGGGCAGAGCTTCTGCAAGCCGCCTGGTTGATCTCGTTACCCGATCTATGGCATGCCGTTTTCGTCACCCATGACTAGGGATTTGGACTGGGGGCTACTCTTCAAGAGACCAGCGCCCTCCACATTTGGAATCCATGGACACTGCTGTTCGTCACCAGCTGCAAACTCTTGCTATGCTGTCGACAGCGATCAAGGCCCTCTCAGTGTGCTTTGAGGAGAAAGAACCCCAGGACGAGGACGACAGGACGGTGCCTTCGGTCCTCACCTGTATGCAACGGTGGATCTCGGACGTCCTCGCCCAGTCCCGATATGTATCGGGCCAGATTACTACGGCGCGTCTGGTTACATCGACTGCACTGACCTACCTGATCGTCATGGCAGGTCACTCTTACGGGCCCCGTGGACATCGCAACAGTTGTTCGACGGTTGTACCAACAACGTTCTGGACAAGTACTCCAGGGAAGCCGAGCGTGACATCATCATTTCGGCTTCACACAACCTGTCCAGACGGCCACCGGTTTCGAACGCCCCACGACGACGTTACCGAAACGAGAATGTGCAACGGGCCTTCTGTAGGGACGTGCCTCGACAGCCGTCCCGCAAGAGAGATTCCGACAGGAAAGGTCGCCAGGTCTCCTTTTCCAAGTTTCCCAGAGGGGGACAGTGCCAGCGGGGGAGGAAGTGAGGTCCCTTCCCCCGCCGTCGCCGTGGTTGGAGTCTCCCCCGGTGACACTACCTTTAGACGAGCTACCGGTAGGGGGGCGACTTCGTCACTATGCCCACAAGTAGGTTTTCCTCAACGACCCTTACGTTCAGAACATTTTGACAACAGGCTACGCCCCACGCCTGAGATCGACGCCACCAGTGACGTCATCCCCGACATTCCACATTCCACCAACGGATCGGCTGACGGCGGCCATCGATTTGTTGGTGGAAAAGGCGGCCGTACTTCGCCTGGGGACATCGGCACCATCGCCGAGGTACTACTCGCCCATCTTTCTAGTACCCAAGAAAAACTCCACAAAGATGCGGCTTATTTTCAATCTCAAAAAGTTCAACGCAACATACCTCCAACCGCCCGACACATTCACCTTGATATCCCTCAGCTCTCTGCGTCGGATGATATTAGCGAACGACTTCCTCGTCTCGTTAGACCTTCAGGACGCGTATCTACATGTACCAATAGCTTCCGAGTTCCAGAAGTACCTCCGATTCGAATACCAAGGTATTCCTTACCAGTGGGCGGCCCTCCCGATTGGAATTTCTACGGCCCCGTGCTTTTTCACACGGATCATGAAGACGGTCGTAGAATGGCTCCATCGGCAGGCGATCAGGGTCGCCTTCTACCTAGACGACGGGCTCCAAGCTCACCAGTTTACAGAAGCCCTTCAAGGTGAGTTGGCGACCACCCTGAGTCTACTACGGTACCTCGGGTGGATCGTCAACTTTCAAAAGTCGGACTTGGTACCAACTCAGTACATTAGGATACGCTTCCAGACGGGAGTCAATCTGGTCCAGGTACCTCAAGACCGTTGGGACAAGATTGTCAGCAGCGTTCCGAGACTTCTACATGCCTCGGCGTCGGTGCACACGTGGCAGGAAGTCCTCGGTCTGTTGACATCGGCCCAAGACTTGACTCGTCGAGGTCGTCTTCAACTTCGTCCGCTGCAGAGATTGCTGTACCCCCACCTGGAGTTTCCCAATCTCCTGGTTCCACTTCCGGCGCAGCTACGTTGTCATCTGGAGTGGTGGCTCCAGCCGTCGAACGTTTGCGAAGGCGTCTTTATGAGCGAGCCTCCGTTCATACTACACCTATTCGTAGACGCGTCATTGGAAGGCTGGGGAGCGCACTTCGGGGACGACCAAGTGGCCGGGCTGTGGTCGCCAGTAGAAAAGGTCCTCCACATCAACTGCCTCGAGATGGAAGCAGTGATTCGGGCGGTCGAGTTTTGGAAACTTCGACTCCGTCGGAAACGGCTGATGATACAGTCGGACAACTCCACAGTCGTCCACTGCGTCAACAAACAGGGAACAACTCAGTCGGCGGCCCTTCTGGACCGGACATTCAGGTTCTTCGCCCTCGTCGACGACTTGGATATGGGCGTACGCGCCCGTCACATCCCGGGGGCCAAGAATGTGATGCCGACGCCCTGTCGAGACCATCGAGGCCGTCTCCCACGGAGTGGATGATCCATCCGACAGTCTTTCATCTGCTGACAGATCGACTCTGGTTGCCCCAAGTAGATCTCTTTGCTGCCCCGTACAACAACCGCCTCCCTCGATTCGTGTCGCCGGTTCCAGACCCACGGGCATGGGACCACAACGCTCTAGCGATATAGTGGGGGGGTCTAGACGCTTACGCGTTTCCACCAACGGTGCTGTTACCATCGCAACTGGTGACAGTTCGTCAAACGGCCAACCTACGTCTGCTTTTGGTCGCGCCTTATTGGCCGGCCAGAACATGGTTCCCGGAACTTCTTCAGATCATCGATCAACCACCGTTCCCGTTGCCAGATCGAGACGACCTCCTTCTTCATCCTCACACCGACGACTTGCATCCGGGGATAAAGAACTTCCAGCTTCACGCCTGGGTTTGCTTAAGACCTCGTTAATGAAGAAAGGCTATTCGGCTAAAGCGGCAGCGCTTGTCTCGTCGGCACATCGAGTTACGACTCGTAAGCTGTAAGATGACAAGTGGACCACTTTCTCCATTTTCGCCAGGTCTCATGGCTTCAACCCGGCGGTAGCGACCCCACCACAGGTGGCGGAGTTCCTAGTCTCTCTCCGGTCATCTCGGCGTCTGAAAGGGTCGACGATCTCGACATATCTGGCAGCTTTGGCTTCAGTAGTGCCGTCTCCTACGGGCGACAAGCTCACTAACGTACCGGAGTTGCAGAAGATTCTACGTGCCTTCATGGTTGAAGATCAGTCACGTAAATTCCGACCGCCGGCCTGGGACCTTGGTGTCGTTCTGCGCAACCTGTCTAGTCAGGCTTACGAGCCTCTCGATCAGGTCGCGTTCGACTTATTGTCTCAGATACGGTTTTCCTTCTCTCGCTGGCTACGGCTGCGAGAATTACGGAAATACATGCCATTGACGTCGGTCGGATTACGTTCGATCAGCGTAACCATGGCAACGTCCATCTTGGTCTCCGATGGGATTTTTTAGCGAAAAATCAACTTCCTGGCCAAGATCCGAGAATGTTCCACATTCCTTCCTTGTCTGCCATTATGGGCCCTCATGATCACGCTGATCTCACCTTGTGCCCAGTTCGTGCGCTTCGTATTTACCTGCAGCGTTCTGAACAGCGACGACAACATTTTCGACGGCTGTTCATACCGCTCTCAACCAATGCAAAGAAAGAGATTACACGTAATACTCTCTCATTTTGGTTGAGAGCGGTAATTCTCAGAGCTTACGAGGCACAAGGACTCGCACCTCCCACCTCCTCTCATCCGCACGAAGTTCGAGCCTTCGCTTCAACATTAGCACTCCACAGTAATTGTTCGCTACAAGTTATTATGGAGGGCTGCTTTTGGAGATCTACTTCAGTGTTTGCTTCGCATTATCTTAGAGATTTCTCCACAGAAGATGTTGAAGGACTCAAACAGTTTGGTCCACTCGTGGTGGCACAACAGATCTCTCAGAAAAGACAGTGAATTTGTGTTTTATTCACTTTGGAGTTTTTTGCTCGACACTTCGTGACATACTACAGGTTACAATAAAAGCTGTTGGTGAATGTACGCATTCTTATGGTTTTTTGTTGCGTGCAGTACTTCTGCTTTTTATTATGGTTATTCGGTGTATGCATCGTCTTCCCATACATTATAGTACTGCTCGTATTTTTTAGTTACTTTGTATACTGCGAGTTGCTCTGTAACTAAATTATGCGCCGACCTCACTTCGATCCGGGTTCAACTGACGTGTGCAGTTGTACTGTCGCATCGATAATTAGTTGTGTGTTGAAGAGCATTACCCATGCTATTTTAGTTACCTTGTCTACGGCGAGTTCTGTAACTAAATTATACGCCGACCACATTTCGATCGCAATTCAACTGACGTGTGCAGTTGTCCTGTCGCTTCGATAATTAGTTGTGAGTCGAAGAGCATTAAACATGCTGTTTTAGTTACCTTGTATACTGCGAGTTGCTCTGTAACTAAACTATTCGTCGACCACACTTCGATCGCAGTTCAACTGACGCGTGCAGTTGGCCTGTCGCATCGATAATTAGTTGTGTGTCGAAGAGCATTAACCATGCTGTGCGTTCATGATAAACAACTTGTCTCGTCCGTGCATCTGGTCGAATGTTCTATTGTCACTACAGGGGTGAGGAACTTGGTACATTCGACGTGAAAGTGGTCACTGCCTGATTACTTTCCCGACCCTCCTTCCAGTTTTCCGTCGAATTCTACCCATTTGTACGACTGAAAACAGACTAAAACATGGGTTTTTCAGATTAAAAACGATGTTTTATTGGTCTGTTTTCAGTCGTACGTTCCCACCCAACCATCCCCACAGGGAAGTAATCCAGTCCAGTCCTGCTTGATGGCTTATTCTTCGAGATTTGTGACATGTCATAGGGAGGTGCGTGCGCAACCGGACGGAAACAAGTTTAATGTTTACATTCCAGCTTCTGGCTTCCTCTTAAACGTGCGACTAGACGTGAGGGTATGAGAGATACCCATTTGTACGACTGAAAACAGACCAATAAAACATCGTTTTTAATCTGAAAAACCCATTTATTCGTGTATAATATGCACTCGTGTGTTATATGCACCCTTAATAATGGGCAATTAAATTCTGGAAAATGTATCTGTCGTGTATAATACGCACAGACTTTTCTTTGGTATCATTTCAGGCTTTCAGCATAGACCACAAAATTTACGATCTTTCAACTGGTTTTTTTTTCACCAAAATTTTATTCTAATAAGAGCCCCCTAATTTCTAATTTTGAGAGATCCCTGGGCGCTTATTGCATCAAATATGGTAATAACTCACAGGAACCTACCATGAAGGTTACTTAGAACAGCTTATGTCAGATGTACAGACCTGTGTCTGATACCACTTGTCCAAGGGAGGTAAACATGTTTTTTTGCGACATGTAGACTATGATTTCAAGATTTCTGAACATTTTGCTTTTTACCACATGTTCAAAACTTTCAAAGAAAGAGTTGTCAGGCCTTGATTGTATTAAAAGTCAAGTAGCTCGTGAAACAAGTTTTGATATTTGTGGATGTAGACGTGTGACTATATGTTCCAGACGCTACCTCCCCCGGTCATCCCTGATGTTCCCCCGCCTACAGCTGCAACCACCACTACACTGGACAGCCTCATTGAGATGGACGAGGAGGAGGAGGAGGAGGCTTGGCTAGAGGAAGAACCAGCAGCTGATGTGGGAGTTGATATTCGCCAGGTAGGAGGCAGCCAATATTGTCTGACTTTGTCTGAATAGAAAGAATGAGTGTCCCCAAAACCTTTCTGATATTTACACATGTCAAGTTTCAGTGCTGATTGTTCAGTTGAAGCAATGTCATCACGTCCCAAAGGCCTGGATCACTGCTATTGCTTTCAGTCTCTAGTTTGCCTGATCCAGACCGTTACTGACCGTCTGTCATGATAGTGCAGAAATACGGAGTTAAACTAGTCACTCACTCTTGTCTCCCCAGGCATATGAGGACCTGCTCGCCCCACCCACAGCCACATATGAGGACCTGGTGAAGGTGGAAGGTACACAAAAGGAGCTGCAGGATCGACAGATCCCCACCCCCTTCACCGGACCACGCCTTCCTGTCTACTCCACCTCTGTGTCCTTCCTTTCCTCATGGGCCCCGACGACAGAGAGGAAGTACATGCCGACGTCTGAGGTAGAAGATGAAGGGGGGAAGAAGAGCATCCATCACTTTTGTAAGATGACATCCGAGTTCCAGCTGCCCAAACATTTCCAGAATGTTGGCCGGAAGTACCACACTCCGGACCAGTTCTCATCATCCTTCCCAGCTCAACCCTACAGGGTGAGTTAATGCTTATATAAATAAGTAGTTGAGGCCAGGAAAGCAAATAAAGTTCCTCATCACCATGCTTTTATAAATAAGTTGTTAAGACCAAGAAAACTGATTACGTTCCTCATCACCATGAGTAGGTCTTTTGGGCCAAGAAACCTAATAAAGCTCCTCATCTTAATAAGTAGTTTAGGCCAAGAAACCTAATAAAGTTCCTCATCTTAATAAGTAGTTTAGGCCAAGAAACCTAATAAAGTTCCTCATCTTAATAAGTAGTTTAGGCCAAGAAACCTAATAAAGTTCCTCATCACCATGTTTTCATGAATAGTTTTTTTAGGCTAAGAAAGCCAAAAAGGTTCATCACCATGCTTTTCTGACTAGGTCTTTTAGGCCAAGATGACTATGTAATTGGTCATCCATTTTGAAATGGTCTTTTGATTAGATAAATTTGATAAACAGTGAGACTATACATAGTTTAAAGATGCTGATAGTATCATTGGCATTATCTTCTTTTACATTTCTTGTCTAAAGTAGTTCATTTAGAATGTTCCCTTAAACAAAGGTATGATGATGATGATGATGATGATGATGATGATGATGATGATGATGATGATGCAGCTGCTGCTGCTGCTGCTGCTGATGATGATGATGATGATGATGATGATATTGGAGATTTTATGAGGGCTTCCAGTAGAGCTGATTTTGCACTCGGGGCATACCTTTGAAACTTAGGAAATATTAACAGTATGCCCCAAAATATAACCTTTGAAAAAATAATCTTTTGGGGGCATTTCGTGAATAAAGTGTTTATCAAGGAGCAGTGGGCACCTGGGGAGTTAGTGGTGAGATGCTGCTTGAGATCGGGGGTAGAGGGATTCAGTGTCTGGTGGGTGTTACATTCAAACTGAGCATGTTTTCCCTGTTGTCCAGTTTGGTGCGATGGGTCCTGCAATACCGGCTCCAGGCGCTATAGAGGAGGAGTCTGTGGAGGAAGATGAGGATGAGCGGATGTCGATCATTGCCCAGCGGGTCATTGATGAAGCAGGTCAGGTGGGGTCAGAGGACACACTGGAGGCGTGGCAGCAGAGGGCAGAGGAAGTGGTAGGGACATCGGGTTAATTTACTGATTCATTTTTCCAAAAGGATTCAGTTTATTCATATGATTTGAATCTTAACTCCTTAAAACTATAAGGCTACATCTTTTTATACATTCATTTCACCTCACCTCATATTTTGATGTTAAAATCTTTAAATTTTAAGATTACATATAATTATTTATATATTCATATTTTTCACCCAAGAGATTTCAGGCTGATTTTATTTATATATGTTTTGAAAATGAAATAATAATGCATTAGAATGCTATATGGTTTTCAAATAGAATAAACATGGGTAGAGCATCTGCCCGGAGAGCGGAAGGTCCAGGGTTCGATCCCTGGCCGCGTCATACCCAAAGACGTTAAAAGATGGTACTTGTTGTTACCCTGTCTGACGCTCGGCATTAATGGACTAAATCAAGGACTGGTTGGCTCGGAGTCAGTATACTGTGTCTGAGTGGGATATTCATGTTAAACTGCGGCATGGTATCTCAGTGGGCTAGCACTATAAATCGGCATCAGTCCGGACTGGTACAAGCTGTATAAGCGCAATAATCTTGGACGCGACTTTAAACCCCATTTCACCTAACTACCTCATCTCACAAGTTGACATGTATAAGTAAACAAGGATGGTGTTTTAGCACAAAAAACAACATATTTTTGTGCTCTTACATAAATCCTTGGTTAGAATGTGGCCCAAACAATCTATGGTTGGATTGAGTTGTCAGGCTCACATTCTTCCTGAGGCAAGGGAGTTAACTCACTATAAAAGTACAGCTCACACCCTTGCCGAACTAGGCTGGAATTTCTGGGTTCAATCGTAGCGCCACCAGTGGCTATTATGAGTTATGTCCATTCTATCGACCAATCAGATTCCACCTCTCATATCACTTGCATTTGCTTCAAATAAAATGGCAGCTGCTAGTGAAGGCAATCTGATGAGTAATCAAGATCTGTAATAAAACAGGTCTAACTTTGCAAAGTGCATCAAATCATGTGAGCACCTTGATTATAAATATGAAAACATTTGGAAAATATCTGTTGATGCCAAGTTGTCGGAACACATGCTTGGCAAATCCTGCAATCAACCGAAATCTGCACGGCAGTTTACGAACTGGATGTCCATTTTATTACGTGATTATGATTGGACTATGCATAGACTTGTTAGTGCAACCAAAATATCACACCATAATTCCTGCCTTGTTCGGCAAGGATGGAAACTGGACTTTTATAGTCAGTTAACTCCCTTGTATCAGGAAGATGTCAGGCTCATTGACTTGGTTGATAGCATGTCATTGTATTATTGTTCATTACCGTATTCAACATAATAAGCGCCCACAGCGATATTTGCTAATATATTGGTTAGTGAACAATCTCAATTAGCACCCCTTCCGATTGATCAATGTACACAAGACTTATTTATTCGTGTATGATACGCACTCGTGTGTTACATATGCACCCTTAATTATGGGCAATTAAATCCTGGAAAAATATATATGTTGTATATAAACATTTCAGGCTGTCAGGATAAACCATGAAATTTACGAACTTTTAACTCTGTTTTTTTTTTTCACCAAAATAATAATAAGAGCCCCCTATTTCTAATTTTGAGAGCGCCCTTGGCGCTTATAACGTCCAAAAGGGTATATCAGTTACATCATGTAGCTGGTATATTGCTAATTCTACATTATTTTACTTTTTGATGATATCTATAATTATAGACATTATATCATGGTAATAAAGCAAATCTGATCTAACTCTCTCAACTATACGTACATTATATGATACCCAGCCTGTTTCATCCCCAGTTCGTCCAGTGTGACATCAGTGTAGATGGTCAGAAGATAAGTATAGGGAGTGATGAGTCTCGGGTCTACTGGAACCCAGCTCCCCCCAAGCTTGACATCCCCCCGGCCAAGGTGAGGGAGGTGTTGTTCCCAGACTACACGCGAGCATCACTAGGACCAGAATCTCAGCAGCTGCAGACCGTGCCCGAGTCCGACTCAGACAGTGAGGTTGAAACTGAGTCTGACGAAAACATGCTAGACCCAGAAGATGCAGCTGGTATTGAGAGGTATGTCTTTGTTGAATGATGTCAAATACTGTAAATCTGGACATTAACGCGACCGAAAATAAATGCGAAAAATGGGAGTGGTCTTAGCTCGCATTATTAAACATCGCATTTATATCAACAATAAGACATTTTGGATAGCAGGAATACCAACTTAGACATTCTATGATATGCTGAAAATAAACAAGTATGTATTCCAAATCACTGTTTATTGAGCAGCACCGCCTCCGTGGTCTAATGGTATAGCGTCCGCCCGGAGAGCGGAAGGTCCGGGGTTCGATCCCCGGCCGCGTCATACCAAAAGACGTTAAAAGATGGTACTTGTTGTTACCTTGTCTGGCACTCGGCATTAAGGGGCTAAAACAAGGACTGGTCGGCTCGGAGTCAGTATACTGTGTCTGAGTGGGGTATTCATGTTAAACTGCGGCATGGAATCTCAGTGTGCTAGCACTATAAATCGGCATCAGTCCGGACTAGTACAAGCAGCCACACACACACACACACGTGCATGCGCGTCGCTATATAAGTGCAATAATCTTGGACGTGACGTTAAACTCCATTTCACCTCACCTGTAACAAGTATATAAACCATGTCATTCAAACACTAATTATATCAAGACAAGAGTTCTACTCACTAATGTCATCACTGATCACACCTGCAAGTCCAGACAGACGCCACCCATGCAACACAGTGTCTTTGTTCTTTGCGACACGAGCCAGCGAGCATGTATTGTTTTAGTGGGAGTACTCTACTCAGCACTAATAAGCGGTGCTATTTGGTTTGTGATTGGATTAAAATAAGGTTGGATTAAGGTGAGGATTCTCCTGTACACCTGACAGAGGATATTTTCTTTAGATATAAATCCACTGATGCTTGAGAGGAGGGGGTGTCGCATTCATATTGAGTCGCATATTTGGCTAGGGGTCAGCAGTCCCATTCTTTTGGAGACGCAATAATTTCACGATTTACAGTATCTGTTCTTCTGTTAACATTCAGCCCGTGAATATCCGGGTTAGAAAAGGTCTTCAGCAAACCATGCTTGCTGTAAAAGGTGACTAACAGGATCGGGTGGCCAGATCTGATTTGATTATTTACAGACCGCCGTCATAGAGCTGGAATATTGCTGATTGCGGCGTTTAAACAACAAACAAACAAAATCTGTTAACATTCGAGATGGAATTTGTTGTTTGGTATGTTGCACCTTCCATTCAGACAGAGTCAGAGGCAGAATGGGTTTAGGATACAGACTTGACAGCATGTATTCAAGCCCTGATGACTGTCAACCACTGGTTGATAATATATAATTCATAATAACAATGTCTACCTGTGTTTATATATGGTTACTTGGCTTGTATATCACCTGCTTGATGACAGGGTTAGAGTGTACACACAAACATTACTACAATTGTAATAATGAAGTTGATCCTCCATGCTATCTTGTCAGTAGTTTTGTGTTTATCAGTGATTATTGTGTACAGGAACTCTGTTATCACTAAGATGTCTCAGTGACATGGGTGTTCAGAGTGTACCCAGTTTTGTATTGTGCTAGCTGATACAATCTAATTCAAATCAGATCTTAGTTCTTGCCACAAACAAAGATTTCAGGTCATCCCATGACAGCTCATATCTAGACGACCTTTCATCCAATCAATCAGAGTTTTGCTCAACAGATCAGGAAAGTAACAGTCGAAATTTGTTTTCTAATCATGCAATCTCGAAAAGGTTAACACTGGGTATTCCGAGAGACATTTATGGGGTGTACGACTGATTCTGTCAAAATCACCGTCTAGCTCTCACTTCAATGGGATTACCATTTCAAATGGAAAGATTTTACATAGCCTTTGGGAAGTACTGCCATTCAAAGTCGGCAATCTATTACACAATCCAGAATATTCTTTTGTTCAGTTTTCAATTTTTGAAACTCAAATTTTGTCAAATACTTTTCAAGCATAATCTGGAATGGAAGTTGCCAGTTTGAAACTAGTGCAGCAAAGCATGAGAAAGCTGCTTTCTGATTGGCTAATGTTTTTTCATTGGTCAGCCAAAGGTCATTCTGATCTTTTTTTGGTAGTAGCAAGAACTAAGATCTGATTTTGTGAGATTGTAGCTAATGTCCGGTAGTTGAGAGAGACTGTTGTGTTCCAGGCAAGGGAGTAGGGGGCAGACGTGCAGGTAAGCTGTGGGGCTGGTGGTAGAGATAACCAGGACTAACGCACAACTAATCTTCATGTAGCCTGCTAGAGGGAAACATGGAATGTTGTTAGAAGATTTCAGTACTCAATAACACCTGTAAATCTTGAACACATTATTTTTATCTCCTTAATATATTTACCTTTATAATTATTGTTATCCCCGGTCCATACCCGTGAAGATTCCGGGGTAGAATAGGTCTTCAGCAACCCATGATTGCCGTAAAAGGTGACTATGTTTGTCGTTAAAGGCGACTAACGGGATCGGGTGGTCAGGCTCGCTGACTTGGTTGATGCATGTCATTGATCCTAATTGCATGGATCGATGCTCATGATGTCAATCACTGGATTGTCTGGTCCAGATTCGATTATTTACAGACCGCCGTCATATAGCTGGAATATTGCTGAGTGCAGCGTTAAACAAAAAAAACAACCAACCAACCAAATGAAGCTTTGCTGGGGCTATAGAAACGGGCCATCTGTCATGTTTCATTTTGTTTTGTTTCTGGAGCATGACTCTTACACCATTTATTATTTATTTGTGAAACTTAGTATGCACATCAAGCATGTCATGAATTAGTGCCTGTTGATGATGAGGATTGTTTTTAAAACAAATTTTGCGTTGCAAAGGACACAATTTGGACTTAGGTTCCAGTGAGGGTAGTGTTAGTTTCTGGAGCAAAAATCAAATTCAGTGGTTCTCTGTAAAACTTTGTTCATTATGTTGTTAACACATCAGACACGTGCTGAACTGGTGCCTTTTGCTATTCAGGAATGTTAGACTTAGACTTTTGTTCAAATGAATGTAGTGTTTGTTTCCGGAGTCATTAACGGTTTGGTAATTCTTTGTGAAACTTTGTATGCTCACCAAGTGCTGAACTTTTGCCTTTTTCATTCTCGAGGATGACAATTATTTACCTTTTTTCTATGATGAAAAGACTACATGACAGACTTTTACTCAAAGCACTGATATGTCTTGATGAAACTTTGTAACTACATCAGATATAATACATCATTCAGCTCTATAAGTATTCCAAGCAACATGTGCTTGTTGTAAGAGGCGATGTAATGGATTTGGTGGTCATGCTAGGTTACTTGTTTGATGGTGTAACATTGTTCCCTGAAATGGACGTTGCTCATTATATCAAGCACTGGATTGTCGGGTCTAGACAAAATAATCTTCAAGTGCCAACGGATATTCCCAAATCTTTTATGTTTTCAATCAACGTGATCAAGGAAAACCCATTTTATTACAATAAGATCTTGATTATTGATCAGATCGTCTTGACTGGGCAACGCCATTTTGTTTGGAGCAAATGAAATTGATATGAGAGGTGGAATCTGATTGGTCATTAGGAGGGACATAGAAGGGACATGACTTGTAATACAACGTAGTCACTGGTGGTGCTACGATCGAGCCAAGAAATTCCAGCCTAGTTCAGCAAGGGTGGAAACTGGACGTTTATAGTCAGTTAACTCCCTTGCCTCAGGAAGATGGATATAATAGGTGTGGATTATCTGATATTGTTGTTTTGTGTACATGTAAGTATTCCCACCAGTAAATGTCAGGAAGGTGGTGTTCTGGAGAATGGGGTCTACATTAACAAGGTCTCACTGTAGATTAGAAATTACTCTTTTGAATATTTATTAAAATGTGTGTTAGATAGAATAGATATTTTGTTTAGAGGTGCATACTGACAGTTAATTACCTTGGGATGCAGGGCTTGATGTAAGGGGCAACTATACATGGGTATCAGTTAACTACTGTGTGATGCAGGGCTTAATGTAAGGGGCAACTATACATGGGTATCAGTTAACTACTGTGTGATGCAGGGCTTAATGTAAGGGGCAACTATACATGGGTATCAGTTAACTACTGTGTGATGCAGGGCTTGATGTAAGGGGCAACTATACATGGATATCAGTTAACTACTGTGTGATGCAGGGCTTGATGTAAGGGGCAACTATACATGGGTATCAGTTAACTACTGTGAGATGCAGGGCTTGATGCAAGGGGCAACTAAACATGGGTATCAGTTAACTACTGTGTGATGCAGGGCTTAATGTAAGGAGCAACTATACATGGGTATCAGTTAACTACTGTGTGATGCAGGGCTTAATGTAAGGAGCAACTATACATGGGCATCAGTTAACTACTGTGTGATGCAGGGCTTAATGTAAGGGGCAACTATACATGGGTATCAGTTAACTACCTTGGGATGCAGGGCTTAATGTAAGGGGCAACTATACATGGGTATCAGTTAACTACTGTGTGATGCAGGACTTAATGTTAGGGGCAACTACACATTGGTATCAGTTAACTACTGTGTGATGCAGGGCTTGATGTAAGGGGCAACTATACATGGGTATCAGTTAACTACCTTGGGATGCAGACCTTGATGTAAGGGGCAACTATACATGGGTATCAGTTAACTACTGTGTGATGCAGGGCTTGATGTAAGGGGCAACTATACATGGGTATCAGTTAACTACCTTGGGATGCAGGGCTTAATGTAAGGGGCAACTATACATGGGTATCAGTTAACTACTGTGTGATGCAGGGCTTGATGTAAGGGGCAACTATACATGGGTATCAGTTAACTACTGTGTGATGCAGGGCTTAATGTTAGGGGCAACTAAACATGGGCAACTAAACATGGGTATCAGTTAACTACTGTGTGATGCAGGGCTTATTGTAAGGGGCAACTATACATGGGTATCAGTTAACTACTGTGTGATGCAGGGCTTAATGTAAGGGGCAACTATACATGGGTATCAGTTAACTACTGTGTGATGCAGGGCTTAATGTAAGGGGCAACTATACATGGGTATCAGTTAACTACTGTGTGATGCAGGGCTTAATGTAAGGAGCAACTATACATGGGTATCAGTTAACTACTGTGTGATGCAGGGCTTAATGTAAGGGGCAACTATACATGGGTATCAGTTAACTACTGTGTGATGCAGGGCTTAATGTAAGGGGCAACTATACATGGGCATCAGTTAACTACTGTGAGATGCAGGGCTTGATGTAAGGGGCAACTATACATGGGTATCAGTTAACTACTGTGTGATGCAGGGCTTGATGTAAGGGGCAACTATACATGGGTATCAGTTAACTACTGTGTGATGCAGGGCTTGATGTAAGGGGCAACTATGATGTTAGGGGCAACTATACATGGGTATCAGTTAACTACTGTGTGATGCAGGGCTTAATGTTAGGGGCAACTACACATGGGTATCAGTTAACTACTGTGTGATGCAGGACTTAATGTTAGGGGCAACTACACATGGGTATCAGTTAACTACTGTGTGATGCAGGACTTAATGTTAGGGGCAACTACACATGGGTATCAGTTAACTACTGTGTGATGCAGGGCTTGATGTAAGGGGCAACTACACATGGGTATCAGTTAACTACTGTGTGATGCAGGGCTTAATGTTAGGGGCAACTACACATGGGTATCAGTTAACTACTGTGTGATGCAGGGCTTAATGTTAGGGGCAACTACACATGGATATCAGTTAACTACTGTGTGATGCAGGACTTAATGTTAGGGGCAACTACACATGGGTATCAGTTAACTACTGTGTGATGCAGGACTTAATGTTAGGGGCAACTACACATGGGTATCAGTTAACTACTGTGTGATGCAGGACTTAATGTTAGGGGCAACTACACATGGGTATCAGTTAACTACTGTGTGATGCAGGGCTTGATGTAAGGGGCAACTATACATGGATTAGGTGGTCACAATGACTGCCCAGTGTGGCTTACAATTAGAAAGACAAGTTCAGATGTGACTTGACCTGATTTGTCATCATACCCTGGCAATGGTGATGTATGTTCATGCTATTAACCATTGGTTGATCTAATCCAGTAACAAGGACACCTTGCAGACCGTCATGACATAGATGAAGTATTTGCTCTTGAAATTGAAATGATAAAAGAACAGTAATGTTATGCCACGCCAGATTTTGCTACTGAAGTGTTTGATGGTCTATAGTGTTATGTGAATGTTGAGCTGGTTGTATTAACATGGTTGTCTTGGTGACAGAGTCCTCCATCGCCGATACCACTCTAGTGAGGATGTGACAGCCTTGGTGAAGGCCCAGCAGGACTGGGAGGAGCTGGTGGTGGCTGGGAAGGTTGACCCCTACAGTGGGAGGAAGATCCTCACCCCCAGGGAGGTGGAGGAGGGGCCAGGAGATCCGAAGGGGCCAGGAGATCCGAAGGGGGGTAAGTTGTGTTAATGTAACTTGGAGGAAGATGGTGGAGGAGGGGCCAGGAGATCAGAAGGGGGGTAAGTTGTGTTAATGTAACTTGGAGGAAGATGGTGGAGGAGGAGCCAGGAGATCAGAAGGGGGGTAAGTTGTGTTATTGTAACTTGGAGGAAGATGGTGGAGGAGGGGCCAGGAGATCAGAAGGGATGTAAGTTGTGTTAATGTAACTTGGAGGAAGATGGTGAAGGAGGGGCCAGGAGATCAGGAGATCAGAAGGGATGTAAGTTGTGTTAATGTATCTTGGAGGAAGATCCTCACCCCCAGAGAGGCGGAGGGGGGGCCAGGAGATCAGAAGGGGGGTAAGTTGTGTTAATGTAACTTGGAGGAAGATTCTCACCCCCAGGGAGGTGGAGCAGGAGCCAGGAGATCAGAAGGGGCCAGGAGATCAGAAGGGGGGTAAGTTGTGTTAATGTAACTTGGAGGAAGATTCTCACCCCCAGAGAGGCGGAGGAGGGGCCAGGAGATCAGAAGGGGGGTAAGTTGTGTTAATGTAACTTGGAGGAAGATCCTCACCCCCAGAGAGGCGGAGGAGGGGCCAGAAGAAGCGAAGACGTAGTGAAATAATATTAAGTAGTCTCATGTAGGATTTGTGTTGCAAACTTAGGTCCTTTTGCATCTATGAGTCTAAATATCAAAGTTGGGAACACTAAAGGGAAATTTAAGCATTCACAACAGTGTCCAACACAGTTTTAAATGCATCACCTATGTAATGGTCAAAATGTTTAATTCTATTTTCTATCAATTATGATAGCTTAATTGGTTAAGGAGGTATCAAATCTGGTTTTTAGAATTTCCACAAATTATGTATTATATATAACAACAGCAATATACAATATTAAATAATTGTTATGGTTAGGATGTTTATTTAATTTCCTGGGTTTGAATGTTATGTTTCATTTTTTGATGATGTGCCAATTTTACATCAACCTTAATAAGAAGGGAGATAAGCACAGATTGGTGTGATCATATCACCATGTGCTTTAAGCAGCATGCATGATGAAGTCATGCTAGGAGCCAGTGAAGTCTAAAGTAATGGTAAGGCACATTTAGTCACTCATTTGAAAATTCATAAATAGGAATTTGTTTATAAATGCATCTTCTTAATTTCTACCATACACAGTATCTTAATTCTTCATAATTGAGAGTTTGTGGCTGGTTTAGACTTGGCTCATGGAAATACACCCTAGACTTTCAACTTTGTTCATAAATATTCTCATGGCCTAAAGTTATGAAAGGTATATGAAATATTAAGCTTTCTGTTTATTTAGTGCAGTTAAGGCATTGTTTCTGTACATTTTATTGGACTATTATGTACTTAGTGCAATGTCCAGGTTTGTGTTGTACACCTTATTGTTAAATGTTCATGCTTTTGTAAAGTAAACAAGCCCAACCTAGTATTACTGCTGTATTATGAAGTTAATGTGTAAATTTAGGAAATTCAAAAGCCATATACTCAATGAAATCCTTTCTATTTGTTACAGTTAATCTAATGTTTGTACATGAGAGTTGAGACACAAGAATAAGAAAGAATCAAAAATATTTGGAACTTCATGTTGTAATCAACAACCTAGTTGTGATATATGAATGTACTATTCAGACTACAGAAACACATCTGAGGAAAGTCTCAAATACTTGAACTTAATAAGGGCTACATCATCCTTAAGTAACACAGAGTGATCCCGTGTGTACAATACACAGGCTGCAAATCAGGCAAAGTTAAACGGAGAGTAGGTGGATGGGTGACCGGCAGGTTTGTTTCCAGAGAGTTCAAGGGCTTCAGTCCTGACCCACCCACACTGAAGAGTCAAGAGTCTATTGCCGAAATGTGCCTTGCTTTCCCAAGTAATGACTATGTATACTTACATATATATAAACATTCATCTTTATTCAAACATATAAAGACCGCCTCCGTGGTCCTGTGGTAGAGCGTCCGCCCGGAGAGCGGAAGGTCCGGGGTTCGATCCCCGGCCGCGTCATACCAAAAGACGTTAAAAGATGGTACTTGTTGTTACCCTGTCTGGCGCTCAGCATTAAGGGGCTAAAACAAGGACTGGTCGGCTCGGAGTCAGTATACTGTGTCTGAGTGGGGTATTCATGTTAAACTGCGGCATGGTATCTCAGTGAGCTAGCACTATAAATCGGCATTAGTCCGGACTAGAACAAGCAGCCACACAAACACATACTCATACATGCACTTCGCTATATAAGTGCAATAATCTTGGACGCGACGTTAAACCCAATTTCACCTCACCTCACCTCAAACATATAAAAGTCAGAAAGAAATGCAAACATTAGTGACAAGTAGTGTAACCATGGATTTCTTGATAATTTTTGTCATTAACGATATATCGCGTGATGAACCACGGGTCCAGGTAGTCCTGTGGGTATACAGGTCCTACTCAGTACCCACCAGACCTGAGTACCCAAATTACCCGTCCCAGCCCTAGTATAAACTTCCCAAATATCCCTGGTTACAGAAGATACCACGATGGTGGGATTGACCAAGAAATGATGTCCTTGTTCCCAAATTAAGTTACTACATGTTTCAGACAAAGCTGACACAGCAGCTGGAGAGGATGATACTGCGACCCCAGCAACTCCTCACTCTGAGCGTGGTCAGCAGCCGGCAATTGATGACATACTTCCCCTGGTGATGCCGCTCAGAAGGTCACGGTCACAGCCGCGGATGATGGTGGATGAGGATGACACAGTGCTGGTCCCGCAGGACTTTAACACAGCTATGAGGGAGGTGAGTGGCAGGACACAAGTCAGGACAGGAGATTTAGGATTGGATCATGGAAAAACGTTTTCTTGGGGTGCCGAGATGCCAATCTGGCATCATGACAATATTGGTGCCTAGTCATCCACGCCAGACTCTTTTTATTTCTTGGTTTACATTTTTTAGCCTTGTCATTCTTTAGCATATTGTACATGTTATCATGTTGTATATATTGTACATGTCATATTGTACATATTGTACATGTCATATTGTACATATTGTACATGGTACATGTTGTAATATTGTACATGTTGTCAAATTGTACATGATGTCATATTGTACATGTCAAAATGTACATATTGTACATGTTGTCATATTGTACATGTTGTCATATTGTACATATTGTACATGGTGTCATATTGTACAAATTTTACGTGTTGTCATATTGTACAAATTGTACATGTTGTCATTTTGTACAAATTGTACATGTTGTCATATTGTACATGATTGTCATATTGTACATATTGTACTTGTTGTCATATTGTACATGTTGTCATATTGTACAAATTGTACATGTTGTCATTTTGTACAAATTGTACATGTTGTCATATTGTACATGTTGTCATATTGTACATGTTGTCATATTGTACATGTTGTCATATTGTACATGTTGTCATATTGTACATGTTGTCATATTGTACATATTGTAATATTGTACATGTTGTCATATTGTACATGGTGTCATATTGTACAAATTGTACGTGTTGTCATATTGTACAAATTGTACATGTTGTCATTTTGTACAAATTGTACATGTTGTCATATTGTACATGTTGTACTTGTTGTCATATTGTACATGTTGTCAAAACCAAAGTTTTGCCTAGTCAAGACTCTATTATTTACCGACTGGCATCATACACTTGAGTCTACTATTGGGAATTGAATTTCTAATCATGTAAGGTAACGGCTTCTGCATTATTGCTGAATCTCTTGTCAATATTTATCATTATTTGATGTAGTAAACAAAAATATGTTTTATTTTTCACCCACAAACTTGATTTGGTTGGTCAGTTGAACTTACCTTTTTATTTTGCTGCAATTTTACTTTTGTAAATTTTGTCAGATAACCGTGATATTGTCAACCCAGGGCCCTCCCTGTTCTACAAAGCAATCTTAGCATCATGACTATTGTAAGCCTTTGTTATATTATGTTAGTTACGATCATCTTAGCGCTAAGACTGCTTTGTGGGGCCTTGCATTACAACGTTGACTCGTAACTTCATTGATTTTGAGGTGTATGGAGGGAAGGAGGTGAGACAATGACATAATAGAATCATAGTTGATTACATTTCATGAATTATGTTAGCAAACTTCGGACTGATCTAAAAGTTGAGGTTTGCTATATCCATTGTTGACTGTTCATGGCAACAGTAATGTTGTTAGGAATGTGTTTCATACCCGGTTGTTCTGTGTGTCAGATCTCGGAGCAGAAGTCCCAGATCCGTCAGCTGAAGCTGAATCGACAACAACAGGACATGTCTCCCTGTAAGGAGGTTGAAGTGCAGGAGGAGGAGGTAACACAGACACAGTCAGACACACAGACACAGTCAGACACAGTCAGACACACAGACACAGTCAGACACACAGACACAGTCAGATACACAGACACAGTCAGACACACAGACACAGTCAGACACACAGACACAGTCAGATACACACACAGTCAGACACACAGACACAGTCAGACACAGTCTGACACATATACCCAGACAACAACAGGACATGTCTCCCTGTAAGGAGGTTGAAGTGCAGGAGGAGGAGGTAACACAGACACAGTCAGACACACAGACACAGTCAGACACACAGACACAGTCAGACACACAGACACAGTCAGACACACAGACACAGTCAGATACACAGACACAGTCAGATACAGACACAGTCAGACACACAGACACAGTCAGACACAGTCTGACACATATACCCAGACAACAACAGGACATGTCTCCCTGTAAGGAGGTGGAGGTGCAGGAGGAGGAGGTAACACAGACACAGTCAGACACCCAGACAGTCAGACAGTCAGACACACAGTCGGACACACAGACACAGTCTGACATATATACCCAGACAACAACAGGACATGTCTCCCTGTAAGGAGGTGGAGGTGCAGGAGGAGGAGATAACACAGTCAGACACAGTCAGACACACAAACACAGTCAGACACACAGACAGTCAGACACACAGACACAGTCAGACACACAGACAACAACAGGACATGTCTCCCTGTAAGGAGGTGGAGGTGCAGGAGGTAACAGTCAGACACACTCAGACAGTCAGACACCCAGACAGTCAGACACCCAGACACAGTCAGACACCCAGACAGTCAGACATGTCTCCCTGTAAGGAGGTGGAGGTGCAGGAGGTAACACAGACACAGTCAGACACACTCAGACACAGTCAGACAGTCAGACACACAGACACAGTCACACACAGACAGTCAGACACATATACCCAGACAACAACAGGACATGTCTCCCTGTAAGGAGGTGGAGGTGCAGGAGGAGGAGGTAACACAGTCAGACACACAGACAGTCAGACACACAGTCAGAAACAGACACATACAAAGACACCCAGACATCCAGTCTGACACACAAGCAGTCAGACACACAGTCACACACATATACGCAAACACACAGGCAGTCAGACACACAATCTGACACACAGGCAGTCAGACACACAGTCACACACATATACCCAGACACACAGGCAGTCAGACACATATACCCAGACACACAGGCAGTCAGACACACAATCTGACACACAGGCAGTCAGACACACAGTCACACACATATACCCAGACACACAGGCAGTCAGACACATATACCCAGACACACAGGCAGTCAGACACACAATCTGACACACAGGCAGTCAGACACACAGTCACACACATATACGCAAACACACAGGCAGTCAGACACAGACAGTCAGACACATATACCCAGACACATATACCCAGACACACAGGCAGTCAGACACACAATCTGACACACAAGCAGTCAGACACACAGTCACACACATATACGCAAACACACAGGCAGTCAGACACTGGCAGTCAGACACAGTCAGACACATGTACCCAGACACATGCAGTCAGACACACAATCTGACACACAGGCAGTCAGGCACAGTCAGACACAAATACCCAGACACACAGGCAGTCAGACACATATACCCAGACACACAGTCAGACACAGGCAGTCACATACAAAGACATACTGGCAAGGACACAGCCATAGACATAGTCAGACACAGATACTGCAGATGCACTGGCTAGGACAGCAGCACAGACACAGTCAGACACAGTACACACTCACAGAATGCAACTCAGTATATGTCGATCGTCTTCCTGAGGCAAGGGAGTTATCTGACCATAAAAGTCAAGTTTCCACACTTTCGAACTAGGCTGGCATTTCCAGACTCGATCATAACGCTACCAGTGGCTATTACGAGTTATGTACCTTCTATGTCCCTCCTACTGACCAATCAGATTACACCTCTCATATCACTTGCATTTGCTTCACACAAAATGGCGGCTCCCAGTGAAGACGATCTGATCAATAATCAAGATCTTTGTTGTTATAAAACAGATCTTACCTCACAAAGTGCATCAAATCACTTGAGCACCTTGATTAAAACATGAAAAGATTTGAAAAAAAAATTTGTGATGCCCGGTTGGCAGTACACATGCTTTGCAAATCCTGCAGTCGACTGAAATCTGCATGTAATATCCATGTCGTTTACAAATGTGCAGTTGTCTTCTTTGTTACATGATTTTGATTGGACTATGCATAGAGTTGTTAGTCCAGCAAAAATGTAACTCCGGAATTCCAGCCTAGTTTGGCAAAGGTGGAAACTGGACTTTGATAGTCAGTTATTGCCCTACCTTGGCATGGGAAGACAAAGAAACAGTCACACTTATGGAAACATTCATTCTCGGACACAGTACTCATCCATGGCTACAGTCAGTGACAGACTGACAAGACGGCTTCAGACACATTCACAGTATGTCACATTCCTGGACAAAGTAATGTAAACAGTTAAGTTAGAGGAAATACAAGGTAAACGTACGACTGGTATAGATTTATATAACTTGAATCAGTTACATACCTAACTATCAATCTTACAACAAATTCTATCCCATGTGAATTCCAGGTTAGAATAGCTCCTCAGCAACAAATGCTTGTTGTAAGAGGCAAATATGTGGATTAATTGGTCAAGCTCACTGACTTGGTTGATTGCGTGTCCTATACCAACAACACGGGACATCAATCACTGGTTTGTCTGGTCCAGACTTGATTATTTACAGGTTGACGTTCTATAGCTGTGCTATTGCTGAGTATAAACATGAGACAAACAAATACGACTTATTCCAATGAAAGGTTGGTCAGTTGTCTGTATGTCTGTCTCCTCATTGTTGCCAGGTTGTGGAGGAAGAGCAGACCGAGGCAGACATCCTCAAGTTACCACAGACTCCTAAAGGTAGGCAGCAGCAGCAGCAGCAACCCTGGCACAATAGTCCAGACATTATAGTAGGGTGCCACTGTATGCTTAACTTTGCTGACAAGAGACTGTTGGTAGTATTATCCAGTTATGTTTAACTTGCATGAGTGAGTGAGTGAGTGAGTTGGGTTTAATGCTGTGTTAGAATTCCAGTTATATCACATTGGCCAGTTTGATCTGGAAAGAAAGCCCCAAGTGATGCATGTCTGAGTCGTTTACACCTTTGGTGGAACTACAAGCATGGGTATGGTGCTGACAAACCTGGAAACATAATCGGGGTGAACCCAGATTCAAACCCACAATCATGACCATTGGCTTGACCAAGGGATTCAACTCTGCACAGTGAAATGCGGTCCTTAAATGACTGCGCCACCTGTGCCCCTAACATGAATGGCTGGTTAATGTATATTTGTTCTAATAGTTTTATGCTATCAGCTTTAGCATTTGGTTCGATGAAACTGGGGATTAACTTGGAGTACAGAATATTTTGTTGAAATCAGTCAAGAAGATGGAATTTGACTGTATTGAATCATCTTCACTCGTTCAACCGTTTATCTAGTCTTGTAGGTCTGTCTTGGATGATGAGCACAGGCTAATGTTGACTAACAATTTCTTTCAGAGGAAAAATTGACCCCTGCTGAACTCGCCTTGCTGGCTGGGAGGAACTATGTCATTCTGCCTAAAAAGTAGGTCATACATGAAGGTCAAAGTGTGAATATATCTAAGTTTAAACATGCTTCATGAGGCTTTGAATTTTTATGTCTGTCCTTTAATTCATATTCTTCATTAAAATGCCTTGATTTTCCTAACCCCCTGCGCAAATAAATTACTTAAAATTATGTTATCTGATTTCCTTTTGAAATCTAACATACAATTCAATGAAAACAATTTGTAAACAATCTACTTATGGTCAGTAGCCATAGAGTTATCTCCCTTCCAATGGTTAATTGTATCTAAGAAGAGATGATTATTCCAGAGTCTGTGACAAATGGAAAGTGTACCACCTTTTCATGTTGAATTTTGGGGAGGGAGCATAAAAAGGACTTGAATTTAGTTCACTAAAACTGGAAGTCTGTTAGAACTCATAGTGCAATAGTGGGTAAGGTAGCATTTGATGATGTGGATGAGTGCTCACTCTTTTGACCACTGGTTGTCGGGTCCAGGCCAGATTACTGTACAGCTGTGACATAGGTGCCATCAGTGTGAAAGTCATGAATAAACTATGTAACATTCTACTCAAGCACTCTGTAAGAAATGACTCTTGCAATGGTTTCCTGTTTCTAACATTTTCAAAGCAAAGCAAGTTATGATTCATTCCCTGAAACTGGCCATCCAGAAGGGCAGTATAACCATCAACTTGTTGCTGCATTAATTCATACAGAATAAAACTCCAACTATTCTGTAATGTAGAGGTATTCATGGAGTCACCTATAAACATGAGTCTGTACCACAGAAAGAAGCTCAAGCACAAGGGCCCTGTGGACATGGCCAGGATTGAGTCCATCCAGAGATTCCTGGCTTCCCCGTCCAGATCCATGTCCAGGTGCGGCTCACTGCCTCGAGTCAACAGAGTCATCGAGTGGGATCTCAGGGTGCCAAGGTAGTGGCTTCGTTTCTAAGATCAAATGTCAGCCAAAAAATACCTGAAGACAAGAGGGGAAAAAAGTTATATACAATATATATATCAATGACAAAATGTATTTCTCCTTTGTGTGTAGAATACACATCTGTTTTCATGCTGTTAAGTTTCTTTTGGGGTAAAAATGTCTGTCCTTGTGTCATGAACAGTCTTTGTTGAAGCATGCGGGAAAGAAAAATAAATGAAATGTCAATGGAAATGTACATTTTATATCCCCTTTTTTTAAATGGCTGGAAAGCAATGTGTGGATGTGTAAACAACAATTAAAAGACAAGGTAGGATAACGGTCGTTTTAGACCCACTGGAAATGTAAAAATTTTAAATTGCGGAAAACTTTGAAATATTGGACTAGACTAACATTTTAGTTGATGGAAACATTTCTTTAAAATAATGGTACTTTTCTTTTTTTCCAAAAGAACCTTTCCTCTTCTGCTGTTGGAATCAAGGAACTTTATCTTGGGTAGTTTGATCTAGTCTTGCCAAGGCTTTTAGTCAAAAAAGAATATATGTGGCGCAGGACTAATAACTGACATCTAGCCTTACTAGCCTTGTTTCTTTCTTACACTTGCGAGTAATGTGGTCAACTAGAGTAGTGTGTTATGCTAGAGATGTTTCGTGACATTAATGCTTGATGTCAAGGGCTCTGTTTGTATCTTTTGTTAAGTATGATGTAACTCTTTGTTATTTCCAGGCATGTGAGGTCTCATCGTTCCAGTCTTCCAAATATTCTGGACTTTGAGGAATACAAGACTCAGAGGAGATATGGGTAAGTCATACACTGCTATCGAGATATAATGTTTATTGCTGCAGATTACTATGCTGAAATACTGTAAAACAACAATGTTCTCTATGTGTTTATGTAGTATTCATGGATTAATTGTTTAAGTTAGATCAAATGAAATGTAATGATTAAAGTGTTTAAAATTGGTGGCAGAGGTGTACCAGTCACCTCAGGTGCCACAGTTCTCTGTAGAGTTGGTTTCAGGGGTGGGTCAGAATCTGAGGATCATGGGTCAAATGGACTCAAATCTCTTATTCACCTTGATTATGATTCTGGGTTTGTCAGCGCCATACCAATACTCATGGTTACGCCAAGGTGGTAATCATCTTATACTTGTGCAACTTTGGACTTCCATTTCATACTGATGAAAATGGATTAAACCATGACACTTATGCATCTGGAATGTGTGGTTTGACCAAGATTGATGTAACTATGCTGTTTCCCCAGGTCTAGTGAAGACGAGAGAGAGTGGGCACGGGGCATCTGTAATGTGTGGTTTGACCAAGATTTATGTAACTATACTGTTTCTCCAGGTCTAGTGAAGATGAGAGAGAGTGGGCACAGGGCATCTGTAATGTGTGGTTTGACCAAGATTTATGTAACTATACTGTTTCTCCAGGTCTAGTGAAGACGAGAGAGAGTGGGCACGGGGCATCTGTAATGTGTGGTTTGACCAAGATTTATGTAACTATACTGTTTCTCCAGGTCTAGTGAAGATGAGAGAGAGTGGGCACGGGGCATCTGTAATGTGTGGTTTGACCAAGATTTATGTAACTATACTGTTTCTCCAGGTCTAGTGAAGATGAGAGAGAGTGGGCACGGGGCATCTGTAATGTGTGGTTTGACCAAGATTTATGTAACTATACTGTTTCTCCAGGTCTAGTGAAGATGAGAGAGAGTGGGCACGGGGCATCTGGAATGTGTGGTTCGACCAGGTTTTTCCGCCAACACCGACAGGGTCTGACATGGAAGACGACAACTTTTTTGACTTCCAGTCCGTCGCACACACTCACGCGGAGAGCACATCTGTATCCAGGGAGGAACGGGCCAAGAAAAGGTACTCACAATGTCTGCCAACACACTACTTGCATCAACGTTCACACAGGCTTCATCATTTGATGTGCCTTGAATTGGACAGTTATACCTTGAAAAGGCCTTTAAGAAAGGCAATGAAAGTGAATTTGTCCCGGGTATTATAAGTTTGATAAAATTAGATAATGCCCTAAATGTGCAACCAGTTAATGTTTTACATTATTTTGTTCTCTAATAATGTTTGAAGACATTACGTAACAAAAGTTTTGTCCACTGATAAATAATATTGAAACACTGGTGTCTGAATATTTTGCTGGTGTGCTTCACCGTATGTCATCATGATGTAAACGCTTTGGCCAGGGAAACTTGTTTGGTGGGTACCGTATTCGACGTAATAAGCGCCCCTCTCTAATTAGCGCCCACCTCGATATTTGCTAATATATTGCCTAGTGAATTACAGTATACGCACTCGTGTGTTATATGCACCCTTAATTGTGGGCAATTAAATTCTGGAAAATATATCTGTCGTGTATAATATGCACAGACTTTTCTTTTGTATCATTTTGGGCTGTCAGCATAAACCACAAAATTTACAATCTTTCAACTCTGTTTTTTATTCCACCAAAATAATATTATAATAAGAGCCCCCCATTTCTAATTTTGAGAGTGCCCTGTGCGCTTATTACGTTGAATACGGTATGCAGCTTTACTTTTTGTGTGTAACAACATGTTACCGATGTTCTTCACACCAGTATTAGGTGTAGTTAGGCAAGTAGCCTCTGTGTATCAAGGATATGTTTGATGATGCTTTCCTGACTGGTTTTAGTGTGAGTGTGTGAGTGAGTGAGTATGGTTTTGCTATGCTTTTAGGAATATTATAGCAATATCACGGCGGGGTACACCAGAAATGGGCTTCACGCATTGAACCCATGTGGGGAATGGAACCTGGGTCTTCAGTGTGACGAGCGAACGCTTTAACCACTAGGCTACCTCGCCGCCCCTACTGATTTTAGAAGATTTTGCTGGAGACATATTACCATGGGAGAAGATTGTCATGATTTTATCAGGTTTTGATAGGACATTATTCTATATCATCACCAGTTTTGAAAAAATCTTCAGGACATTTTGAAAAGCAATCAGTGATTGTCCCAAAGTTTCAATGCATCTGAATCTCCTGGATTTTCAATATTCACAATGATGAAATATATTTTATTTTGGGGTTTGTTCCTCTGAATACCAATGTTTACATATATGTCTATATGATGTGTGTGTGTGCAGGAAGGAGTCTATCACTAGTGTGCTGTCAGAGACTATCGACACCCTGGAGCCGCTCACCGACACTGAGGAGAATATAGAAATTATTCAGGTGGATTATAACTTTATCTGTCTTGATCTTTCTGTGACATTACAAACACTGTCAACCTTTACTGTGAAATGATGATGTATGTGATGATGAACTTATTTGGATACAAACCCGTGAAGATCCGGGGTAGAATAGGTCTTCAGCAACCAATGCTTGCTGTAAGGAGCGACTATGCTTGTCATAAGAGGCGACTAACAGATTGGGTGGTCAGGCTCGCTGACATGGTTGATGCATGTTATCATGTCCCAATTGTGTGGACTGATGCTCATGATGTCAATCACTGGATTATCTGGTCCAGACTTGATTATTTACAGACTGTCGTCATATAGCTGGAATATTGCTGAGTGTGGCGTTAAGGAAAAACAAACAAATATTTGGATACCACATTGTCCATATGTCAAGAAACATGACTATTTTTCTCTACATTATATTACCGTATTTGACGTAATAAGTGCCTAGGGCACACTCAAAATTAGAAATAGGGGGCTCTTATTAGAAAATTATTTTGGTGAAAAAAACAGAGTTGAAAGATAAATTTCGTGGTTTATGCTGACAGCCTGAAATGTTTATGTACGACAGATATATGTTTCCAGAATTTAATTGCCAATAATAAAGGGTGCATATAACACACGAGTGCATATTCTATGTGAATAGGGGAAGGAAGCGGTGCGTGTTATATGCGAATAGGGGTCGGAAGGGGTGCTAATTGGGATTGTTCACTAGCCATTATATCAGCAAATCTCGCCGTGGGCGCTTATTAGAGCAGGGCGCTTATTACGTCGAATGCTTTCTGTCTGACTGCATCTCAGTCACATAATCCTCATGAAGGTGTATTTGAGAAAATGTGGAAATGTAACATCCTTCTGAAGTGAATAAAAAATTGGAATAAAAACAAAACAAACTCATTCTTCTTCCATGTATTTAATCTGGTCAAATGTTGTCAGATTCTGATGGAAGAGATTGATAAGATGACCGCCCAGATCGAATCAACTGACAAGCCCTCAGCATTTGATCTGTGTAGACGTGGAGCTCTGTGTAGGAAGGTGGGTTATTCAGCTTTCTGTGTTGATTCCCACAGCCCAATATTCAACCCCAAATCTGCAGGAATTAAGACTTTTCCAGTTGATGTTATTTTGATAATAAATGATGATCATATGACTAATAAGAAGAAATGACATAATAAGTTTTACATTACTGCATTGAATACAATGTTAAAATATCAACTAAAACAATAGCTTTGAAAACATTCCTATTATTTTACAAAACAATTATTTGTTCGGTTTTCCTGCCACTGGCACTGAGTTTGGAATCCAAGATAAATCTCTGTTAAAGGACTATAAATTACATGTGACAAAAAAGTAATTTATGTTTGAATTAGCCAACTTTATTTGGCCTCTTTGGGTGGATTAAAAGCAGACATGATGCAGGTGCTGGTGCACAGTTCACATGGTGAAGGTGTGTGAAGGTGTGTACAAGCTCATCAGCTAGTCATGGATAAAGAGATCAAATTTAGTTTCACCAACAGAATACATGGAATTCGGATACTATACCTGATTTATTTCTCTTCTTTCAGATTGGTAAATTGAAGAGTGCATCTTTAGATCTAGACAGGTAACTCTTGTCCATATGTTACACAGCCTCTCTCCCAATGTTACGGAGCCTCCTGTCCATATGTTACACAGCCTCTCTCCCACTGTTACAGAGCCTCATGTCTCTATGTTACACAGCCTCTCTCCCACTGTTACAGAGCCTCCTGTCTCTATATTACACAGCCTCTCTCCCACTGTTACAGAGCCTCATGTCCCTATGTTACACAGTCTCTCTCCCACTGTTACAGAGCCTCTCTCCCACTGTTACAGAGCCTCCTGTCTCTATGTTACACAGCCTCTCTCCCACTGTTACAGAGCCTCATGTCTCTATGTTACACAGCCTCTCTCCCACTGTTACAGAGCCTCTTGTCTCTATGTTACACAGCCTCTCTCCCACTGTTACAGAGCCTCATGTCCATATGTTACACCGCCTCTCTCCCACTGTTACAGCGCCTCATGTCCCTATGTTACACAGCCTCTCTCCCACTGTTACAGAGCCTCATGTCCCTATATTACACAGTCTCTCTCCCACTGTTACAGAGCCTCCTGTCCATATGTCACACAGCCTCTCTCCCACTGTTTCAGAGCCTCTCTCCCACTGTTTCAGAGCCTCCTGTCCATATGTTACACAGCCTCTCTCCCACTGTTACAGAGCCTCATGTCCATATATTACACAGCCTCTCTCCCACTGTTACACATCCTCTCTCCCACTGTTACAGAGCCTCATGTTCCTATGTTACACATCCCCTCTCCAAGTGTTACAGAGCCTCATGTCCCTATGTTACACATCCCCTCTCCAAGTGTTACAGAGCCTCATGTCCCTATGTTACACATCCTCTCCCCACTGTTACAGAGCCTCATGTTCCTATGTTACAGAGCCTCTCTCCCACTGTTACAGAGACTCATGTCCCTATGTTACACATCCCCTCTCCAAGTGTTACAGAGCCTCATGTCCCTATGTTACACATCCTCTCTCCCAGTGTTACAGAGACTCATGTCCCTATGTTACACATCCTCTCTCCCAGTGTTACAGAGACTCATGTCCCTATGTTACACATCCTCTCTCCCAGTGTTACAGAGATTCATGTCCCTATGTTACACATCCTCTCTCCCAGTGTTACAGAGACTCATGTCCCTATGTTACACATCCTCTCTCCCAGTGTTACAGAGATTCATGTCCCTATGTTACACATCCTCTCTCCCAGTGTTACAGATCCTCATGTCCCTATGTTACACATCCTCTCTCCCAATGTTACAGAGCCTCATGTCCCTATGTTACAGAGCCCCATGTCCCTATGTTACAGAGCCCCATGTCCCTATGTTACAGAGCCCCATGTCCCTATGTTACAGAGCCATACAGCTGGAGCCCTTGCTGCTAGATGCCTACTGGCACCGCCATCTGCTGTACATCCTTCAGGACAAGAAACAGGCGGCGCTGGATGACCTCAACTTCATCATGAAGAAAAACAAGAGACACGCTGGAGCATACAGATCGATGTGAGTATTGTGTGTATCAGCAGTAGCGAGTGCCATAGTGATGTGGGTAAGGACTATGTGACTTATTTACCAAAAGTTGGGGATGGTCTATTTCCTGCAAGGAACCCCTCTGACATAGAAACAATTCTGGAGCCAAAATATCTGCTGTGACAACCAGGAAACAAGGGTAGTTGTTATTCCTTTATTAAGAATCTTGCAATTCCATTGGTTAATTCATGCCACGTGACCTTGGGTGCTTGTTTTTGCATATGGACCTCGTCAAGAGTAATTATTTGCATAACGTAGACATATGTGATCTCTCTTGTACCAATATATGCCATGGTAGTAAGTTGCAATTGATTGGTTGGTTTGTTGTTTAGCGCCGCACTCAGCAATATTCTAGCTATTTGACGGCGGTCTGTAAATAATCGAGTTTGGACCAGACGATCCAGTGATTAATATCATGAGCATCGATCCACGCAATTGGGATCGATGACATGCATCAACCAAGTCAGCGAGTCTGACCACCCGATTCAGTTAGTTGCCTCTTACTACAAGCATAGTCGCCTTTTACGGAAAGCATGGGTTGCTGAAGACCTATTCTACCCCGGATCTTCACAAGAGTAATATCTATAGTGATGTTCTGCACATGTTTCATGTTGATTGCTTCGTGAAGAAGAACTACGATCTTATACCTTTGAATGAGTGGTTACGTCTTTCAATTTGTATACAGCATTTTTTATAGCAACATTTATGTAAGATTTTGAAGAATTTGATCCCATGGATTTGAGCTTTATTCTTCCACAATATGAGTGATGTTGAAAACTATCTAGGATTGTTAGGGTACTGTAAAGACATAGAGATTTTATACGAGCATGTGTCTTTCTGATTTTACGAAACGAATGACAGAATTCTTGTATTTACCAAGCAAGAGCGAGTTTGGTCAAGCAGTATGACACACATGCAAGTGTAATCATTTCTTTATTACCCACTATTTCTTACTCCTTTTGAGCTCCCCTTTAGAAAAATGCAGTGATCAGCACTGCTGTCCTAGAAAACCATAATTTGTGGAATGACGTCAACAATCTTCAGCTTTGATGTCTGTTCTAGTGTGACATCATTCCAACCGTACATCACAATAAGATTCGAATGACATAAATAATGTAGTCCTGATGACAGAAACAATACACTGGTGTGTGAAAAGTGATAATTGCTCTAGTGCACATACAAATTTTATGAACTTGGTAATTTCTAACCCATTCTGAGAACATAAAGATGTCATGGCCCTGCAGCTGTACATCCAACAGTCATTGACATAATTGTTCTCTTTCAGGGCTGAAATCTATCGGCGGCAAGATGATATAACCATGGCAATTGTGAACTACACACAAGCTCTGAAGCTGAATCCCCAGGACCATGAGGCATTCTTCCGCCGAGCGGAGATGTATGAACAGGTTCGTTGTTTGAGACAGTCTCGAAATCTTTTTGGATGTGAATCAAATATAAATTGTAAAATTCTGCATATGAAGTTCAAGTGGCTGTTGGTTGCATCTTAAACTTGAATATTTGTCTCCAGGTGAGCCTTAGTGCCTTTGCACTTTTTCTGTATTTGGAGGCACTTTGATTATAAATGTCATTGTTTTGATGTTGTGCTATTTGTCCCAATTTTCCTTATACTGAGAAATACAAAATATGTGCCCACAATTGGAAGGAAACAGAATTATTTCTTTTTTCTTGTTTGTTTTTGTTACAATATTCAAGAAGAACAAAGTTCTGTGTATGGATAGACTTTGTTAGAGTCATCCTTAATTCTCCCGTCTGTTATTTCCCAACTCTATCTTGATAAATACCCTGGACTCCATCACTGCAGCTTCATTTGGGAAGTGACGTCACTATCTCCATCACTAAGTTAGCGCAGAATTTCTCTCATTCATGACTAGATTGATTGGACCATTTGAAGTCACAACATCATTTAAATCAGGATCAAAACTAAGCTATGAAAGTGAATTGTTCCCAGGTGTTTTTCACGGAATGAAGATATAATGGTGAGGTGATATGAAATTGGGTTTAACGTCGCATCCAAGATTATTGCACTTATATAGCGACGTACATGCACATGTGTGTGTGTGTGTGTGTGTGTGTGTGTGTGTGTGGCTGTGTGGCTGCTTGTACTAGTCCGGACTGATGTCGATTTATAGTGCTAGCTCACTGAGATAGCATGTCGCAGTTTAACATGAATACCCCACTCAGACACAGTATACTGACTCCGAGCCGACCAGTCCTTGTTTTAGCCCCTAATGCCGAGCGCCAGACAGGGTAACAACAAGTACCATCTTTTAACATGCTTTGGTATGATGCGGTCGGGGATCGAACCCCGGACCTTCCGCTCTCCGGGCGGACGCTCTACCACTAGACCACGGAGATGGTCCATAAAATGGACTATGTTGGAGTAGAGTGAGGCATGTATGTGATCTGGTTCCGTACTATTTTCTGCTGACTTTTATTAGCGTGGTGAGATGCTGTTGGCCCTGGAGGATTATGGGAAGTGTACCAAACTGTTGCCGACACGCACGGATGCCATCATGAAACATGGGATGTACTACTTCAAGAACAGGTCAGCTGTACCAAATAACACTGTCAAATCAAATAGAATAGTACTGTACCTGGCATCAGGTATTCTCAGATTCTAATGATTTTCTTTAGGATATTAATAAAAATATATTTCTATCTTTTTAATCTCTTAAGAAGTATTTAAGCAGCTGTAGTATCAATGAAGACCCAGTTTACATGTTGATTTTCACTTCTTTATTCTTTCAACGGTACATTTCAGTACAGATGCTAGTATAGACTATATTCTAACTGGCTCTATATTACTGCAGTATAGTAATCTCGTAATCCACATCCCCAGTCGACTGTTTACTTATGCAATTCTAAGCACGATATTTCATCTCATGATTGAATACAGGACTCATTGCGGTATGCCACGGCTACTCCTAAATAAACATGTTAACTTTTTGGTTAAAAAAGAACCCATTTGTTTGGACGATGTCCCTTGACCCACCCTAGGTTGTATGCATACTGATTATGCATAATCCAAAACAGGATGTGATGTAAACACATATTCAACACGTATCATACTACAAAATAGCAATACCACGATAATATAGAGTTGCCTTCCCTTGAGTCACTATTGACAGGTACTTTCTTTACCGAACTTTGTAAAGAAAATCTGTATCAATCAATCCTAATTGATGTGTCATAAAAGTTGAACAAAAAACAAGAACCACTTTGTGTGTGACATATTTAATATGTTAGTAAGTGTTTGCCTTTCCGATCCATTATCAATTAACTACAGCGATAATATAGTGTACCATGCTACTTTCATCAAGCAAATCACTTACTTGCTAGGTAATTGCACCTGTACCGAATGATGTCTGAAAAGATATGTTGTGTAATTTCTGACTATGCATAGTTGAATTAGGAACATCTGTAAAAAAATGGAATATGATAATTTTCATGATTATATCTGCAGAAACTGGAACAATGCCATCAATGATTTCACCGATCTGATCCGTGTTGACCCGCTGAATGCCATCGCTCATCTATATCGAGGTCAGGCGTACGCCAATCAGAAGCTGTGGACCCCGGCTGTGGAGGACATGTCAGCGGCCATCCACCTTGACCCCGAGACGTGGGAAGCCTTCTATCACAGAGGGTGTATACTCCGCAAGTAGGTGTACACATATAGCATTAGTTAAAGGGACAGTTTCACTCACAGTTGTTAAAGGTAAAAATGAAAATAAAATCAGGAAATTATGATAGCCATTGTTTCAAATCATTGATTAGAATTGGATCTTGTACTTCTCTGATACGAAACCTCTCTACATCTAGGGACACCTCCATAGAAAGTCGTGTTTGGTAAATCCAGGGCAAATTTTGACTCCCCAATCTAAATGAAGGATGAGTGAATTCAGATGTCAAATGTCAGCCGTGGGGGGTGGGAAGAGGGAGAGGGAGGGAGGGGAGGGGGCAGCCGGCTTGTTCTTGGGCTTCTTAGCAGCAGAAGAGCCATGCTCCATGTCTTTAGTCTTTGATTGCTGGTCTTTGTAGCTACATAAGTAAGAATTATCTGTGAAATGGGACCACAGAAGACAGCTCTTGTCTTGTGTGCCTCAAGTACAACAAACACAACCTCTACCATGGGAATCAGAGGTGGAAAATATATGTCTGCTTTGCTTTAAGACATGTCAAGCGATTATTCAAATGTCAGTGTAGCCACAAGCCAAGATCAGTAAGTGAATGTGTGATGAATGTGATGTGGTTGTGATGGTGTTCCCCCAGAGCCCACCCCAAGCGTGCCCTGCAGGACTACAGCATGTCCCTCCTCATCAACGACACGGAGGAGAACATCATGTCCTACCTCCACCGAGGCATCCTCTACAGCGCCATGGGCAAGTAAGTCACCATCTCCAGCAGCTTACCTTTGTCCTGCCTCCCATTAATGAAACTTTCATAAATATCAGGTCCCCTAACCCCTAATATGATATTTACGACAGTGTCGATTGAGTGACTTCGCAAATGTCTTGTCACTCTCTTAGCTTCTGTGATTGGGGACATGAAATCTTTGCTTGTAACCCTGCTATATTCTTGTCATTTACGAGTTTTGGAGTGTTACGAGAGGTAAAATCTACCTTCTTTCTTACTTGTGACTTTTGGTGTCATATACTTAGGAGAGTTTACCCTAATTTTTCATATTAGTTGTCTTTCTTTTCTTGTTATTTGGGGGACGGTCGGGTAGCCTAGTGGTTAAAGCTTTAGCTCGTCACGCCGAAGACCCGGGTTCGATTCCCGACATGGGTACAATGTGTGAAGCCCATTTCTGGTGATATTGCTGGAATATTGCTAAAAGCGGCGTAAAACCATACTCAATCAATCAATCAATCTTGTTATTTGTTTGTTTCACTCATTCAACCAAGTGGCTGAGTCTAACCACCTGATCCATTCAAGGGCTCGATTTAGCTAAACATGCACAAGTGCAACCTATTATTAAAAAATGCAAACTAATATTTATGTCTACATGCTCCATTTATGTCTAACTCTTACTTGTCCAGGGGGCACGGGTGGCCCAGTCGTCTAAGGCGCCGCGATTCGCTGTGCAGAGTTGCGTCCCTTGGGCACGCCAGAAACCTATGATTGTGGGTTCGAATCCCGGTTTGCCCTGATTATGTTTCTAGGTTTGTCTGAACCATACCCGTGCTCGTGGGTTTCACTGAAGTGGTAAACGTCTGAGTCCTGCATCACTTCGGGCTTTCCTCCCACATTAAGCTGACACGCTGTGATATAACTGGAATACTGTTAAAAGTGGCGTTAAACCCAACTCACTCACTCACTCTAACTTGTCCAAATAAAATCAGTCTTTGAACACACTCAATACCTCTAAAAAAAAATTACCCTACTACATCACACATCCCTGTGTTATGTGTAATTTGCCAGGCTTTCTTAGGCATTAAACGGTGATTAATTTAAGATAACGTGCACATGTTCATATTGCATTTTACAGCAATGCATCATGGATTTATGTGACGCTGGCAGCAGACCGGCCTGTGTTTCAACTTTGATATATTTATGGGACCAGGGTGCAACTAGTGCAACTTTGTCTGGTGCAACTTGATTTTTCATGTCAACATGCGCCTGGTGCAAGTTAGATCAAATTCCTTACATTGAACCATTCATTTAATATAAATATACATAACAAACACCATCGGGATTAAGGGTTAGAATATATTTATAGAGGTGACTCAGTGCAATGGGTGACCAGGCTCTGTGACTTGGTGGTCTGCATGTTATCTACCCTGATGGTGTGAGTTGTTGCACATATCACTGACATCTTTAATGTGACATATTATGCTCACATATGTCTGTTCTTTTAGTTTGAAATGTTTTTCTATTTCTCTGGTCGTTATTTGCATTTTGAATTTAGTCAGCCTAGTGAATACAGTGAACTTGAAATTATTCTCAAAATAAAAATTGACAACACCATGTCCTCTGTTGTTATCCACAGAGCCGAGGATGCTATCCCGGACTTTGAGAGTGTGTTGAAGCTCAACAAGGACGTAGCCTGTGCCCACGTCAACCTGGGACTGATCTTCATGAAGAAGTACGAGAATTACCACAGGTAGGTGTGCCGTTCCGTTCCGTGCCGTGCCGGGCCGGGCCGGGCCGTGATGACAGGTGACTGACACAAGGGTGGATCCAGCATTGTTGAAGTGGAGGGGTCCAAAGAATCAAAAGCCTCTCTCAGATAATTTCCCTGCCTACAACATACCACATTTGTTTTTCAAAAGGGTATGGGGGGTTGAGCATGCATTGAGTGTATGGAGGCTAGCGCAATATACGTTCACATTCTTATTGTTGTTGTTAATATTGTTATTATGTACTAATATTTTTTACCCTTTTTTCTCAGGGCAATAAAAAAGTTCACCTCGGCCATCAAGGTTGAGCCAACATATGTGCGAGCATATGTATGCCGAGGAGAGGCCCACCACAAGATACATGAGGTAATGCAATCTTATTAAAATCAGATCTTAGTTCTCGCTACCGCTAAACAAAGATCTGAGGACATCCCAGTAGGGGTCACGTCAGAAAGACCTTTCATTCGACCAATCAGAGCGTTGCTTACCAGATCATGAAAGTGACAGTCGGAATGTGATTTCTAATCATGCAGCCTCGAAAACTTTTTACACGGGATATTCCGAACGATAGTTACGGGGTTAACGACTGAATTCATACAATCTAGACCATCTTTTAGCCATTCCAGAATGTTCTTTTGTTCAGGTTTCAAATGTTTGAAATGTGTCAAAATATGTTTCGAAGTGAAGTCGCCAATTTGAAATTAGTGCCGTAAAGCATGAGTCAGCTGCCTTCTTATTGGCTAATGTCGACTTCTTGTCAGTCATTCCATTGGTCAATCAAAGTTTGCGCAAGGTAGGTCTGACATGACCCGTAATGGGATGTCCTCAGATCTTTGTTTAGCGGTAGCGAGAACTAAGACCTGATTTTAATGAGATTGGAGGTAATAAGACAGACTGAGTGACAGTTTGACCATTAAGCTAGCCAACTACATATAGATGAGACTTGATGAGCTCTAGTTATTTGGTTTTCAGATTGTGTGACATGCATATTTTACATGCTAAGATGTTCATTCAGATCAATATATCTTTTGATGATCCGGTGTAGAATGCTTGCCGTAAAAGGCCACTAATGGAATCGGGTAGTCAGGCTCACTGACTTCGTTGATGCATGTCATTGTAAGCCAATTGCATAGATTGATGCTCATGATATCATTCACTAGATTGTCTAGTCCAGACTAAATTATTTACAAACTGCCGTCATATAGCTGGAATATTGCTTGGTGCAGCGTTAAGCAAAAAAACAAACAACTTGAGGATTGAACTGAGCTGTCAGAATTTATTGCATAACATCATAGCCAGATGGTTGTAAAAGTTGCCATAAGTTGTCATAATATCAACCACTGGTCTGTCTCGTCTAGAATCTTATTCACAAGCCAATTTGATATTGTTCGTATACTGCTGATAGCAATGTAAGACACCAAACAATCTTGTTTCTTTGTTTGTATTTTTTAATTCTCAGAATGTATATTTTCATATATTGACAGCTGAGGTTGGCCTTGAGGGATTTCACACGAGCCATTCATCTGAGACCAGACGTCCACCATTACTACATGTACCGGGTGGGTAGATCTGTGATCTTTCAAGAGAAATGTACAGTACTCTGTGAACAGACAAACCTTAAAACTAGTCACAATGATTGTTGGCATAGCTACTCCAAGAATGTACCTCAGTAGATAAAACTCTTGCACTGAAAAAAACTTAAGGACCACCCAATTTTTTCATATTACTATAGTTAATCTGTCATGGCAAGGCAAGTATGCAGCAGAAATCGATTTCAAAATATGTATCTCTTGAAGTGCAGATGTAAGACAAGATTTGCATTGGGGGAATCTGATGATGCACGTTATATGAAACGACTTATGACCTTGAGGCTGGAAGTCTGTTTTGTTAATTCCAAAAAATGATTTTCAATTTCAGGGTCAGCTGGTTCTAGAGATGGGCAACATGGAGTTGGCAGCGTTCTGTGTCAGGTGGGACATTACTCTGACCTTGTTGTTGGTTGTTGGTTTGTTGTTTAACGCCGCACTCAGCAATATTCCAGCTATATGACGATGGTCTGTAAATAATCAAGTCTGGACCAGACAATCCAGTGATTAATATCATGAGCATTGATCCACGCTATTGGGATCGATGACATGAATCAACCAAGTCAGCGAGCCTGACTAGCCGATCCCGTTTGTCGCCTTTTACGACAAGCATAGTCACCTTTTACGGCAAGCATGGGTTGCTGAAGACCTATTCTACCCCGGAATCTTCACGGGTCTCTGACCTTGTACCACGAGGATATGTTATGGTCATTGTTTGGGTGGGTTGTTGTTCTACGTGTACGTAATGATCCCACGCTTGCAACATGCCAATGTTGGACGATTTGATTTAGATGAGAGGGGAGGATGCCTTGGTTCATGAGCTCATCGCCTTCGTATATATCCATTCCACTCTTGAGGAGGGCGCTTCCTATGGATAGCGAATACCTCTGTATACATGATTGTATTAACACATGAGCTACAGAATGTGAGAAAGTCTATGCCAGGGCCCTGTTGGACCAGCGGTCTATGGTGTCACACCACACTGTGCAGAGTTATGTCCCTTAGCCGGGCCAGAATCTGCTGGTCATTGTTTTAGATCCCGTCTGATTATGATCTTGATGTGTCAGCACCATACCCAGTGTTTGAAATTAAGCAGGTTTCAGGGGCCCTGATATTTGATTCTAGGGGTCCCAAAGAAATTCAGTTGATAACATTAGGTTTATGATAAGGACCTTCATGCTTGATTTAGAACATTTTTTTAAGACAATTGTGAGATACATTATTCTTCTTGCTAATTATCTGTAAAGAACTAAAACTGTAAGCTGTATATTACAGACATGCCTCTGAGCTGAGCAACGACTCCACCAGCTCTCTAGGACAAAGACCCACCCAGCAGGCCATCGTACAGTCCTTCCTCAAGAACTATGACAAGGTGATGCTCAACTACAGAACACTTCCAAATATCTTAGAGAGTTCACTTTTGTCTAGCTAGTTGTGTGGTTTCTTGGGCAGACAGATTCTACTACCACATTGTAGGGGCTTCCTAAGATGAGCATCTAGTGGTTTATGATGTCCGTGCTGATTGTGAGACGTGGTACCCATGGTCTGTTGCTCATACTATCAACCACTGGTTGAGGTTGAAATATTGCTAACTGCAGTTTAAAAAACATTCACTCTTATACTCGCTTGAAACTAGGAATCTGTTAGTAGACATTCACAAATAAACTTAGAAAAATAAGAAAAGCGTTGATAAGTGACTTGGTAAGTCATCAGCAAATCTATGTTACACATAACTTTCTTTGTAGTGATAAGAAAATGTATTAAAGGATTTGCCCTGATGCTGAAAACCTACATAGTGTGTGTTGAAAATATGCAAGAACATTTGGAAATATGCAAGAACATTTGGAAATATACAAGATCATTTGAACATATGCAAGAACATTTTAAAATATGCAAGAACATTTTAAAATATGCAAGAACATTTTAAAATATGCAAGAACATTTGAAATTTTGCAAGAACATTTGGAAATATGCAAGAACATTTGGAAATATGCAAGAACATTTGGAAATATGCAAGAACATTTGGAAATATGCAAGAACATTGCACCACTGGGGACACAAGTTTTTTTTATTGTGATTCATAATTTACACAATGTTGTCATGATATCATCTTTTGATATAAACAGCACAGGTAGACATTAATAACACATAGTGCCACCTGTTGCACGCATAATCCTGTTTGTGTTCAAGAGTCAAGACATTTGATTCTTCAGTCACCCCTTTATATATAACAGACAAGAGGTCAAATATTGCTAAGGCAAATACTGAATTTATAAATTGAACCATTTATCGTTGTTACAGAACTACAATGATTAAGAATTTATTGAAATGATTCATATTTCTCTTGATTCATGACCATGCAGGCTATCGATGCCCTGAAGAACGCGACCCGTGTGAAGACTGGCGGCACTCTGTACATGCTGCTGGGCAAGACGCAGATGAAGGCGAAGCACTTCAAGGATGCTATTAACAGCTTCGAGATGGCCCTGATGCAGTTTGTGAGTAGGGCCAGGGGTACAGACTAGTGGTTTAAAGGTGTCACACCACACTGTGTAGAGTTATGTCCCTTAGTCATCCCAGGATCTGCTGGTCATTGTTTCAAATCCCCTCTTTACTCTGATTATGATCTTGATGTGTCAGCACCAAACCCAGTGTTTGAAATGAAGCAGGTACAAGGGACCCTTGAGGTTTCTATTATGATATTTGAATCTAAGGATCCCAAAGAAATTCAGTTTATGAAATTGGGTTTATGATCAGAACCCACAATCTTTACAGTTTGTGAGTAGGGTCAGTGGTATAGCTTCGTGGTTGGAGTGTTCACATCGAAGACCTGGCTTCTCTCGCTCACTATCTTTCTCTCTTTCTCTCTTTCTTTCTGTCTTTCTGTCAGTTTGTCTCTGTCTGACTTTGTCTGTGTGTCTGACTTTGTCTGTGTGTCTGTCTATGTCTGTCTGTCTGTCTGTCGTTCCAAGTGAAATGTCCTTGGGCTGAATACTCAGAATGAACAGTTAATGGAATTTATAAATACAGTCTTGGATCATGTAACTGCAATGACCCCATATTTTTGGATGAAAGCGTTTTGCTTCTCAGCAATATCAACTAGAGCATTAGTTTTTAAGAAAACTAACAATGTTCATGTCACTGTCCTGGATGTTAATTTTTGTTAAAAATCCTTGTTTTTAAAACCTCACTAATTATAGTTTAGTTTATTATATAATTATTAATCCCTTACTTTAGCATAGACAGTCAAAGTGCTAAGATCGCTTTGTGGAACAGGGCCCTGCTTTAGGAAAAGTTCAAATTCTAGCAGACCAGCTGACATCCTATGTTTTCCTTCACTAGAGTGACTTATAGTACATGGTATATTTGATAGATTCAGAGTCATTCTGGACTATGACCTGTCTGATTTGGTGTGATATTATGCTCACTGCTCGCACTATCGACCATTGGCTTAACTTGCCTTTTCCAAGCCACAGTCAATCTGAACACTTGTCTCGTAAGTGACTCGCAAAAATTAAATACAAGACTGGTGTACAATTGATGACAACATGTTCATGATATTTTTCAGAAACCGTGGCGGCCACGAGACCCATGGCCAGCAGAGACGGCGGAAGCTCACTTCCTGTGTGGTGTGTGTCACAACGAGCTGCGCAACTACTTTGAAGCTTATGAAGCCTTCAATAGTGCCATCAAATTCGATCCCAACTATGCTGAGGTACATATGATGTTTGCACCCAAACATGTCCATTTGATAATTAGTTCTGCCATCATATCTTGATAAACTCAACATAATCATTTATCTTTTTGAACAAGTTCATTGGCATAGGTCGTTGTGATTTTAAAGCAAAAAATTCTGACAAGCAGGTAGCATGCTTTTTTAATCTTAAAAATTAAGATTGTCTGCCCCAGTGGGCTTCCCTGGGCAGAATAGGTTTGTGGATTGAGAATTGTATGGTATAATATGTGTCATGATACCAAGTGGCTTGTAGCTGTGCTTGTGCTATCAACCACAAGGCCCAGACTTGATTAATTACAGGCTGCCATGATGTAACTGGAATATTGCTTACTGATGCATTAAACAAAAGTAACACAATATTTATAAAAGTCATTGTCAGAAAAGTACTTCTTTTAATATGTTTTACAAGGATTAAATATGTGTGGTCACTGTATGTTTGATGTTCCTCCAACAGGCGTTCTACCAGCGAGGTCTGGCCAGAATCAAACTCAAACAGTCCAAGGGCATCCAAGACTTCAACAGGGCACTGGCAATCAACCCCAAGATATTCCAGGTCGGTCACACTGTTCCTAGTCTTACCAATAAGCATCGGGGCGGTCGGGTAGCCTAGTGGTTAAAGCGTTTGCTCGTCACGCAGAAGACCCGGGTTCGATTCCCGACATGGGTACAATGTGTGAAGCCCATTTCACGGTACAAGAGGTACGATGACATGGGACATTGCTTATAAAGTCAATCACTGGTTCGTCTTGTCCAGATCATTTATATGCTGCCATCATATGACTGGAGTGGCATTAAACAAGAAACAAAACCTAGTATACCAAATTTGAAAAAAGTCTTTTTTTGGTTAAAATCGCTCAATGTCCCAGGTTATATAGCATTCTAAAACCCAGTACTGTGATACATTGTAGGCCTACCTGAGTCGAGCCTGCTACTATGGGCTGAAGGGGAGCTCTATTGTTGATATACTGTGATACGTTGTAGGCCTATCTGAGTCGAGCCTGCTACTATGGGCTGAAGGGGAACTCTATTGTTGATATACTGTGATACGTTGTAGGCCTATCTGAGTCGAGCCTGCTACTATGGGCTGAAGGGGAACTCTATTGTTGATATGCTGTGATACGTTGTACGCCTACCTGAGTCGAGCCTTCTACTATGGGCTGAAGGGGAACTCTATTGTTGATATACTGTGATACATTGTAGGCCTACCTGAGTCGAGCCTGCTACTATGGGCTGAAGGGGAACTCTATTGTTGATATACTGTGATACGTTGTAGGCCTACCTGAGTCGAGCCTGCTACTATGGGCTGAAGGGGAACTCTATTGTTGATATACTGTGATACATTGTAGGCCCACCTGAGTCGAGCCTGCTACTATGGGCTGAAGGGGAACTCTATTGTTGATATACTGTGATACATTGTAGGCCTACCTGAGTCGAGCCTGCTACTATGGGCTGAAGGGGAACTCTATTGTTGATATACTGTGATACGTTGTAGGCCTATCTGAGTCGAGCCTGCTACTATTGTTGTAGACCTTATGTGTAACCCTTAGTCGCAAGAGATTACAGTCTACGGGTTTGTGAGAATATCAGTTTATTCAGTTAAAGGCATAAAGAAGACACTCCTGAAACAATTTAAAATCACAATATATCACATGTTTCAGAATAAATGTACAATAACACATTAAATGTAAAGTATCGATCTGCTTCTTAATAACTGATTACATCATTACAGCAGATACGCAAATATATTTCTGCCTCAATATCTAATCAGTGCAGATGTACCTTCATATACAAAGACAATATAATTACACATTATTAAACGCATAACTGAGGAAATCATTAAATCATCACATAAGTATATTATGCATAATGAATGCACAACATGAACATATTATATAGATAAACTATATACAAAACATACCCTGTGTGTGACACGAGAGTGTAACATGCCTCCTGCCAGTCATCTCATTCGACAGTCACATGACCCTAAATACAGATACAATATTAATTATAATATTGTAAATAACATATATAATCACGGCATATACATGCAACACTGAAATACAACTTCAGTCATTCATTCATACAACTATCAATAAATACATGCATACATCTAGAGAGATATGTACAAAGTCTAGAAATACACCAGATTTACTAAATAATAGCAAATATGCATCAAATACCATAATACACAAAATACCAAATAACCAATGCATTTAAATATAAAAAATATGTACAGATAAGCAATACTCATGAATCAGACCCTAATCTCATCACACTCACCTCATTCACTCAACCTATCATTTGTTTATGTTTACAAGTTATTTAAAACCTATTTTTATTATTTATTACTTGATTTATACTAATGATTGAAATTATAATGTTTAGATTGATACAGATTAATTATGATTACTAACCTTGATAACTTGATGCTCAATCCATTGCTGTGCAGTGCAGGCGTGTGTGCAGCATAATATTAGCAATGGCAGGTGAGAAAGGGATTTGAATTGAAAGGTATACTAATTGGCTCACAACAGGTAACCCTAATGACGAGCAAACAATAGAACAAAACACCCTTGGAAGTAAAATAGACTGGACCATTGACCTTTGACCCAGTAGAAAGTTATCAGTAGCAAATACTGATAAGGACACAACTAATGATAGATAGAAACCAGGAAATGACACAACCCTCTGTTGAATCAACAAGCTGAAATAGAAAAGACAAGTTACTTTATCTACACTAAAAATACTAACATATTTACAAGCTGCAGAATTAACACCTACTACACTATGGGCTGAAGGGGAACTCTATTGTTGATATGCTGTGATACGTTGTACGCCTACCTGAGTCGAGCCTTCTACTATGGGCTGAAGGGGAACTCTATTGTTGATATACTGTGATACATTGTAGGCCTACCTGAGTCGAGCCTGCTACTATGGGCTGAAGGGGAACTCTATTGTTGATATACTGTGATACATTGTAGGCCTACCTGAGTCGAGCCTGCTTCTATGGGCTGAAGGGGAACTCTATTGTTGATATACTGTGATACATTGTAGGCCTACCTGAGTCGAGCCTGCTACTATGGGCTGAAGGGGAACTCTATTGTTGATATACTGTGATACATTGTAGGCCTACCTGAGTCGAGCCTGCTACTATGGGCTGAAGGGGAACTCTATTGTTGATATACTGTGATACATTGTAGGCCTACCTGAGTCGAGCCTGCTACTATGGGCTGAAGGGGAACTCTATTGTTGATATACTGTGATACATTGTAGGCCTACCTGAGTCGAGCCTGCTACTATGGGCTGAAGGGGAACTACACCAAGGCTATCCTCAACTGTAACGAGGCCATCAAGCTGCAGCCCTACAGTGTCAGGGCCTACCTCTACAGGTACATGTATGTCTTGTAACCTAGCAACCATTGGGAAACAAATGTTTGGAATGGTAAAGATGCATGTCGTCTCTTTCTTCTTCATCTTTATAATGTGAGACTCTAGTGAGTCCTTGTTGTTAGTGTGTTTATTGTCCTCAGTTGATGTGTTTAGATAGTGCTTTTCATCCCCCAGGTGTATAATGCAGGGATAGAGTTGATGCTTCGTCTGTCTGTCCATCTGTCTCTCTGTAATCATTTCATTTTGGTAGCACAATTTGAAAAACGTTCAATATTTTTCAACAAAACTTGGCAGATATATCAGACAGATTCTGAAGTGGTGCCTTTGCTATTTTAATATTTTTGTCATTTTTATTTTTCCCAATTTCCATGGAAACAATTTGTACTTAAATCTCATAAGCTGATGGATTTCATTTCTGGAGCACAGCTCAAAAAAACATTCAATATCTTTCATCAAGACTTGGCAGACATATCCAACGGATCTTGAAGTGGTGCCTTTTGTTGCTTAAGGATGTTTTGCATTTTTCTCTGTTTTCATGAAAGCAGAGCTCGATAATCATGAAATATCCTTGAACTAAACATGCCAACATGCATCCTTGCTATATCCTTACTGACATAACCACATGGTTACAATATATAGGAGCGGTGGGGTAGCCTAGTGGTTAAATCGTTCGCTTGTCACACTGGAGACCCAGGTTCGATTCCCGACATGGGTACAATGCGTGAAGCACTGGTGTCCCCCGCTGTGATATTGCTGGAATATTCCTGAAAGAAGCGTAAAACCATACTCACTTACTTACCTACCTCTTTAAAATCAGATCCTCTACTCCGATACAATACCTCTCTGTGTGAAGATAGGATGACCCTCCATAGGAGGTCGGTCAGATTAACTTTCTGATATCTGATATTGGATTGACCTTTGTAGGTGTCCTCAGATCTTAATGCAGAAAGGTATCACAAAGTAAAATATCTGATTTTAACAAGGATTGTGTCAGTACAGGTCACCAGTTGGTTATGATTGAGTGACTTGGTTTGCTGTGTGGGTTGTTTGTCCCAGCCAGTGTATACAGGCTGTCAGAGTGTTGCTAACTGTAGGGGGCGCTGGTGGCCCAGTCATCACAGGCGCCGCAGTTTGCTGTGCAGAGTTGAGTCCCTTGGGCATGCCAGATGCATATGATCGTGTGTTCAAATCCTGGTTCGCCACGATCATGTTTCTAGTTTTGTCAGCACCATACCCATGCTTCGAGGTTTCAGCAAAGTGGTAAACGTCTGAAACCTGCATCACTTTGGGCTTTCCTCCCACATTAAGCTGACACGCCATGATATAACTGGAATAATGTTCAAAATGGCGTTAAACCCACCTCACACACTGTGGCATTAAATAATTGAAATTTACAAAAAAGAATCTTGCAGTTTTTACACCTCAACCATAGACAAAACTTATTAAAGGTTCTTGTGTCCTAAGAAATGATTGTGAAACCCGAAGTTCAAATGTAAACAGGAAGTTTTGTTAAGATAATATGGATTATTTGATACTCAACCCACTAGTAATGATATATGATTTTTTGCAGTCATAAACTGATGTCATTTGTTTGCAGAGGTGCCCTGAAGTATCACATCAAGGCATATGAACTGGCTATCCGGGACCTGAGCAAGGCGGCCAGTATAGACAGCACCTGCCCTCTAGCCTACTTCAACAGGGCAGTGTGCTACCAGGAGAACAAGCAGTACCACAAGGTGAGAGTCTTATATGGCTTCAACAGTCTCATTAAAATCAGGATCCATTGTTAGAATTGGCCTTCAACCCATGTTTGTCGTAAGAGGTGCCAAACGGGATCGGGTGGTCAGGCTTGCTGACTTGGTTGATGCATGTCACCGTATCCCAATTGCGTTGATCAATTGGTTTATGCATCGTATCCCAATTGTGTAGATTGATGCTCATGATGTCAATCCCTGGATTGTCTGGTCCAGATTTGATTATTTACAGACCTCTGTCATGTAGCTGGAATATTGCCGAGTGCAGCGTTAAACAACAAACAAACAATTAAACACACGAAGATTAAAATCAGTTATTTTACCTAAATACGATGTCACTCTGGAAGATTGCGTCAGATGGACCCCGGAGCGAACTTCAACTGCTAAGTCTAAATGAAGGATGCAAAGATCTTTGAGTCTAAATGAAGGATGCAAAAATTCTTGAGCCAATCAGGTGTCAGCTTTCTGAAATGATTCAGCTTCGCATGTTTACCACCTTGATTTGAAAATTTGATCTTTGCAAAAGATGACCACCTTGGAACACAAATTTCCTCTTGATACTACACCCTTTTGGGTGTAGAGGCCTTCTCTGTAGTCTTGTGGTAGAGCGTCGCCTGGAGAGCGGAAGGTCAGGGGTTTGATCCCTGTCCGTATCATACTAAAAAGCAAAGATAGTGTCATCATGCTCAGAAACAGCAGGATGTACTAAATATCCCCAACAATATAACAGTAAAGTTTTAATGTTTTGCATTTGGAACTCCCTGATAATATCCAGTTTTGAGATACAGAAATCAGATATGATCTGAATATTTCATTCCCTCATACTGAGAACATAGAAGACTACCGGTACACTTATAGGGTGATTAGAAAGGTCACCTGACTCGACCTCATGGAGGTGTCCTCAGATCTTCACACAGGGAAGCATCGTATCATCATCCAGTCTACACACTCAAATAATGGTACAGTGAAATAAGGTTACTTGTTTTACAGACCTGTATGCCAAACATACCTGAAGGAAGGAGGAACCAACACATACCGTATATGACCGCGGATATGCCGACCCCGTAGATAAGCCGAAGTGTTAACTTGACCATTGAAATACGAAAGAAAATTATATGACCCACAGATTAGCCGAACCAGGAAGTGAAAGGCAAAAAACACTGCGAAGTCGGACTGCAAGACATGTGCCAATACTCGCAAATAAGATGAAAAACGTTGTAATTATATTGAAAAAGGAAATTGTAATCTTTCGGACCATCATTCAGGCGATGTTTCTGACAGATCACGATCTGAAAAATACTATCATGAAAGTGTATCCCGTGGATAAGCCGACCCCTTTCTCCAGAATCTTTTTTCTGGTCCTCAAAATTTGGCTTATCCGCGGTCATATACGGTACTACAGATCACTTTATTAAGATGAAGAAACAAACAGTTACTTCAGTGTGCCTAGTACCTTATTTGCTTGTGTATATCACGCACGCACGCACGCACGCACGCACACACGCAAGGACACACGCACACGAACACACGCACACGAACACACAGAGATAAAGGTAAAGGTATCTTGACAGGATTATTTATGCTTTCAGACCTCCATTTCTTAAAAAGGCAGATTTTATTTTAATTAAATTACTCTGGCCTATAGAAACGTTTCTTTAAGTAGTGCTTTTGTACATAATTTTTAACAATCTTAACAATGTTTACATTAGTAAACATTCTCTCTCTCTCTCTCTCTCTCTCTCTCTCTCTCTCTCTCTCTCTCTCTCTCTCTCTCTCTCTCACTCACACATGATCTATCACTTTGTACTGTTTCTAACTGGACAGTCGGTTTGTATCCAGTATAAATTGTCAGTGGGTGAGATATGATCCTATACCAGTGGATGCTGACTGACCTGTATTTCCCCCTGACAGGCGCTGATGGACTATGGTATAGTACTGCTGGTGGGAGAACAGCTCATGTTGAAGGTAGGGGAGCCTGTATCTATTATCAATGGTTGTTAACCAACTTTGTGTTTGAGCAATCTTTCTGAAAAGACAGAAGTTGTTAAATACCACACAACTAATTTAGAATTGGCCTGGTCGTGGTTTTATTCAGTTTTATTTTATATGATCGAACCCTCCAGTGATAATATTTCTGGTTTAAAGAACAAACAATGATAAGGGCCCTTTTTGACACACAGGTAATGTCAAACGTTTAAGTTACTTCAAACCTTGAAACATTGTTATTAGAACTATTAGTTGTTCATAAAACTGATCAGACTTCTTTCTTTCTTACATTGTTAAAAAAAGAATTCGAATTCATCCCTTTGACACATTTAAGCCTCTAAATTTGGTGTTTTATCAATCCTAAACATGCAAGTTTAATTCTTATTCATATGACCACATTTTGTAACTTTAAAAACTATGCCTAAACGTTTTCTTCATTTTATTTATTATGCAGATCTTATTAGCCAACAATGGATGTCATCTTATGATGTTGTTTTGTATGAATGTTGTCACCTGATGTGTACATGATCACAGGTGTTGATCAACCGAGGCCTGCTGTACTTTGAGAGGGGGGACTACAGCAACGCGCTGTACGACTTCCAGATGGCCGCCAAGCTCAGTCCCTGGGACCACCGCATTCACCACACACTGGGGCTGTGTTTCCACAAGTGAGTGCTGATTCAACTCTAGATGCAGTCTAGGAGTCAGTGAGTGCGTGAGTGGGGTTTAATACCGCTTTGAACAACTTGATGTGAACGGAAAGTCCGAAGTGATGCAGGTCTCAGACATTTACCATTTTAGTGAAACCCATGAGCACGGGTATGGTGCTGACAAACCTAGAAACATAATCGGGGCGAACCGGGATTCGAACCCACAATCATAGGTTTCTGGCATGCCACCTGTGCCCCAAGATGTAGTCTAGGAAATATTATCGATATGTGAAAGGTTTTACTCTGTCAAAATGTTTGTTTTCAAGCCATAGAGTGTCAATAAAGGGAATACTTATTTTCAATCAATGATCACAAATAATTCAGTGTACAATTTCCGGGGTCACAGGTAATTCTTACCCTCATTTCACAATCACAGTATTGTGTCTGTAAAATGACCTTATGTTCAAGTTCAAAGGTACAGCTTCCAAATTCCCCATGCTTGCCCCAAGAGCTGACTAATAACTTTATTTGTTTGTTAGTTGTTTATTGCTGCACACAGCAATATTTTAGCTATCTGATGGCTGGCTGTAAATAATCGAGTCGGGACCAGACAATCCAGTCATTGACACCATGACCATTGATTTACGCAATAATGAAGATATGCATCAACCAAGTCAGCGAGCTTGACCACCCGATCCCGTTAGTCCTGACCACCAGATCCCGTTAGTCCTGACCACCCGATCCCGTTAGTCCTGACCACCCGATCCCGTTAGTCCTGACCACCAGATCCCGTTAGTCCTGACCACCCGATCCCGTTAGTCCTGACCACCCGATCCCGTTAGTCCTGACCACCAGATCCCGTTAGTCCTGACCACCAGATCCCGTTAGTCCTGACCACTCGATCCCGTTAGTCCTGACCACTCGATCCCGTTAGTCCTGACCACCAGATCTCGTTAGTCCTGACCACCCGATACCACTTGATCCCGTTAGTCCTGACCACTCGATCCCGTTAGTCCTGACCACTCGATCCCGTTAGTCCTGACCACTCGATCCCGTTAGTCCTGACCACTCGATCCCGTTAGTCCTGACCACATGGGTTACATGGCTGGTTCTGTGTCCTTTTAATCCAACAGCATGGATCGTTGCTCATGCTGTCAACCATTAGTTGCCTGACCCAGGCTATATTATTTACAGACTCTCATCATTACAACTAGTATATTAGACTTTGGTTTATTATAGCTTAGGCCAATGTTTCTCGTGATTTGTTCAAAACTGACTGAATAGAAGGGAAGGATTTTATTTTATTTGTTTATTTCTTTAGTAGGTTAGTAGGTTATATATGTATGAACTTGATTCTAATGTTCCTTATCACCTTATGGCTAGAGTGAGTGAGTGAGTATGGTTGTACCCATGTCGGGAATCGAAGCCGAGTCTTCGGCGTACCTTGTGGCTAGAGATAAAAAGTAGGAATCTTTGGCGAAAAAAGATGAATCTGGTGCTGAAAAGAAAAATCAGTTGAAAAAGTCGTTTCTAGTCCATGCTTAGAAATGAAACAAACTATAATTGGTTCAAAAGTGTCATTAGAATATCCCACATTGATTGACTGCTGCCCGTGTCTCCTCAACAGACTAGGGCAACTACAGGAAGCCGTGAAGACCTTCTCCCAGTGTATTCAGCTCAAACAGTTCTTCCTGGACGGCCTCATCAGCCGTGGCAACGTCTACATGGACTACGGACATGACGAGGGACTGAAATATGCCAGGTTAGATTATACTACTTGGTTGTGCTGTTAGATTTGATATTGAAGTTAAAATTATTTAATCATTATGATATAACGTTTTAGACTGTGTATTAGGTGGTTATATACGTATTTACTATTTTCATAATACTTTTTTTAAATTATGTCCAGAACAAGCTTTGTGATATCGAAGACAGAGACTTGTTGACAATGAAATAAAAGAATATAGAATTTAACACCAAAATGGTGGCACATGGTCCTGTCACAAATCAGGCGAAGTTAAGCAACGTTGATCACGGAGAGTCCTTGGATGGGTGACCGTGTTTCGGATGCTCCTGAGAGTTTCTAGGGCTTCGGTCCTCCCCCACACCGAAGCACATGTGGTGTCTCCTTGGGCAAGTGACTTTCTTCAAAATGTACCTCTGTTCACCCAGCAGTGAATGGGTACCCAGTAGGATTAGATGGCAATGTGGTTGTTAACCTTCTAGCACCTCACAGGCAGCTTGGGTTGTAGACTCCTCAGGGAACTGAGAATGCGTACTGCACACTGATCCAGTGACTGAGGTAATAATAGTATTTCTAGCCCCTGAGTGGTGTGGAAATATGCACAATATATATAGCCTATTATTATCATTAGGATGAGAGAATCTATGAGCTGTGATGTGAAATATGTTGTTAGGCGTGACTATGAGCGAGCCCTGCTGCTGGACCCGATGTGCCTGGCTGCTCGGGTCAACCTGGCGTACACGATGCAGGTAGCGGGCAAACTGATGCAGGCCTGGAGACACTTCACTGCAGCCATCACTGTCAAGCCACGTATGTTCAAACTGCATCTCTCACGATGACATGTGATCGTGGAAGACAAAAACTTTCCAAAATTAATTTTGTTGTAATTTTTTAGTCATTCTGTTAAATCCATCCTCAATAATCCTGTGTATTGTATCTCCATTCAGTCATGATACATATGGCACCCTCTATGAACAACCACTTGGTGGATGCCACCCTTGAAGAACCGGATTAGAATAGGTCTTCAGCAACCCATGCTTGTCGTAAGAGGTGACTAACGGAATCAGGTGGTGAGGCTCACTTACTTGGTTGATACATGTCATCGTATCCCATTTGTGTAGGTCGATGCTCATGATGTCAGTCATGACCTTTGGACTTATAAGCTAATGGCTTATATCTGTGATTGTATCCTTGTCCCAGCTCCGTGTGTTGACTCATCTGCTGGATGACACCCTCTCAGTAGCTCCGTTGTGATTTATATTTATAATATGCAATACCCGGTACTAAAAATAGCTGTCCAATCAAATTACACTCATGAGCGAGAGAAATCTGTGGGAAGATACTGATGAGACAGATGGAGAGGATGACAGCAGAGATGCCAACCATGACACTTTTGAGACTAAAATATGCTATTATGCTTGTCCTTCCTAATTCAGGATTTTGTCTTACGAATTATTAACATGCATAAAATTGTTAATGCACTGGTCACATGATGCATTCTACTGGGAACTAATTGCATGTACACCAATTTGTCTTTGGAACTTGTCTAAAATAACAGGGTTTGGGGGGCATGACCCCACATAACAGCTTGAATTAAGTTCTCATAAGTAAATGAAATTTTAAACAAAATACTACGTGTTTGTTGAAATATGGCCCCAATGGATGTCACTGATAATTTTGTCACACCTCGTTATAGAACTTCGATTTTAGATCACTTTATTTATGTTGTTATTCAACCATCAGTACACCAGCTTCAGGTTAAAGTGAAATTATAAAACAAGTATTTGTAGTGTTGTGATTGTATTTACTGTGATTTCAGGGTTCAAACCAGCCTTGGAAGGACGTGCTATTGTCAACCTACAGATGAGTGACACCTTCGCAGCATATCAGGACATCAACGCCTCCGTGAAGGTGTCGGCAACGGCAGAACTCCTCACCAACAGAGGTGTCATCCAGCAGGTGCGTCGACACATGTAGCTGGTACATCGGTATGGTCAAAGATGGGAGCCATTGGCTTCTGTGAGGCAGTGTTCATCATGTGCCAGTTTAGGTGGCCAAGTTGTCAGGTGCCAGATTTCACTATGAAGTATCCTCCAGGCATACCAGAAATCTTGAGTTCGAATCCAAGAATTCAAATTTGCCATGATATTGATTAGGGGATTGTCAACACTATACACGTGCTCGTCAGCTTTCCAAGGCAAGAGGCTATAAAAGTCCACTTTCCACCTTTGCCAAACTAGGCTGGAATTATGGAGTTATATTTTGGCTGGACTAACAAGTCTGTGCATAATCTGATCAAAATGCTTAGCGAAATCGACATCCGGCTTGTCAATTGATTTCTAAAGCATGCATACTGCCAACTCGGCGTCAACAGATATTTTCCAAATCTTTTCATGTTTGTTATCAACGGGCTCACATGTTTTGATGCACTTTGCGACGTAAGACCCGTTTTATTACAATATAGATCTTCATATTGATCAGACGGCTTGATTGGGTGCCGCCATTTTGTTTGACGCAAGTGATATGAGAGGTGGAATCCGATTGGTCAATAGGAGGGACATAGAAGGGACATAACTCATAATAGCCACTGATGACGCTATGATGAAGCCCAGAAATTCCAGCCTAGTTCGGCAAGTGTGGAAACTGTACTTTTACAGTCACCTAACTCCCTTGCCTAGGGAAGATGATGTTTATGGATGACCTAGTGAACACTATGTTTCAGTTTATAGATGACCACGTGACGCTATGTTTCAGTTTATGGAAGACTGCGTGAATGCTGTTTCAGTTTATGGATGAACGCTATGTTTCAGTTTATGGATGACCTCGTGAAAGCTATGTTTCAGTTTATGGATGACCGCATGAACGCTATCTTTCAGTTTATGGATGACCTCGTGAAAGCTCTGTTTCAGTTTATGGATGACCCAACGCTATGTTTCAGTTTATGGATGACCACATGAACGCTATGTTTCAGTACAGGGATGACCATGTGAACGCTATGTTTCAGTTTATGGATGACCTCGTGAAAGCTATGTTTCAGTTTATGGATGACGGCGTGAGCGCTGTGTTTCAGTTTATGGATGACCTCGTGAAAGCTATGTTTCAGTTTATGGATGACGGCGTGAGCGCTATGTTTCAGTTTATGGATGACCTCGTGAAAGCTATGTTTCAGTTTATGGATGACCGTGTGAACGCTGTGTTTCAGTTCATGGATGACCGCGTGAACGCTATGAAGGACTACCAGGAGGCCATCAGCCTTGACCCCAGCTACTCCCTCGCCTACTTCAATGCTGCTAACATCTACTTCCACACCAGGCACTTCAAGCAGGTCAGTTGCCTTCAGACATACTGAGGTCAAGTTCACAGCAGGTCAAGGCCCACAGTCAACTCCAACACTTACATAGCCATGGCAATAATTTTACAACAATTTGTTGGAGAACAAGGTTGGAAAGTAATTTCCTTTGTATGCTGGCTGGTGCAGGTTTGCTGGAAATTAGTTGACATTCTGAATACTAAAACATGAGCGCTCAGTTCTGAACTCACATTTGTAACTCACATTTGTAATTCACGTATAAACTGTTGTTTGTCAGGCGCTGGAGTACTACAGTCGGTGTATAGAGAACAATCCCCGAGACGAGTCTGCCTTCCTCAACAGAGCTATCACCAAGGTCAGCTGTGTCCTCATTGTGGTGTGGTCATTAGACCCATTCAGGGAACATTAGTGTAAATGTTGTAGGAGTAGATACAATTATCACAAATAGAAATGTATTGCTATTTTCACTGGTCTGCTAAAACACTCTGCTACAGAGCTACCATTACCATCCACCTTTGTGGTAAAAGTGGTAGTCCAAGTTTGCTGTGCTGCAAGAACCATGTCTGTGTTAAGATGACTCCAGCCCTATAAGCCCACACAGTTGGGTTGTCAGGTTTTGACAAGAATGTTCTATGTGAGATGACGAGGACGACGATGACGATGACGATGACGATGATTGATGATGATGATTGATGATGGTGGTGATGATAATAATGACGATGATGATGATGACGATGGTGACGATGGTGGTGGTGGTGATGATGATACTAATGACGATGATGAAGATGGTGATGATGACGATGGTGATGGTGATAACGGTGACGATGATGATGATGATGATGATGATGATGATGATGATTGTGGTGGTGTTGCAGGTTCTCCTGAAGGATGGCCAGTCTGCACTGTCCGACTTCCGCTCCGCCATCAAGCTGAGTCCGTACTCGGCCCACATGTACTTCAACCGCGGCAACCTGTACACCTCCATGCAGCAGTATGACAAGGCAGAGAAGGACTACACTAAAGGTGGACATGCAGGACAGAAAACTAGGGATGATTATTGGGCAGACCCGTGGGGATTATGTGTTAAATGTTGATGTTGATGTTGGGATGCGATGACATGCATCAACCAAGTCAGCGAGCCTGACCACCCGATCCCGTTAGTCGCCTCTTTCGACAAGCATAGTCGCCTCTTACGGCAAACATGGGTTGCTGAAGACCTACCCCGGATCTTCATTCATGGGTTTTCTGTATTAGAATTGGTCCCCATATGCATATGCTTTTCAGAAGAGATGACTTAATGGATTGGGGGGTCAGTTTCGGTGCCTTGGTGTATTGGATGATCATACCCAACTGTGTGGTACAATGCTCATAACATTAATCACCAGTTTGTCTGCTCCAGACCTATTTATAGGCTGTTATCATTTAGCTGGGGGCGGTCGGGTAGCCTAGTGGTAAAAGCGAATCCCGACATGGGTACAATGTATGAAGCCCATTTCTGGTGTCCCCCGCCGTGATATTGCTGGAATATTGCTAAAAGCAGCGTAAAACCAAAACTCACTCACTCACTATCATTTAGCTGCAATATTGCCCATAATTAAGGGTGCATATAACACACGAGTGTGTATTATACACGAATAAATAAGTCTTGTGTACATTGATCAATCGGAAGGGGTGCTAATTGGGATTGTTCACTTGCCAATATATTAGCAAATATCGCCGTGGGTGCTTATTAGAGCGGGGCGCTTATTACGTCGAACACGGTATGTGACATGGCCCCAGTAGCTCCTGCTTGTCACAAGCGTCAACTGAAATGAGGATCAGAGGTCAGAGGTCATGTTGTCATATAGCTGAAATATTGCCGACTACAGCTAACAACAAACCAGCATAAACAGATAACTTTCCTACAAACCTCACTTTGTGAATATTTGTTTGTTTTCAGCTCTGAGTCTCCAGCCCGACGATGCCCTGGTCTTGAAGAGGCGTGCAGATGTGCGAGGGAAGCAGGGTAAACGTGACCAGGCCGTGGGGGACTACAGGAGAGCCATAGAGCTGCAGACTCGACCCCATAAACCTGCTGAGTAGAGCTGCATCTACCCAGGCATGCTATCTCATAGACCTGTATGAACGTGTTGGGTGGAGCTGTACATATCTACTGACTGGTGGGTGGCACCAATGATTTGAATGTGAAATCTTGAACCTCTTGGGCAGAGGCCTATACCTACTGATTGGCCAGTGAGGTCAGACATCTGAGGAGACCCCATACAATTCTTCAGTTTTGAAGAGATGTATGACTACTGATTGTCTTGTAGACTGATGTTCCGCATATGATAAGCATAAACCTGTTTGGAAGAACTCATACATCATGTGATCTTACATCGGGGATGAATTTGGGACAACACTTAGAGGACTACACCCCACCTATTGTGTGTGTGTTCCACGTTGACATGGCATACAGGTACCAATTACCCCTCAGTACAGTCATCATGGTATTCTGTTAGAATGCCGCGATTTCATGGCATAATAATGTGATTATTTTAAAGAATCTGTGATATCTGTGATTCTGTGATATTGATGTGGTCGCGGAGGAATTATTACCTCAACTTACCCTTTACAAACTCAGATGTTTTATTGATAGGTGTGATTCCTTTTATCCAAAATATGCTCGTATCAACGCTGCAGCTGTTAGTTCAATAGGTTGCAGTTTGGCCATGTTATACCACTCAACGTTTTATAAGGATAGTGAATCATTACTTATAATATCTGTAGAGGAAAGATCTTAATGTCCTTATCAAAAGTTGAGTGGTATGTTTCATTATGGCAAATATTCTGTCAGTATTAAAGGAATGTGGTGAACATTTATGTGGTTTGCCATTTCTACAGTCACTTCAGCCAAAATGCATGCACTACTTAGGCATCACATTACACAATATTTCATCCAAAACCCAACCTTCCACATTCCCTCCTAAATAATGTTTACACCCAAACATTTCGATTCTAGCATGTACAGTGTACCAAATGCCTAAACAGTCAACATAATGTTTATGTGATGCTATATGTTATATACAAGTGTTGTTGATGTGATTTCCTATTAAATATATCTTTTGTCTCATATGAATTTATGGAATATTTATGAATTTATTATATATTTCAATGTGAAAGACTGAGTTTTCTGAAGCTGAGAAAAGTGATTTTTTTCATTGCAGTGAGCATAACACTTGATATTTCACTGTAGTGAACTTGACACTTTGACAGAACTATTGTCATAAAAGAGTTACCTGCCCTCAAATTATCTCCCTTTACCTAGTGTCTAGCCTAAACACAAACCGTTGGTGTCTTTTTTATGTTAGTCCCACATTAACAGGGCAAAATAATGACAGATGGTCATTTCTTGAGTTAATTTTGCTTCTTGCGTTTGTTATTCTCTTGGAAATGTTTCATCACAAACTGAAAATTTATCATTTAACTCGTCAATTGAGATTGTTGGTTGCGTAAAGCACTCCTGAAAATATCTCCTTTTCTCCTGCCACTTGATGAGAGAAACATGATATTTCACTCGACACGTGGAATATCCTCCATGTATGCCGCCTGTGTTACACTTCAAGCAAGGTAAATGATTCATCAGGTCAATAATTACGTTGTAACCAATTTGTAATAGATAAAGGACTCGGACACTATTTTATTGGGACATAAGGTAGTTGGGAGAATAATAATGTTTCCAAAACTTTCCTTTTTGTCCTGATAAAGTTCTTTCCCCTCGCATAAGAGCACAGCTCCAACAGGATTGTGCGGATCAGCTACTTCCTGTGATAAAACAACATGGAGTGCTTTACATCTGAACACTACATGGACTGCATTTTAAGTGTGTTTTTTAATACAAGTGAGTGAGTATAGTTTCAGGCTGCTTTTAGCAATATTCCAGCATTATGTTTGGACTTCGGACATTGTACACCTGTGGGGAATCAAACCCGGGTCTGGGGCATGACAAGTGAACACTGTAACCGCTGGGCTACCCAACCCCCTTTTTAATACTAGAGTCATTTATTGATACAAACATCTATTCCCCGATGATGACTTCTCTTATGATTCCTTTGTTGACTGGGGAGCACGGGTGGCCCAGTCGTCGCGATTCGCTGTGCAGTGTTGCGTTCGAATCCCGGTTCGCCCCGATTATGTTTCTAGGTTTGTCAGCACCATACCCGTGCTCGTGGGTTTCACCGAAGTGGTAAACGTCTGAGACCTGCATCACTTCGGGCTTTCCTCCCACATTAAGCTGACACGCCTAATATAACTGTAATACTGTTAAAAGAGGCATTAAACCCAACTCACTCACTCCTTTGAATTTCGTTGGCCAATGGCCAGTCAACATTCTTCAAGAAGGCAGTATTCACTGCACCAAGTTGCATCCCTTTCCCAGAACAGCTGACCATAGGTTCAAATCACAGACTTAATCCGTAAGCGCCTGCAACACAGTGATACTTCAATCTATCAACATGTATCTGGTGTTTGCTTATCTTCATTCGCTGGCATTGTTGCTACGCTCTTAGAAAGAAAACCGACACAAGTAGAGGATCCATAACCTTTATTCAGTCATGCAAAATAAATGTTATGCTGAAGTTCCTATTTACATATATACACAATGACAATGTGCTGGATGGCAGATATGATTGAAAGATATACTATATGTTGGACAACTGCTTGTTGTAGAAAAGTACAAAATGAGTTTGTGCTTACAACTTGTATGACTTAAGTGATCAAATGCTTTTAGTAAACCACAAAACTGAAACCCTTTCCTGAAAGGAACATATATCAGTCAGTACTAAACTGGAATGATGCTAGATTAAATTGTCCATGATTTCAAACCATTAAAGCTAGGGGTTCCCGTGGTACTGAAACAACCAAACTAAAATGAATTCCATCTGAAATTGTCATGTATGTAGGACAAAAATAAGACAACACATAATATTGTACAATAACAATGATGTAAGAATCTTTTTTGCAAGACAATGCAACTAGACTTTACAATCAGTGGACTGGACAGTAGTACCTATGTGATATGATTGGAGATAGCACCTAGACAAGGCTGGATGATACGTGAAATATGAATATCAAAATATCTTCTGTCGGTATAAAAATAGTTTGATGTGAGTTATGGCTATAGAAGTTGCATTGTCTAAGCCAGGTTGCTGCAAGTCAAGCACACTAACTATTCAGCTGGGATGGAGGACGAGGAGTGAACGACGGTGCTTGTGCTGCCTCCTCACATGGAGACTGGGACTACGAGGGTGTGTCGTTGTTCAGCAGACACCTCTGCTTCTCTACAGAGGATTAAACATTCATCATCATCAAATCTAACAAACTTTGGGATTGACCATTGTATTCACTTGGTAAATGAAAACGAAATTGTCAACACCACAAATTGGTTCCGCTTCTCATGTAAAGAACCACAATGAGACTTTTTTACCACCATGAACATAGAATAGTCGGTCCTAATATACAGATGAATATTGTTATTGTAGCACTAGTCATCTGTGATAGAAAAATAGTTAATACATTTCAAGAATCTCAAAAGACAATCACATCTAAATACTTTTGAATTTGTTTAACGTATGTTGAAAAGCTTTCACATCTAACATGTTTCATAAATAGGTTTGAATGGTTACAATTGCTGGTTTTGAAAATATGACCCACCTCTGTAGAGAGGGTATCCCATTTCTGGCTATATTTACATGTATCACACAAGCCAACACAGCATGTCACAGAGGTGGCTCTACCAGCAGACAAACTCACCATGGCTCCTTTCCATCATGATGTTAGCCTCTGGGAAGCTATCCAAACTGACACTGATATTAATTCAGAATACTGTAGAACTTTCAAAAACCATACATTTCTCTCAGAAATAACCTGCCCAATTATACAATCCTCCCATGAGTAAAGTGAGGAAAGCTGGCATGTTTTCAGATATCAATATTTGATATATTTGGCCAAATCAATGTCGATTCAAATCTTAATTTGCAAAAATAAAACTGATTGATTGAAAATATGTTTTAAACATCTTTTCTTAATTGCATTGATGGAAAAACACATTTGAAATATGCCTCACTTCTTGCATATGTTACTGAATTTTCCTTAAATTCTGAAAACTACCAAGTGTGACACCATCCCCTGTATGCAGGCATGTACAAGGTGTATTACTAGCTGCACAACGTCCTGGGTCTATGGTGAGTACAGTTCTATAACACTCTTGTCACACCCTCCAAGCTGGGATTGGCTCTAGAGTGCAGGGTTCCACACATGATCAATGATACATCTAATAACAAAACACCAATCAACAAACACGACAGATCCACAACCAACCAATCAGAGGCAAGATAGCATTGTGAATGTTCCAAGTCAAGACTGACTTTACATTATATAGCAAATTGGTACTCAATGTTTTGTACAGTGACTGGTTGGCAAACCCATCAAACAATAGATGATACAATATTTAAAGAGAATATGATGCAAGTTGAAACTAAAACTTCTCCAGTGAAAGTGATGAAAAATGTTTACTGGCTAAACGTATCATTTATTTACTGTTGTTGCTTAAAGTCCTTGTCACAGCATGAGACACAACATCACATTCAGTGTCTACATGTACTTTGGCATGTTGAATATTTTGGCTATATCAACATCTAAAATCTGTCTATACTGACTGGAACGTGTTTCTTTGGCTACTGAAAAAATGCATCGGAATAAGATGACGATGATCACGACATTTTACTGGCCAGTACTTTCTTAGACTAACACAAGTAATGCTGATTTTTCTTACTCATGGACGCTGTAGTTTCTGATAAATGATCGCTAACAAGAAATAAAACTGAACAAAATGCAAATATAAGCAAATAATCTCTTGCAGTTTCTATCTCTGTAGTCCATGCCAAGTCTGAATTTACTAGCCCAAAATTATTTTAGTATTCAATCTTTAAGTATTATCATCTTGAAATATCCCTTCTTTCATACCCTAAATTGCTGCGATACAAAAAGACAAAGTGGTGCTCAATCTTGGTACTTAAAAAGATAATTTTTAAAACGGTACATTGAAACAAAAAGCTTGCTGATCTTTTCTCAAGGGAGTGAGAAGCAAAAGCAATAATATTTTAAAACATATCTCAATTTCCTTTACAAATTAAAAGATCTGTGATGATTGGCTCTATGATCAGGTTGTATGGGACTCGGGGATCAACAAGAGATCTACAGCCGATGTTCATCAATGATGGCTGTGAATATACCTAGTTGTCAAGAATATACTACCATGGTCACATGGAATGTCAAAGGTCATTGTAGTGACTTCCTGCTCAATTTGGAGTTAGTTCTGTGACACATGTAAATGAGTTCATTCCAGAAAGACAGGTCTTCAGGTCCAAGAAACGTGAATGTTCACAAACGAAAAAGGACCTGATCCAACTTTCCCACCACAAACAAGGTTCATGAACGTATGTACATATATATCCTCAATGGAACAAATATTACCTGACAAAACCAAAGAAGAGATGAAAGTACAGTGCATTTAAAGAAAATCACTTCAAACTTAAAAGGTCAGATTAGAATTGATTTTCCATATGATTCAATAGCTGTTTTTGACAGAAGTGAAATACAAGTCCCTGTACACAGTAGCATAATACATTATTCATATTGTACAATACAGTGAGGATTCTATGTTACAGAAGCACCGCTATCAGTGTGTTAGGTCCAGACACCATCAGTAAATAACTCCTTAACTACATATCACCAAACTTGTCACACCTGTCCAATATAGACACGACTATCTAGATCCAGCTGTGAATTTGTAGCAATGTACTGCTCTGCTTTTACTATCCAACATTGTCGTAGTTACGTACTGCCCTGCTTTTACCATGTTTACTATCCAACATCGTCATAGTTACGTACTGCCCTGCTTTTACCATGTTTACTATCCAACATCGTCATAGTTACATACTGCCCTGCTTTTACCATGTTTACTATCCAACATCGTCATAGTTACGTACTGCTCTGCTTTTACTTTCCAACATTGTTGTAGTTACGTACTGCCCTGCTTTTACTATCCAACATCGTCATAGTTACGTACTGCTCTGCTTTTACTATCTGAAATTGTTGCAGCTATGTAACTCTCTGCTTGTACTGTCCGAAATGATTGTAGCAAGGTACTGCTGTTTTCACAATCTGACATTGTTGGATAGTACAAGCAGTACAGAGCTACAATTTCACAGCTAATCAATGCCCTGTATAAACCCGGATGTTTTTGCACAGCAAAGACGGTATAGTAACAAAACTAACAACTCTAAACACAATCATCCTCAACTCTTGGAAGGGGATTATTAAATAACCAACATTTCTTAAATGGGGATAACTGCACGAACAAGCAAATATGAATTATTCAAAAGTGAATGACAAGTTGCAAATTTCGTAAAAATTGATTAACAATGCTCAAAGTAACAAGAATAACATTGCACCCATCTTGTTCTAGTATTTTCATCATGGAGGTAAAAAACAACATTTGAAACAATTCCTGTTTTCAAAATACATTACCTTTCATCATTAAGTTCAATGATTAAGAATGAACAGACTTAATAATCCTCGGACTAGTGTTGTCATAAACACAATAAATTACCTCAAATTATATTCACAGGATATCGATCAGAATCCATAAACAAATTGTTTACATGAAGTAAATTTTGCAGCCGTTCATCATAAATTAACATCCATCCATTGAGCCCTACTACACAGATCCTACAAGCAGAAAGAATTAACTACCAAGCTAACTGAAGCACTCTGCCATTTATTTTTCCATGACTAGAAAAATATTAATTATAGTAAAAATATTTCAGCTATTGGGCAAGATACCATATTATTCTATGTATGTCAATAAATATCAGGCCAAACACCAAAACAAATCCTATAGAATAGCAAGTGAAGCGAATGCTACTCAAAGTGTGTTGTAGTTACGTGACACATTTCCTACACAATATTAGCACATCCGCTAATAGAAAGGATCTGACAGGATTTAACCATACTGAATCCTATTTGATTTTTAAATAGACATTGATTGACTGACTGATTGCACAGCACACGATCACATTCAACATTATGGTAATATATTTAAGATTAAACAGCATTGCAGATGCTCCCCCTCCCCCTCCCCCCACCAAACCAGTGTAAAGTGTAACATTTCAAGGTTTTGTAACAAAAATATTTTGATAAACATCAAAATATTTTTAAATCCACACACTTAAAGCAATATGGTTCACAATATTTTGCATTGATGCTTGAATAAGAGTTGAATTTTTCATAATCTCATTGCACACTTTGACGTCATCCTTCGAAGAGCTACGAATGCAGTAGTTGACAGAAAACAACGTCCTGCGCTGTTTATGTTTCTAATAGAGTTGAGCACTGACTGTGAAAGATCTCTTGAATGGCTTGAGTTAAGGCACACTTTTCAGCACCACAGAATCAGGTCCTATGTAACGATGCAGTCAACTCACATTACAATAGTTGCGATATGTTTCTTTCAAAAAGTCCTAAAGGACAAATATATGCTACACCTCTCATCACTAGACGCAGGACCTCACTCATCTTGAAGCAAGGTCTTCATCACTAGATACAGAACACACCATTATTTTCCTGACAAAAACTGTCGAAACATTCGAAACATTTTGCATATCAACTGTCTTCTGAAAGTGCAGGGGTATTTCAGTCCAAACTCACATACATGCAAACTTCCACCCATCAGATGAATAGACACGGAGTCAGGTGTATCGTGTCAGACTCATCGAAACCCATCTCTCGAGACTTTTGATGTCAAAAACCTGGTTGAAACTTGTTTCCATCAAAATCACATCGCCTAGGAAACGGATTCAGAATCCACTACATCCATAGTTCAGTATTACAGGATGCAAGTTCACGCATCTCTCTCCTTGCATCCAAAGCAGCACTTTTGATAATAGTTTCCATAAGCTTGCCTATCAATCAAGCATTTGATCACAAAGCAAACATGTCTTATTGTCACCAATAATGAGCCACGATGGCTCCAAATAGACCCCAAAAACATTTCATATCACATTCATGACTCTCAAAATCTGAGCAATCACTGCCATAAAGGCTAGCTGAGGCATCTCTGATAAAACCAATGCTTACAGAATTCTATCTGACAGAATCCTGAATCAAACAATTACTGTCAAAATTCTCACTGGACATATCCGTCAGAAGCAGCCTTGATCTTGGCAGCCAACGGAAGCAGCAATGGAAGCAGTCACTCACAGATACCCAAGACAGAATCTCATCAGATTCCACACAGCGGACAAACTCCTGGACTACCAGCAGGTCAGCAGGTCATCTCAACATCACACTTCAGCAGACAGTGTATAGAGAACACAGCTGGATTTCCCTGGTCTGATCCAGCTGAGACAGGTTTGGACTAGTCATCCTTGCAGATGGGTCGATGGACACTTGGAGAATCTTTATTCCATAATAACAGTGGAGAAATGTAGTGTTTTGACAATGAAGGGCGAAGTTGGTTTCATCTCAAGGACGTATCGACGAGGTGAAGGACAGTCAGAGAGATGAATGGAATCATTGTGGATACAGATGGAAATGATGGTTATCAAACTCCTGAGACTTGGAAGATGACAATCACCATGGAAACATGATGGTTGTCATGGTAGTGTGTTGATTAGAGCCAGGTAGACAGCTGAGACTTGACCTTCTTCAGGTGGAGGAGTCCTGAGGGCCACTTCTTGAGCAGGGCGAGTGACCGCTTTCTTGCTAGTCAGCTAGAAGGGACATGGACCACACACGCGCCCGCTCGACCCGTACACAGTGACGCAACCTGAAACAACAAACATCATCATCCTTGAAACAATGAGTAGCACCATCTTTGAAACAACATGTCTCTGCTATCAAAATTTGTAAGATTTGTCAGTAAATGAAATTAAGTCATGGATAACGCAGGGCTTTTTTACTTCAACCATGACATCATCCTTGAAATAACAAACAAAAACATCATTGACAACAAACAACATGCTTGACAACAATAACAAAAAACATTCTTGAAACAGAAAATAACATCATCCTTGAAACGACATGTCTCTGCCATCATAAGATTTGTCAGTAAGTGAAATTACGTCGCGGATGACACGCCTTAAGGGGGTGGTCGGGTAGCCTAGTGGTTAAAGCGTTCGCTCATCATGCCGAAGACCCAGGTTCGATTCCCGACATGGGCACAATGTGTGAAGCCCACTTCCGGTGTCCCCTGGCGTGATATTGCTGGAATATTGCTAAAAGCGGCTTAAAACCATACTCACTCATTCACTCACAGGCCTTAAGACCCCAACTATCATTTTACAGAAATACTCCTTAATCATATATTATCAACAGATTTTACTGAAATACTCTTTATTAATATTATCAACAGATTAAATAGGACAGTGGACTATGCTTTCAAAAGACCAATATTCAACTTTTCACCAAGGTGATCATGAATGACACTATCAGCCATGCCTGCGCGTACCAGACGGGTGAAGCACCAGTAAAATCTCCACTATAGCCCCACGCTTGCTTGTAACACATACCTTGGTCCACTCATTGGTGATGGGATCATACGATTCCACATCATTGAGGTACTGTTGGCCATCATAACCCCCCACAGCGAACAGCTTGTCTCCTAGTGGGCAGAGGCCCACAGCATCTCGGGGGGAGCTCATCGGGGAGATCATGGTCCACTGGTCCGTCTTCGGGTCATATCTGGGGGAGATTCAGTATCGTGTCACCAGTGTCAAACAGAGGATGACAATCATTTACGGAGCTACTACTACTACAACTACAACTACTACTGTAATACAATAACTTGTTTGGGGTGAAAAAGTGAGTAGAGGTTTGATTCTGCCACTGTACAGCTGCCAGGCCAAGCATCATGAATGAAATCATCTTGGTTTGTCACTTTTGATCCCTCCGGCCAGAAAATCATTACAACAAAGGAATATAACTCTTCGTTATTTTTTCATTAAAGAATTTCTTACAATCAAATGAAAATATCACAGAAGTATCTATACAACTATTATTTGCATTTGCATAATATTCCAGATAAATGACAGCAGCCCGTAAATAACCAAGTCTGGACCAGACAAACCAGTGATTGATATAATGAGCAACGTTTCAAACTGACATGGTAGGATGACACGGAATCAACCAAAGCACCAAGTATCGAGTACGATATGCATAGGTTGCTGGGGACCTGTTCTAACTCAGATTTCCATTGGGCCCTCTAAGAAAATGTATCTGCCAATGATGAGTGGTCCATTGTTTATCAGTGAACTATAAAGCGGCCCTTCAACACATTATAGTCCTCACCGTTCTGCACACTCAAATCTGCTGCAGGTGGGGTTGGTAGCCGGAGCCTCGTGACCCCCGACAGCATACAGGAACCCGTTACATGTAGCCACGCCCACGCCACCCCGCCGTTTGGACATCGGGGTGCAGTGTGTCCACTTGTTGGTGTGTGGGTCGAAACACTCCACCGACTTCAAGCAGGAGCTTCCATCACGACCACCCACAGCAAACAATCTGGTGGAAATAAAAAATTGTTTTACTCCCAACTAGAGCATCCTGAAATACTGTTTCTGTGTTAAGTTTATCACTGTGAATCCATACTGAGCACAGCAACACACGGGGAACCCTGTCACAGATGAGAACAATTTTTATGGCATAACCGAGGATCATCTGAGACTTAAGTATCTTCAGCTAGTCATCAATTTGTTTAGTGACAGAGGGAAACTCTATAACAGTCATACCATAAAACACACTTCATTTATCAAAATAGCACCTGGTTCACTAACCTAATAATGCCTTCAACACACAATCAGTAGCTTGTTAAATTTGTGATGTAATTTCAAAATGCTGCAGTTTGTGCATCAGTTTTTTTCTCAAAATAAGCAAAGAGAGGTTTACATTGCTTTTAGCAATGTCACAGCAGGGGATGCCAATAATGGCTTAACGCATTGTACTCTTGTTGATAATTAAACCTGGTTTTCCATGTGAAAAAAACCAACCCATTGACTACCAGGCTAGTCTGCCCACTAAGCTGCTTCAGGACGAAGGCTACTGGTGATAAGTTAGCCCAATGGGTTGGTACTACTGGGAAACTATTTCCCACACTGCCCAATATGGAACATTTTTAACATACATGACCCAGCAGGAGAAAAGGGACCTTACAAGTGAAAAAATCACATCTTTGAAAAATCATCTTCACAATTCACAAGCTTCAATTTATATTCATTACAGAGATACTGACATCAAAAATTTGGATTCATTTTCTGCAAAGTCCCATTTTCAGACTTATTACTGTTTATGTATTAGGTGCAGCTTTTAAATATAATGTCTGATTAATTGAACATAGACATGTATGCTGAAATGTTTGAAATAATGCTTTTACTACATAGCGAACTAACGAGAGAAAAATTAGATATTTTTGTACAGTCCGCACACATGGCCATTTTTTACGGAAGTAAGTTGACGTCACATGTCCCTCTTCATGACGTCACAACACAACTGTTTCCTAGCACCCATAAGGTCCTTTTCTCATGGTGGGTCACATAGAATCTTGTCAAGGGATATGACGTGACAGCTGTCCCCACAACCTTCTACAGGATGAAGACATGTGTCCACTGCGTGTTGTACTTACTTCCCAGCAAGGGAGGCGACGCCCACGGTGCTGCGTGTGGTGGACATAGGGGCCACATAGCTCCACTGTCGGGCCTGGGGGTCCCATCGCTCCACGGTGTTCAGGTATGACCAGCCATCATGTCCTCCCACCGCGTACATCGGCCCCTCCAGAACACCCACTCCTGCAGAAGACAAGGCATCAGATCAGTGACAAGAAATAAAACATAGCCATTGAAATCAAAACCATCTCTTTCAGCACTTGACCATGGCTTCACAATCTCATTAAAATCAGACCTTAGTTCTCGTTACCGCTAAACAAAGATCTGAGGACATCCCATTAGGGGTCACGTCAGAACGACCTTTCATCTGCCCAATCAGAGCGTCGCTTACCAGATCATAAAAGTGACAGTCGGAATGTGATTTCTAATCATGCATCCTCGTAAACTTTAACACAGGGTATTCCGAACAATAGTTACGAGTTTAACGACTGAATCCCTACAATCTGGACCATCTATTAGCCATTCCAGAATATTCTTTTGTTCAGGTTTCAAATTTTTAATCGAGGTTTTGTCAAAATATGTTTCGAAGTGTTGTTGCCAATTTGAAAATAGTGCCATAAAGCACGAGAAAGCTGCCTTCTGATTGGTCATTCCATTGGTCGGTCAAAGTTCGCGCAAGGTTGGTCTGACGTGACCCGTAATGGGATGTCCTCAGAACTAAGATCTGATTTTAATGAGATTGATGGCTTCAAGAATTGACAATAAGCACACATAATAAATCAACAAGGACTAACTGATCTTAACACTGTGACTGTCGTAACTTCCCTACTCTAACATAGCTAACAACAGTCATATCTTCAAAGTCATATTTGGGATAACACTTTCTGAGTAAAGTACAGATTCTCGTACTTGTTGTGGGTCAACAGTATCCCAAGTCAGCCTTACCCAGACCATGCCTGTGGGTGGACATAGGAGGCATGAGAGTCCACGACTTCTTCTTGGGGTCGTAGCACTCCACGGTGTTGAGAGTCTTCAGCCCATCTCGGCCCCCAACGACAAACAACTTGTCCTCCAAGACAGCAACACCAAACTGCAGCCTGCGACCATTCATGTTGGCCACCTGCGTCCACGTGTTGGTACGGAGGTCATACTTCTCGATGCTTGTGGCTCCTGGAACAGTAAGACAATCTGAGACTACGCAATTTACATCTCACTGCTGCACTGCCTCGAGTCCAGTGCCTGTTCCACAAACCGATCTTAGCGCTAAGAGGATTGTAACTCCTCCACCTTAACATAGATAGACTTACGACAATCATAGCACTATGATCGTTTTGTGGAACGGGGCCCCTGAAACTAGAAAGCATGGCTGTAGTAGAACTAGCATTTGTCTAAGCCGTTTGTCATGGTCAAAACTGATAATATTTACACCTGACCAGAAGATCTTAATAAGTGCTGTAATCTGATTGGTTAAAAACTTTATTGAATGAAACTGGTTACCAGGATGTGAGGACTTTTCACTACACATGAATACTTCGATCTCTTTCTCAAACCCAAATATGAAAAAAACATCTATTCCGGCTCGATGACAAAATACTGCATTGATCATATAAAAGTTTGACCAATATTTATCCTAACAACAAGTTAGTTGTTTTTCTCCACATTTTGCAAACGAGGAAGGTTCTGTTGTGATGAGAAGCCTAGGACGCCATCTACTGTATCATGACGTACGTACTAGCATACCAGTGAGAACTCACACAGTGTAACAGAAACCTACTGACAAGTTTTGTGTTACTTCATTAAACATAATGGGTTTTCACATGTCACTGGATATCAAAATTTCCAGAAATGTTAAAATCAGAAACCTCTGGCTAATGTCAGATCTAAATGAAATAAGCTACAACTCTTCAATGGTTTTACATCCGATTTGAAAATCAATCAGTAATCTAAGGGCCTTTTATTGCAGTCATTATCTTGATCAATTGACTTCCATTTCAGTCTTTAACAATGGAGTTGATGGCGCCACCTGAAGTAAATGTCACATTCAGTAGCTAAGAGTAGATTTCACAAAAGCAACTGTCTGACTTAGGAACTCGACAGACCTATGTTCCAAGATAAAACAATGTTTAATACTTGAAGTACTGACAAGACTAGGAGAAATTTGGGGAAATTTTCAAAATATGACAAATATAGTGGCTGAAATTTTAGTTTACCAGGCTACTAACATAATATTGTCGGGGCAGTCGGGTACCCTAGTGGTTAAAGCGTTCGCTCGTCACGCCGAAGACCCGGGTTCGAATTCCGACATGGGTACAATGTGCGAAGCCCATTTCTGGTGTCCCCCACCGTGATATTGCTTGAATATTGCTAAAAGCGGCGTAAAACCAAACCCACTCACTCACTCATAATATTGTCACTTTGTGATTTTAATGCATTCCCATGTTGTAGCCTTATTTGTATTCTGTATTCTACATAACAAAAAGAATTAACATCACTATTAGCTATCAGTTATGTCTGTGAGATATATACATCTAATATTTGTTTTCAGAAAGGAAATCCTATTAACAGATACCCTATGCATATTGAACAAAGCATGCTACATATAACCAGTGCTTCATCTATGACAGTAATACCGACAGTGCTCATACACATCGTCTCCAGAGACTAGTATCAGTTTATAGATACGAGAGTTACTGAAATGCTGATGTGAAGTTACATCCAGAACAGCCAACAAAGGAAAAGTCCCCGCGCATCAGGTCAATTTAATCGTAATAATCTGACTTAAACTTTGTAACAGATACGATGATGACTTGGTGTGGCCATAATAAACATTGCAGACAATGTCTGACATTTACCATATCGTGCGTTGGCCTCAACCAGCCCAATAAACAATGATCAAAGTTCCTTCTAGTTTCAGTAAGGAGAACTAATTTATCTTGAGGGCTTTGAGCTGTCATCACTTCCAGTCTATCCCATCATTTGGATAAATATTCACATTCTGGCAACCTTTTTCATGGGCAGTTAATACTAACATGATAATTGATACTAAATATTTACTGTAAATGCCAAACTGTTTTCACTTTATATATACTTCAGTTTGCCTCTTCAACCAATATTTCAAAGAGACTAGTGTCTTTCAACTACTCTCAAACTTTGTAGCTGATGAAACATTAAATGAGATATTAATAATTGAATCGCTGGTGCCAGTGATTCACAGAAAGACATACCAAAAATATATACAGATATTACAGATGGAAAAAGATTTAATATGTGATCTAGTTATGATACCTTGTTTGGTCATTGGGCTTTAGATGCTTGCTGTTTCAGTATCGGAATCTAGGGACCATTTAACCATTGATTTGCAACATGAAAGTTTTTACCATGAACTCGTGACTTATTTTGAAACACAGTGATGCTATGCCAAAAGGCGAGGTATAAATGACCCTGATGATGGACTTGTGAGGCTTACCTTAGGTACAGTCCATGCCTCCCACGGCATACATGACCCTGACGGTGGACTTGCAAGGCTTACCTTTGGTACAGTCCATGCCCCCAACGGCATACATGACCCTGACGGTGGACTTGCAAGGCTTACCTTTGGTACAGTCCATGCCACCCACGGCATACATGACCTCGACGGTGGACTTGCAAGGCTTACCTTTGGTACAGTCCATGCCTCCCACGGCATACATGACCCTGACGGTGGACTTGCAAGGCTTACCTTTGGTACAGTCCATGCCTCCAACAGCATACATGACCCCGACGGTGGACTTGCAAGGCTTACCTTTGGTACAGTCCATGCCTCCAACAGCATACATGACCCCGACGGTGGACTTGCAAGGATTACCTTTGGTACAGTCCATGCCTCCCACGGCATACATGACCCAGACGGTGGACTTGCAAGGCTTACCTTTGGTACAGTCCATGCCTCCCACGGCATACATGACCCCGACGGTGGATTTGCGGGGCTTGGTGCGGGGGCTCTGGAAAGAGGACCTGCGCTCCGGGAGCAGATGGTACTTGAGGGCCTCCATGATCAGGGTCTGGCACTCCTTGTCATCCCGGAACAGTGGGTTCGTCTCCACACAGTCCGCAATGAACTGACAGAAAAAAAGCAACACATAGAGTCAAGCTTTATATACAGGAAGATTTAATGCCAGTATTAGCAACCTATGTAATGTCAAACCATTTACTTTAAATTCATGATCCATTTCGTCCTTATAAATGGGTAATATTGTGTTATGTTTTGTTTATTCTTTTAAGATAAATAGATTTTTATCAAGGAAAGGAAACCTAAGACACACAACACAAAAAATTTCTAAATACCTTCCCGATAAAAAAATAAAAATTATTGGGGATTATGTTACTTTCGTCTTACTAGATAGGAAACCAATACACAAACTGAATATATTTAAAAAATCAATGATGAGTGGGAGTTGTTTATCATACAATAAAACACTGCAGGTAGAATAACCATGAGGGTGTGGCTCATCAACTGGGAACAACTCAATAGACAATTCCTTCTCAAAATAACGTCTTCCAAAAAAAGACATCACAAGTTGCAAGCTCATGTTTGAATCTCTAGATATGCATCATGACAACACACTCAATACCCACATACCCAAAACGAACTCTGCAGGACTTTGCTGCTATGCACATGACATATTCTACGTAATAGATACCACAACCCTAGGCAATTATTCCCTAATATTAGAAATATCGGCATTTTCTTTAATACGGTGACAGTTATAAATTCCACTGGCAAAACTTGAGTCTTTCCCGGAGGCAGGTCTTTGTCAAATGTAATCAATACTAATCATAACCATTCTTGCCCATAACACCGACTCCACACCCTAATCTCTCATCTATCTGGCTTCTCTCAATCTACTGATCATCCCTACAGCTTCAGGAGGAGTCCGGCAATCAATACTCCGCCAACGGAAGCCAGACGCTCATGTTCATCCATCCCTTCTAACCAAACGTTGTACTTCTCAGTTTTCACTTGTCAATAATTACTGCTTTCCGTTTCGTTACCCTCCATACGAGACGCTCCTTCCCTTACAATACGAGCCACATCGGAGCATGCTTGATCTCAGAACATAACTTGCTTAATGTGGAGCATGGTTGTAATACTATCACCAATTTACACTCAAATAACCTCCCAAACACGCAAAACCAAATCAGCCATGTTATCTCTTATGATTTTGGCACAACCAAAGCCAGAGTTTCACCACATTATTTCAGTCACGCTGATGGAATTTCCATTTCTATAATGACATGTATGGAAGTGTACGTCCTCCCCAAACAAAGTAAATCCGCACACAACCACATTAATTGTCGCCCTCCTTGGAGACCCACCGCTTGCTAATTCGGCAATTGCTGGCTATCCCAAGATGCTGTTAGTTTCCCCTCAATCAACAACCTGAACCAGATTGAGACATTAAGTAAGTCTTGACCCTAACATGGCAGGGTCAGTGTCACCAAAGAAGCATCTCCCAGACTGACAGGGTGACAAGTAGCTGTTAGGCATGTAGTGGTCAATATCGCAGACAGCCACAACAGGGATGATGGGGAGAGTGAAGGGGTGTTAAGCCAATCAAGTGACTGAGGAAGGTTTTACGCCACATTATCATCACTGCAGCTTAAGATGGAGTTCCGGTTCCAGAAACTATATTGGTTTTGGAATCGAACCCTGATGTTTGGTATGATGAGACAAGCTGTGGCCTGTGAGTGAGTAGGGGTGACTTCCACTTCATCAACATTTCAGCTTTAGACATGGAGATCAGATTTAAAAAGATTTTCTTTCGGTTTTGGAACTGACCCCAGGTCTTTGGCATTACTGAGTTGTAGAGTTTTACACCCATTGACAACATTTCAGCTTTGGACATCGAGATTTGGCTTCATGAACTGTATCAGATTCTGGACTGATCCCTGAGCTGACTTGCACCAATGATCTTAGCGCTATGACTACCTAAAGTCTTGCACCAGTGATCTTAGCGCTATGACTACCTAAAGTCTTGCACCAATGATCTTAGCGCTATGACTACCTAAAGTCTTGCACCAATGATCTTAGCGCTATGACTACCTAAAGTCTTGCACCAATGATCTAAGCGCTATGACAACCTAAAGTCTATGTTACAGTCATCTCAGTACTAAGATCACTTTGTGCAAGTACCCATGTCTAATGTCTATCTGTCTGTTTGTCTATCTGTCTGTACCAAAGAACACATGAGGTACCTGACCAAAGTAAGCTACCTAGTTTCAAAGATTGAGGCAACATGAAACATTTTCTTATCATTATTCAGATGTATGCATTCCCAGTGAAGATCCGGGTAGAGAATAGGTCTTCAGCAACCCATGCTTATTGTAAAAGGCAACTATGCTTGTCGTAAGAGGTGACTAACAGGACAAAAATCGGGTAGTCAGGCTCGCTGACTTTGCTGATTGATGTCTTCATATCCCAATCACGTAGATCAGTGCTTATGAATGTTAATCACTGGATTGTCTGGTCCCGACTTGAGTATTTACAGACCGCCGCAGGTGTATACTTAGTTGGTTGGTTTGTTTGTTTAACGCCGCACTCAGCAATATTCAAGCTATATGACAGCGGTCTGTAAATAATCAAGTCTGGACCAGACAATCCAGTGATTAATATCATGAGCATCGATCAACGCAATTGGGATCGATGACATGCATCAACCAAGTCAGCGAGCCTGACCACCCGATCCCGTTAGTCGCCTTTTACGACAAGCATAGTCACCTTTTACGGCAAGCATGGGTTGCTGAACACCTATTCTACCCCGGAAGTGTATACTTAGAACAATGAATTGTTCTCCAGTATATCTCTGGGGGTATGTACTCATTGATGATGCAGATGAGGGACAGGATGACAGCATCATCAGGGTAAGAGGACATGCTAAGTGAGCCATTCCAAGTTCCCAAGGGTTACCCAGACAGTTCAGAGCACAAATTCATGGCAGAAAAATCTTGTATTTATTTTAGAAATCTATATCAACACAATTTAGAAAGCATGCAAAAGTCAAAATGTCATTACAATTCTTAACAGAAAGCTTAGTTTAATCACAAGTGTTAAAACATTACATTTCAATCTTTTCAAGGAAAATCTAACAACCACATTGCTTCCTTTAAAAGGCACTAAATACGCAACAAAAATGAGAATAGAAACATTTTCACTCATTTCCCATGATCTCATAAACACTCAGCAGGCTATACATCCCATATTCCTACCACGAGAATTCTAAAGTTGCCTTTTTTCTGTAGAAGTATTCAAAACTAATGTTTTCCAGACACTTTCATTACAGTGTGAACGCAACATAACCTTCAAAATATAAAAACAACAGTTTCACACTTGTTGACAATCCAACCGACAAGATCTAGAAGTCCCCAGAACACTGAGGCCCTGTTCCAGCCCTCGCTAGGCAACATAAAATAAAGGAAGCTTAGTGTCAAGCGAACAAAACCATATTGTTGGAGCCAAAAACCCAACATAGATATGAAAATTTCCCATACCCTCCCCTGCTAAAACTGTGTATGATTGCTCCAACAGTTCCTGGCATTCCTGCACCAGGTTAGGCATGTTTCAACCATGTAGAGGAATGCCAGACGGAGGAGGAAAAAGTCTGTCAGCTGCTTTCAATGTCAGTGCATCTGTCACCATCCCCCTGTCAACACCCTGTCTTGCCCTGCCTGTGGAGCACAGTCGAATGATAACTTTGAACTGTAATCCATGATTTGTTTGTTTGTTGTTTAACGCCGCACTCAGCAATATTCAAGCTAAATGACGGCGGTCTGTAAATAATCAAATCTGGACCAGACAATCCTTTGATTGACATCATGAGCATTGATCCACGCAACTGGGATACGATGACATGCATCAACCAAGTCAGTGAGCCTGACCACCAGATCCCGTAAGTCGCCTCCTACGACAAGCATAGCTGCCTTTTACATCAAGCATGGGTTGCTGAAGACCTATTCTACCCCGGATCTTCACAGGTTTGTAATCCATAAAGTATTACCTATGATAGTGCCAGGAGCATGCTTTATGAGCACTTTCTATGCTCTGAAATTATCATAAATCTACGTCTGTCTGTGATGTTGTGGACAGAGCACCGAGAGCAGATGTCTGTGATGTTGTGGACAGAGCGTCTGCCCCGAGAGCGGATGTCTGTGGTTCAATCCCCTGGCTGTATCGTACCGAAAGACGTCAAAAGATGCTACTTGTTGTTACCTTGCCTGGTGCTCACCATTAAGGGGACAGGAGTCAGTATACTGTGTGTGAGTGGGGTAGTCATGTTAAACTGCAGCATGGTATCTCAGTAGGCTAGCACTATAAAACCAGCATTAGACCAAACTAGTGCAAGTAGCCACACATATACACCAGGAGTGGGACAAGTCCAAATTTACTACCTACCCCCCTATTACCCGACCCTACCCGGGTACCTGCTGTAGGTCTCAAGAGGTAGGTACAAACTGTCCGATTGGGAAATGTTTGACCGTAGCCCTGGCAAAATGGGTTTAGATACATGTATAAAACGATCTGGTGTATACACTGAAGCTGACTGAAGTTTTATTTTTATTCAAACATAAAAACAGTCAGAAGGAATGGGCATAGTAGTCAGAAAGAACTGCGAACATTAGTGATTTGTAGTTTAAACAAAGAGTTCTAGATAATTTTTGTCATTAAACAATATATCACGTGACTAATCACACGTCCGGGTAGTCCTGTGGGAACCCAGATCCTACTCAGTACCCACCCGACCTGAGTACCCAAGTTACCCGAGTTACCCGTCCCAGCCCAGCCGTCCCAGCCCAGCCGTCCCAGCCCTGTCTCCATGTAAGTACAATAAACATGACGTTTAACCCCTTTTCACCTCCACTCATGATGTTCATGATGTTCATGATGTTCATGATGTTAGACCCTAGCGATTTGACAGTTTCAGCTCTTGCACTTTGCTAGAGTTATACATTTGTTGAAAGTCATAACATCAGCTGTAAGACCCTCATAAATCAATATGTTGAATTTAAAGTTATGACAGCATCAACTCTAAAACTAACAAACATGGATGTCAGAATATATATCATGTCTAAGGCATTTATAAGTCTACAGGCAAAGTTATGACAGCAGCAGCTCTAGATGAAGCTGAATTTAGAAAATGAACAAAGGAATCAGGCATTTCTATTTTAGGATTACAAGGAGTTTAGCCTAATTTCTGTGCTTAAATTCCCCTTCATCATCCATCATTCTAGAGTAATCATCAAATTGAAAAATGTTTTGAATTGGTGAATACAATCATTATTCAAAACCAAATATTTTAAAATTTCAACCCTCATTGTTGGTTTCTTTCAAAATTAAGAAAAATATCCAATAATATATCTGTCCCACTATATATATAGCTGTTGAAGTTATCCATAATTCACATGGATCTAGTTCAACGACCATCAGCTGTTTACAAGCCAAGGTTACCCAACTGAAGAACTCCCTTGTCGTCACTTAAAGGAACGAGCCTGATCCCTATGGGGCTTAAGCCCCGGCACTCAACTATTGTCAGAATGGAAATAATCATCATTAATTAATGCAGAGCACACCATCGACAGGTCTGAACTTTTGATTAAATGCAGTGGAGTGGAGTGGAGGCAGTGGGGGATTACTGCATCATGAGTGACAAAGGGGAACACCATCAGCAGCAGCAGCCAGAGCTGTACACAGAGACAGAAGACTGTGGCCAAACGCTGGTTCAGGCTTGTCAAGCTTATTTATCATTTCTGTCAGAGAATGGTAGTTTTTCATGTAGGAGCTTAGCTACAAGGTATTTCTTTGAGAGATCATGTAAGTTTATTAACTTGCAAAGAAAAAAAAATGGCCATTTTGACATTTTGGGATCTCGGAGAGAAGGTATTTCTGTGATGATAACACACCTTTTTAATAACTGAGAACATAGATACAGAGTGTTTTAAGAATGCATGTCGATTTTCTAACCCAAGCTTAGATACAAAGAATTTCTGTAAAAAGATTGTAGGATATTGATAACTACAAAAACATACACTGATACAGATACTGTCGTCCTGAATGCTATTTATAAGACGTGAATCATTAATAATGAATGAATTGTTATCTTTGACAAGGAATAAAAATATCCAAATTTAATTTGGAGGTTTTAATCATATATATATTTTTTGGAATAGTTTCTTATAAAACAAATAATTCAATAGACACAGATAAATATCTCATATGACCTTTTCAAACTCAGTTTTTGGGACAATCTTCTCACAAGACCTGCACATAACCAAGGCATTAGTCAAGTGGAAATGACATGTTGGATATACAAGCCACAACACATGCTTGTCATACAGACAATAGACGTATTCTTACACTGTAGTCTTGAATCAATAGAGAATTGGAAAAAAACATATCTCAAAGCAAAAAACACACGAAGACTAAGCCAAGGGTGCTTTGTTCACAATGAACCTCCAACACAAAAGGCACGCTAGTGAGGCCATATATTGTGGTGGGAGCCCTACCCAGGCCACATGATGGCCTGCTAGAGCCCTCTGGGACGATCAGAGTCTCCGTTATCTAAGGTTTACAATAACTCTGCACACAGAATGAGTCTGAGTTCACATAAACAAGCAATGGGATTACCTGAGTCTTCACGTAGGTTTTAGACGTGGCATAAATGGACTACTACAAGTTGTTGAGAGAATGAATGGAGTTTCAGACTGCCGGTTGTATACATTGAAACCCTGCAAATCTGGATGCTCGTTTCCAGTAAAACTGGCACATTGTCCTGATTAATGGGGTTCAATGCACCAACCACAAATAGTTGTTTCAACAGTAATTGTTCGGAAGAAAGGGTTGCTGCATTAACAGTGTCCACATAAATGAGGTTTCATTGTATCCTTTTGATGAATATTCTGATTTAGCACAGATAGACCAATGGGTAATAACATGAAGTATTTCCCATATAGGTTGAAATACTGAATGTAAAAATCTTTCGATATTTGCACTTATGCATTTTAGTGAATCTCTGAAGTTGGATGGGCAGTCAAAGCTACATGACATCATACTCCTGCATTGTTAAAAAAATCCATATAACATCATCCACTTTTTGTGACATCAGAAATGGACAATGATTTCACAGCAGAAACAGCATCTTGGAGAGCTGACGTTTCATAAATTTTCTTCGCTTTCTTTTTTAAATTGACAATGGATGGAGGCTTGGGATATCATTTCATCATTCAGGATAGACAGTCCATTATTCCTACAGCAATCAGAGCCATCAAACTCCAAGGTCAAACTAGGAATCTTGTCATGGACTCCACTCCAAGTCCACAAAGCCAACTCAGTGCATGCCATGACTACCGCAACTTGATCACAGCACTAAGGTCCAAAAGTAAACAGAGCTTCAGCCATTTTGACCACCTAATTCCCATCTAAGCAACATCTGACAAGCATGGAACCGATTCCAGTCTATACTTTACAGGGAAAGGTCTGATGTCTTAACCTAATTTGTAAAAGCTCTCACCTGTGGCGCCATCAGTGGAAGCTTGATGTGAGACAGAAGTTTGGGAAGACATTTTTTCCTGTTATTCAAATCATGTTTGGACCACTTGACAAGAGCTTCGAAGATGGTTTCTTCGTTGGGTACGTTGAGGTCATCGCTGGCAAGGAGGTTACAGACTTCCTCCGACGGGAGGATGAGGAATTCCTGGTTGTTCATCACCTCCACAAAGTTCTCCTGCAACACCAGGGACATGGGCATTGGAGTGCTGCTGACAGACTACAGCAGTAGAAACTAACAGTATTCGTCCACTAGTCCTTATAATCATAACATTAAGCAAAACCCTTAAAAATGGCAATTTTCTACTAGTCCTTATGATACCTTTAACATTGAGCAGTTTGGCAAGGACTATAGGACTAGTGCAAATTTCTAACCATTGACTACTGAATACACTCAAGGATGTGCATCCCACTAGACACAAAGTTCTACCTGCTAATTACACAGCGAGAGAGTAATCATATGGCAGATGAGTGACCGTCTGAGTAAGAGTGAATGAGAAAAGATTTAAAGTCACTTTGGCAATATCAAAGACTCTGCAAGTGAGCGTTTGAATTTTGTTTTATGTTATAGTCAGCAATATTTTGATACATTATAAGGACTAGTGGACTACAATGCAAGTTTCTACCACTGTCTACAGATCATATTGAACACAGCATACTGGTATATGGACCCAGGAGCCCCACTGGAGTACTCACCATCACGTAGTTGTTGGCCACCTTGTAGAGGTTGGTGCATCCCTGAGCGTCGGCAAACTGGCGGATGCCGATACAGTTTGAGGGGTGGAGCTGCTTCATGAGGAAGCTGCAGCATGCCTCCACCACCTCCGACAGCTGCAGCAGACATGCCGTCGACAACAGACTCTCCACAGTCTCCTCCTTCAGCTCGATCTTACCTGCAACACACACAAGGGTCAAGGTCAATGTCAGTCTCAAGGTCATGATATGATACATAGGCTTCACAAACTGTGCCCTTTACAGATTCAAACCAGGGTCTCTGTGTGATGTAGGTCAAGGGCAACATCAGTCTCAAGGTCATGATCTTACACATAGGCTTCACAAACTGTGCCCTTTACAGATTCAAACCAGGGTCCCTGTGTGAAGAAGGGGCACTATGAATTACATGTGTCATTGGAGGTGTGTACAGGGTTTTAGGGACTAAGTTTTTGTATACCCCTCAGTCGTAACATCCTGTGCTCACTGTTATAGACACATGTAACTGATCATAAATCTGATTCCAGAGGAACTTCTATCTTGTTAAATAGTCTTGTTAGACTATAAACATTACAATGTCCCGCTGTCCTTGTACGGGTTCTACAACTGGCCAATCAGGTTTTGTTTCTTGTTTAACGCCGCACTCTGCAATAGTTCAGCTATATGATGATGGTCTGTAAATAATCAAGTCTGGACAAGACAATCCAGTGACTAAAATCAGGTTTTGTTTCTTGTTTAACAAAGCCGCACTCAACAATATTCGAGCTATATGACGGCGGTCTGTAAATAATCAAGTCTGGACCAGACAATACAGTGATTGACATCATGAGCATCAACTCTAATCTGGATCTTCACTGGCCCACTGGGCTAGGGTCAGGCAGGTTGGTGATTGGTCAATCTCAATTAGGTACAATGATTAACTAAACAAACTAAGTCTGGACCAGATAATTCAGTGACTGATATCATGAGCATCAACTTACACAATTGGGATATGATGAGATGAATCAACCAAATCAGCAAGGCTGACCATCCGATCTCGTTAGTCACCTCTTATGACAAGCATGAGAGCTGAAGATCAATTCTAACCCGCATCTTCATGGAACAACAGGACAATCAGATTCTAAGATGATTTATGATAAACTTATCTCCAAACTACCCTACATGTAGAGTTTAATTATTTGTTGTTTAACACCACAGTCAGCAAAACTCACTATATATCACTGTGCCCAAAACAACTGACTCGAGGCCAGTCAAACCCTTGATGTAAAGAAAGAGCAATGTCCAGTGCTACACTGACAGTCTTCAAGGGAGTGAAAAGGAATGTTTTCTGGTATGTTTCTGTCATCAATATTTTATCTTGATAATGTCTGTGATGAAATCCTATTTCTACAGACAACTATGGGACATTCTGAAACTGGAATTAATGTCTAGAGGAATAGGCTTATGGATAATGTGTTCATTCTTCAAGATAAGACCAGTTAAATTTCCCAGTTTGGCTATGATCTTGCAATGTTGAACAATGTTTACTCACAACAAAGAGTAAATAAAGAGGAATCCAAGTGTCATTATTCACCATTTTACCTCCTGAAGTCAGATCTGGGTTCACTTGCACCACACGGTTTGAGAGCTATGATGAACTTCCATACTTTTACAAGACTTGGAACAGTCATAGTTGTAAGATCACTTTGTGCAAGTTTGTTTGTTTATTTGTTGTTTAATGCCAAACTCAGCAATATTCCTGCTATATGACGGCAATCTGTAAATAGTCAAGTCTGGACCAGACAATCCAGTGATTGACATCATGAGCATCGATCCACGCAATTGGGATTGATGACATGCATCAACCAAGTCAGCGAGCCTGACCACCCAATCCTGTTAGTCGCCTCTTACGGCAAGCATAGTTGCCTTTTACGGCAAGCATGTGTTGCTAAAGACCTATTCTCCCCCGGATCTTCATGGGACACTTTGTGCAAGTGGACCCAGGTACCTAAATTTCAAGTGGACCCAGCTACCTAAATTTTAGCAATATCAAAGTAGGACACCAAGAATGGGCTTCACACATTGTACCCATGTGGGGAATGAAACCCAAGCATTCATCATGGCAAGCCAACACACCTACCATTAGGCTATCCCACCACCCCTAACACCCATGGAGATAACAAGATAAATAAGATCCCCTAGTATCGCTCATGCATGCTGCAGATATGGGAGAATGTCCTCCTGCTGCTATCAGTACACCAGGCTATGACAGCTGACCCCAGTACAACAGCATGTTGCTTAGGTTACAGGCAGAGTACAGACATGTGTTCTTGTTGTTACAGCCAGTACAGCCTGTACCAGAACACCATACCTTGGGGACCCGACACGAAACAATGTCCACAGAGTTGTTACCGAGACAAAGGTCGTGCTGACCCCCGTGACCAGGCTGAGGATGACGAAGATGAAGAAAATGACACGCAGCTTATCAATGATTAATATTCCACCAGCTTCATATCCGCTGATTAAATTTCTGTCAATGACACAAGACTTGAGATATCACCAAAGACAGGTATAGTTAAATTACCATCCAGATCATTCATGAACACTCACTGAATGAAATTAGAACGTAGTATATGAACAACTTGATTAATTCTTCATAAAAAATTTAATAAAACACACAAAAATACACAAACAGAATTACTCAAACTGAAGACAACATGCTCTCCACTCCCCACCAAAAATAAATAAATTTAAACAATCCATCTAGATCACAACATGACATTTTTTTAAATAAACGAGAATACCATTCTCCTGTAGTTTTGTTGGAGATGAAGAACCTTGAAACACAAAACCATTTTTTGGCCACAAAGATTAACTCCCACTACATCTGTTCCATGGTGCTACACATGATCATATGGCAATGTGTATTGAAAACACCACAAGAAAGTTGACTGTGAGGGAGCATTTGCCCTGTGTTTTTTCTTCAACTAACCTAATGAAGGTAATTTGCCACTGGCATGTTTCTTGTTGAATTTCTCAATGGCTCCCACGGCTCTACAAACAATGGAGTTACTTCCCCTCAGGTGGACAAAAAAGTGATGGAAAATGAAAGCATCTGCTCATGTTTTTCCTTCTGAGAGCTGAGCAATACACAACAAAGACTACAGCCGAAGTAAAACCATACTCTCGCATTCTACAAGAGGTTATCACTGCAGCCTAAAAAAGTGATCTTCGACATCACTTCCCTCGGCCTGACATTCAGCCTGCTTCTAACCTTTCTTGTATTGAAATCACATGACAAAAGGTTAAACATGTCAACAAATTCTTTAACAAATCCTTATTTGAGACCAAACTATGTGGAACACATTTGAAATGTTTTTCTCACAAGACCGTATAGCTAGAAGGTATTTGGAAATAATTAATCCAGGTTCTTTTCCAAATATTAATAATGGGTGAACATACTTTTCTATTTACATTAGAAGGAAATGAACACACTTCCTTCTTGACTCTAATACATGACACGACAATGACATACCAACTACAATGATATCCTTTTCAGGACAGTCAACTCGTTCACTTTGATTTTAGTACTAAATTTATTGCTTACACAGCTGTCAGCATATTATAACTACCACATATTTTTGGTACCTAGAATGAGTGAGTGAGTATAGTTTTATGCCGCTATTAGCAATATTCCAGCAATATCATATCATGGCGGGGTACACCAGAAATGGGCTTCACACATTGTACCCATGTCAGGAATCGAACGTACCTAGAATGAGGGAGGGAGAAGTGGGGAGGGTATAGCTACCATATATGGCGGTATATAGTGCGAGTTTTTAGTACCTAGAATGAGGGGTATGAAAGGGGGTCGTCCTATGCATGGGGTAGAAGATCCCATGCCATGTGCTGGAGTTATGTATAGAACAAACAATCGAAGAAAAAGCCCAAAGACAAACATACTTTCTTACTGAGTGAGTGTGTGAGTGAGTATGGTTTTACGCCGCTTTTAGCAATATTCCAGCAATATCGTGGCGGGGGACACCAAAAATGGGCTAAACACATTGAACCCATTTTGGGAATCGAACCTGGATCTTCGGCGTGACGAATGAACGCTTTAACCACTAGACTACCCGACTGCCCAGTTACAACAGCATGCTCTGGTGACGTCCTTCACTCCAGATTGCAGTAGAGATGGAGTACGTACATTAGCATTGATGTTGACGGTTTCTACAGGTCGATTATAGGTGGAGTCGTATCATAGACAGCGCTATACAGTACATCACAATGGCCCGTATATAGGCAAGCCTGAGCCAGACAGACCAATGGTTGACAGCATGAGCAAAGATCAATGCGGTAAGGATATGATGACAATCAATGTGACCAACCAATCCCAATACATATCTTAGTCGACTGTTCAGAATTAGAGCCTAAATGTTTTAGCCCATTGGTCCTCATAAACATAGCAATACAATTAATAATGGCAAATATCTACTCATCCTTATGATACCTTAACTACTGGGCAGTTTGGCAAGGACTACACACTAGTGCCAACTTCTTACGCTTCTGTTACGTCAAGCTTGGGGTACAGGTTCCCTGTCTGGGAATCTATACAAGGAACTGAATCAAGAAAGAAAATTGATAATTGAAAATCTGCAATTCAATGTCATTGTGCAGAATACCAAACATAAGCAGACATTATTCCCCCCAAAAAGTCACAAACCAAGACACCTCTTGACATAAATTCAAAGTTGACAAATGTCAGTCAGCCCGACTTTAGAGAAAGCTCTGAAAATTTAAGGCGAGTGGAATGTCATTTGCTATCCAACAATGACATCAAATACACGAAACCTTCTGATGTGCTTATCTAGTTTAAACAAAGTGCTAACCCAGCCCCAGGTCATTGGAATATAACAGCTGCCGCTCTTTAATCTTCACTGAATAAAGTTAACCCAAGTCTCACATCAAACCTTCCTTCCAGTGTGCTAAAAGCTGAGAAAGGGTTCCTGATGGCGCTAATGAAGCTGAAAATATGATTCTCGCCGTATCTAAAGGGGCACGGAAAATAAAATTACCCATCCCTCTATCTGCACAACTTCCAGCCCTGTGTAAATCCAACGTGGTTTGTAAAACTCTCCAATACCATTCATTACCACAGTTTTATCTATCAAGCCTCATTAATTTGCAGACATCAATAATTACC